TACAAATTTCATTCTAGTGAAGATTTTAGCTTCAATACAAGATGTTGCTGCAAAAGTAAATTACATCATGGTGCCGTGGTAGGTTTCTTGCACCCACGAGCTTCCATGATGCGATGTGTGGCATTCCACAATGTCAGACATGAGCGCTAGGCAGTGTTGGAGCATATTTATGAGAAAACCAAAAATTTTAATTCTGGATCATGACGACCATAAAATCACTAGTACACATAGATTAATGAACACAAGGCAGAGAGAAATTGAGACATTTACCCGATTTAACTCTTAATCCATGCACTTGTGGGTGAATTGGCATAATGCAGTTCTGCCTTCCATTTCTAGTTTTTATACTTACATCCTGTTTTTTTATATCCTGCCTTTATATATCCCGTTTTAAGATAACTTTTTTCTTTATTTTAACCAAAGTATTAATTTCTTCAAAAATGAGTTTCTCCTCATTAAGATATGTCAAAGCCTCTGCCTCCAGACATTTCCATCTATGGTATATTCTTTCATAATGGTAGTTAAGGAGATACAGTGAAAGGAAAAAAAAACCCAAACAATCCTAGTTTTAAAGCATAATATAGATATATAGAAAAGATGTTCATAAAATACATACTCACCGTTAAAGATTCAGGCAAGTGGTGCTCAGGGCGAGTCCTTCCCTGACAAAGAAGAGACTTTGCCAATCAGGAGGTTATTTTTTTGGTCTATGGGGCTTCTTCGCTCATAAACCAGTGTTTCTCAATTAAGATTTATAGTAGAAGTAGCTTTGACGTTTTACCTGGGTTCCACCAAGCACTGCTCTGACTTCTCTTCTTCCTGTTTAAAAGTCAGAAAACTGAAGACTAGCTTATTGGTTGAAAGCTGATCAATCCATTAGAAAAGAATTTGGCTTCTTATATCGGGAGCAGGGGGTCCTAGGGCACTACTGTTAAAACAAAAACACACTACAGCATGCTTGGGGTGTTCCTTTAAATATGAAGGTATGGTTGATCTCTTAAAGGACCACTACAGTGCCAGGAAAACACTCATTATCCTGGCAATATAGTGCCCCAAGGTCCCCCTCCCACCCGGCTCTGGGGAGAGGAAAGGGGTTAAAACTTACCTTTCTCCAGCGCCGGGCAGGGAGCTCTCTGCCTCCGACCTTCCTCCCTTTCGGCTGAATGCGCACGCGCATTCAGCCGGTCTCATAGGAAAGCATTTATGCTGCTTTCCTATGGACAATTGCGTGTGCTCACTGTGATTTTCACAGTGAGAATCACGCAAGCGCCTCTAACGGCTGTCAATGAGACAGCCACTAGAGGATTTGAGGGCTGGATTAACCCATTTATAAACATAGCAGTTTCTCTGAAACTGCTATGTTTATAAAAAAAAAAATATGGGTTAACCCTAGCTGGACCTGGCACCCAGACCAGTTCATTAAGCTGAAGTGGTCTGGGTGCCTAGAGTGGTCCTTTAAGGATAACCAACTGAATCAATGTCTAATATACATAAGTTAAATCTGCACACGCTTAAACACAAAGTACGCTCTACAACAAATGAAATAAGATTACAGCAAGCCCAGGGCGAGGCTTTGAATACTTAGAGATAACCTCTGCTTACATAGTCAATGTTTACAAATCTTTAATCCATAAACTTTGTGTAATAACTAAATGTTTTCCATTAAGAAATGTATAGATGAGTGAGCAATTACAGACAGCGTACCTATGGCTCACAAAGAGGTTGCCTTCCTTTTGCACATCACTATTAGGCCCTGTGGAGTAATCTGTGACATGGTACAGGCAACAACCCAAGAGAGAGAATATCAGAAATTTAGGAATAAAATACATTTGAGGATTCTGTACTCTTTCTAGTAAAGGTTTTGAGATATTTGGGGTAATAATTACCCTTAACCCCCTTAAGGACAGAGGTAATCAAACGTTCTGAATCATAACAAAATATAGAAATAGAGTACCTCTGTTCAACCACAATTGACCTCATTGAGTGCACTCACACTTATTATATATCATTTTGTTCAGGAGAAATAGGGCTTGCATTTCATATAAAATATTTATATATGAAATAATAAAAAAAATAATCAAATCTAAAAGTGTGAGAAACTAAGAGTCTAGTTTCTTAGTTCTGTGTGGCATTTTAGCTGTGAATGTCATAACTGTTCGCTTTACTGCAATAAAATACACATATGTATTCAGTGATGTCTCACTAGTACAACAGTATATCCCATATACAGGTTTATGGGGTTTTGTAAACTTACAGGGCCAAATATAAGACTTTCACCTTTCACATATTGAAGTTTGACAGATTGGAGAGTCCAGGGGTGAAAGTTACACTCATCATGGCATACCATTTGCAAAAGTAGAAAACCCAGGGTACTCAAAATGGGGTATGTACAGGTTATTTATTTATTTGGAGCCACTTAGTCACATGCCTTGCCAAAGTTAGTGTTCATATTTATTTTATGTTTTGTATTTTGTACACAAATACTGCCCTTTCACTGATGATATTGTTATTATATTTAACCTCTCTAAAACACTCATATCTGTGTTAGCAGCCAGAGTATAACAGTACTCCCATGTATAGGTTTTATGGGGTTTTGTAAAGTTACAGGGTCAAATATAGGGCTTGCAAATTAGGTTTTCTGGAATTTCTGCCTGGATTGACAGGCTGGTCCCCCATACAATAAAATAAAAATATTTAACTTTTTTTTTTTTTTTTAATTGTATTGTTTTTCTAAGTGTATTTATATACAATTACATTATTTTTTTTATATATTGGGGACCTGCCGGACCATCCAGGCAGTCCCCCTGCAGGCAAATCTGCAAAGTACTTGGTCTGGAGGGAGGGCCAGATTGTTAGGGCATGCTATGCTGCCCTAACTGTTTTAAAGCCCTCCTTTTGTACGATAACATAGCCTGCCTGAATGTTTGGAACCCAAACTATTCTACTAATTTTAGGACGCAGCTATCATGGATATCAGTTTCTCTTTGCTACTACAGATTAGGACATACACCTCAATTTAATAAGCTTTCGAAAGGATTCAATACACAAGACTTTCGTGGTGACGACTTCTGTACGTAAATCACTTGGAAACTTTTCTATCAGTATTGACTCATTTGGAAAGCTTATCGATGCCATAGTTCTTACATCATAGAAATGAGTTGTAGACCAATACTAATCTTTACAACTTATCTATTGTGAAACTTGCCATAAATAATTTGTACATTTAACATTGTTGTATTACCCGTTACAAACCTTCCTTTCTTATTTCATGTTTTTTAGGTTATCCTTTTATTCTGGCCACTCATCCTTCTCCATGTACTGCATGTTGTTCCTGGCAGTAAGTAGTTATTTTGAATGTGTTAAAGCAAATTTGGGGTGGGGGGTGGGGGGTAGAGAACATGCACAGTTAATCCTATCCATATAGTGAGTGGAATGGATCCTTAAGTAAATTTGCAGGGAGCACACAAATGGATATCAAGCTGTGTGTATGCAAGAATCTGTAACTGGTCATATAACAAGCTGCACACCAATACAATCTTCTTACCGCATTCATGGCTCAAGCACCATTGTAGAGACTCTAAAACCCCAGCAATCAACATGGAAACCAATGGAATGTTCTCACTGATGAATCCACTTCTAAAAACTGCCCCCGGCATTCCTCTTTCTATATAAACAACTCCTTTTGTTATTTTATTAGCAAGAGCATACAGGAACAGATGAGAAATATTAAAAAGCTTTAAAGGGTTCTTCAGTTCAGGAACAAGACATACAATCAGAGTTCTTGAAACTTATCCTCAAGACTTAGTGAAAGTAATTAAACACAGGCACCAATAATGTAGATAATGAAACTGGCTATTTTGTCTTCCCCAATTACGTTCTACCTGTATTGTGAGGACAATTCAATTGTTGACAGTCTTTGGGTACTATGAATAACTCCTAGAGTAACAAGGCATTTCCAATAATCTACACTCCATAAACTGTCCCTTATTGCTGGGGAAAGGCATGGTTTAGAAATAGTGGGGGAGTTGGCTTTACCTTTTCAATACTTCTTGTGATCATTACTTCCGTATTTGCCTGTTACCAAGACGGATCTAGTTATATCTTTACTCTGTGCAGACGTTAATTGTGTATCCGAGTAAACAGACCACACGTGCAGGCTCTTTCTTCCAATATGTTCTCTTTCGAATTGGGGTATTCTAGACACTGCAAATCATTATTTGTTGTATACCAGAAATCAAAGTCTCAAAACATCTCAGTCACAGATTTAGATAATTTCTCAACCATATTGTATTTACACAAAACATGGCTTGTTTTAACATTTATTCCCGACACAACAGCTGAATGTTTGTGTTTACAGAACTCTCCCAGAATGCCCTGCAAATAGGCACAGACAACATTTTACTATTTTACATTTCCTGCCTGCAATTCTACAGGTTCCCTTTGCAGTAACCTGTACGGCTTTTTGTTCCAGGTTATAGGCTAGCAATATGCTGCAGTGGGAGTAGCTTTGCAAGCTGGTGACAGGTTTAAATAAAAATAAAAGACACTATTAGACATTTTAAAAGCACAAAGCTAAGGCTCATTGATGTATTGAGTGTGTTAAAGGCAATACCTCACCTTTTAAATTATAATTTTTTGAATTTTTGGTGCAAATCTCCTTGAATTGTTTCTATAGTGAGATGTTGGAGAAACAATAATCCTATGCACATCAGGGGTTTGCATTTCAGCAGTCAGATTCATCCTGAAAATTGTAGAGCAAATATTTGTTTTCCCATTTAAAGAGAGAACATGAATTAAGCCATTTGCAAAAGCACAATAGATTTTTTACATCACAGCTTCTGTTAGGTTGCATGTCATTGCATAAACGAAAAGCATGTAACACACATAGGAAGGATGCTACATATAAAACTAGGGATTGTTTAGTACAGTAAGTATCTGCAAAAATAGAAAAAATGTTAATGTCAAATGCCAAAGTGTGACATATATAATTCCCCCCCCCAGCTTTATCTGCACTCCCGAATGAGAGGAGACTGGGCCAGGCTTCTCCGCCCCACAATCCAGTTTGCTCTTGTTGCTGTCGCTATCTACGTTGGCCTTTCCAGAGTATCTGACTACAAGCACCACTGGAGCGACGTTCTGACCGGCCTTATACAGGGGGCAATTGTAGCTGTACTTATTGTAAGTTCACATACTAAAGGTATTCTATCGAATCATAAAGAGACACTGTCAAGATGAATCCCTTTCCTATCTTGCCATCATGTTTATTGCATTAAAGTTGAGCACAGTACTGCCATGTTGCATCCATATAACTTTTAATAATCACAAGTGAGTGCTTCAGAGGATCACTACATCGTTAATCAGTGTAGCCATCTGTGAAAGAGCAGAAAGCTTTCACCCAATATAGAACAAGTATGTGCATTATAATATGATCTCTTACGGACATTTTTTTTCCTAAAACTTAAAGGAACACTGTAGTCACCCAGACCACTTCCATTTCAATGAAGTGATCTGGATGCAGAGTCCCCGTCCCTTTAACCTAGCAATATAAGTCGTTTTTGAGAAACTACAATATTCACATTGCTTGGTTAGCTGCTCCTCTAGTGACTGTCATACTGACTTCCACTAGTGGCACAGAGAGTGAAACGGTCACGCGGAAGCCCCATAGTATATACTTTCTATGGGGAATGTTGATTGCACTCGCAGCACATGCACATTAGATCTCCAATGCTCTATGAAGAGCCATAAAATCAGACTGTGCTGCAGGAGGGTAAAAAGTAGGTACTGCACACGAAGCACGTCTAGTGGCCACCCCAGTGACTGCACCTGGAGGGGTTACTAGGCAGCCTTTTCTCTGAATTAAGCTGTAGTGGTAGTAGTGAATACAGTGTCTCTAAGTTTTATTTTTTTTTGCTTAGGGAAGGGCGGGGGGAAATGAGGTACCTATTCAGAGCTAAGAAGAGAAACACAATAGCTTTAGGAATACCGATTTGTATTCCCAACGGTGTAGTGTTTCTTTAACCAATTCATAACATTAGAGATCAGTCTTTGTAATAGAAAAATAAGTGACCACACTTCTAATAATTTTTTAATGGAGCTTCTTCACACTAAGTGAAACACATTCCCCCAGCCGTTAAACAAATCAAAGATTAATTTTCAGGGGGAAAAAAACAACGTGTTGCAGGTGAGAGTTATACTTACTTGATGCTGTCACTTGTAAGCATCACCATTTTAAGCTTCTGGCACTTCATTCACAGAAGCAGTCAGGACTGTACTCAGCATGTGCAAGAGTACAATACTAATATCTCTGTGTTGTGGTCTCCTGTACCAGCACAGGAGCCTCTGTAGATAATTGGTAAATGAGTGATATAATGCATTTTTGCCACAGCTGTCGCCAACGATGGCTAGGGTGAAGCTACAGAACATAATAAAATTGTCTTATGAAAACTTTTGACTAAATTCGAAAGTCAAATTTTTATCTTTATGAAATGGTTAATTTTTTTGGGTGTTGACAGATGCTTTAAAGTGCTGCCAGATTAAGCTATTAGTTGCTTACTTAGTATCTTCGCACTGGTAGTAGAAGAGCCTTCGAAACCGGAGCAGGCGCATAACTGATATGTGCAACCGGAAAACACCAGACCGGCAAGACCAAAAATATAATTAACAGCTCATGATTGCCAATATACTTCTTTCTCCAGGACAAAGTTATTTTTTTAAAAAATTGTCTAGCATAAGGTGTTGCCATATAGATCATGCTTTCATATCTCCAAAAATCAAACCTCTTCCCTAACACTGTCTTTTTTCCCACGCAGGTTGCATATGTCTCAGATTTTTTTAATGTCAGAAAGGGAAGTTTGAATGACAAGGAAGAAGACTCTCACACTACACTGCATGAAACATCCACAAATGGGAACCACTGCGGAAGTATTCTCCAGCCATAAAATCCACCGCACCACTTAAACCATCCTGCTTTTAAAGAGAAATACTCAAGAGTTTTAATGCTCTACTATAAAGCCTTTAAAAATCCTTGAGTGCATTAGGCACACCGTTGTGCCAGCTTCTTGCGCCAAGGTATTTAACGGACTGCTGCTATATGTGTTGGATGTCCACTTTACCTGTATATAGTTATAGAACACCCTTTATGTATATGACATAGCTTTAAGATAAGTTTAAATTGTTTGACATTTATCAATTACACACAATTAAATGTGGTATTCAAACTGTAATTTTTTTTATTAAAATAGTGTGGTAACATGTTATGTACAAACATTTGTGTAATATTGCTTTCCTGGAACGTAGCTTCTTAAGCAGATTTATACCACAGAAAAATTAAAATGGTTTATAGCAAACATCTGTTCTTTGTTGGTTTTACTATAATACGAGTTCAGGCTGAAGATGAACGGATACGGCCGGATGCCGGAGAGGTGGGATTCAGATTGATCACAAAACAGAATTGGGTTCTTTTAAAGTCAGTCTCCATTTTGAATTTGTGAAACTAGAGATAAAGACTGGCTGCAAACACAATATCCCTTTTTATTTTTGTAATTCCTAAGGCAGAAAAGGAGAGAAGGGAAAAAACAAAACAAAAGTTAAATAATTGTTTTAGTTAATCACAGGATGTAAATGAGTAACAGTCACTTTATAGATCAGGCAATCTACAGCTAGAAGGAATTAGACCTGGGATGTGTTTTTGCTGTTGTAGCCGTGAAAGTGCAGCAAAAATAGAAACTTCAAAAAATTAATATATCGAAGAAAAAAAAAAAAACTAGCTAGATATGACAGAGCTATTAAAGCATCCCATTAAAATGATTTACAAATTTGTTAGAATAGTGTCTTATCTTTTAAATTGCCATGTTCTGAACCTACGTTAAACCAAGATTGATTGTGTTTACTTTTACAAATGAACCATATCATACAGCAATAGGTGTGATGCCCATACACAGGTGATAAGCTTCCTATAAATCACAGCTTGACAAACGTCTGAGATCAGATTTACTGCTGACACCTGAGTATATTATAACAAGGGAAGTAACTCTTCCCGGACTACAAAATGTTTGTTTAGCCTGGCTTCAGATGGTGTGAAAGGAGAATGTCATTACTTCACTGCATTCAGCGAGAGGTGGAGCTGTGCAAATGAAGCCTAGTAATTACACTGTGAAAATAACAAGCTTTAGAAGGACAGAACTTGTTAGTTCTATGGGTTACACCCAACAATTATATTTTCATGGATTTAAAAATGGTTTAATTACTACACTAAAAGCTGTACAAAGTAATTGGACTCCCAGAACCAGAACATGTTATTTATACAAACACTGCCATTTGCCAGAATGTATTTAAAAATAGGAATACGAAAACAGAGTAAATCATGGCAATATCCCTGGTGGGCAGGGTGTGGTTGGGGTACGTAGTGATGGATAAAATGCAATATTTGCTACTAATCTATTCCATTGTAAAAAAAATGGTTATTCATTCAACTACTCCTGTTCTAACAAGTATAAAAGCGGTACCAAAACAATAGCATTGGGTGTACCTTTTGCCCCCCTCCCCTCCTATTTAAGACACACTTACTCTTGGTCTGTTTGGGGAAAGCCTCCCCTTTTTTTTGCTAGCCACGATAGGGTTACAAATGCTGTACACACTGTTAACTATGTTAATGACCTGCCAGCAGGTAGGATACACGTGCTGTGCTAGCCACAAGACATTAATGAAAAATGCCAGCTGGGCTTGTTACAGCCACGGAGTGCCACATGCTGGGGCTTGGTGTAGACTATCAGGCACCATGCTTTGTTCTTAGAATTTCAGTGTTTGAACTTGTGATTATTTCCTGAGAAGTGAACCCAGCATCCCATCAAAGAATACAAAACAGGACAATTTACAAAACAAGATGAACAGTCAGCATATTTGAGTTGGTCATATTCTCGTTTCCGTGAAGCAGCGCTGTTCAGCTCCTGTTTTTGCACATACTAAAAATCCTTAAGTTCAGTTACATAGTTTGTGATACTATAAACTCCCTCAATCTTCTGTAGGCTGGCAGAAGATTATTGGAATTATTCTCCAACAGCTTGGGGGGTGGCACACAGTTCAGCACTGCTACTTTTAAAAATGTTATTGCAGATCATGGTGATGGAGAATATTTTCAATAACTACTTAGTGGCAGGCATTTTATACATGTCAGCAGGCTTGGAGTAGAAGCCTATTAACTAGATTACTGAAGAAATTATTAGACTTGTATAGAAATTGGTTTCTGATATGACTTAATCCATATATGGATGAATGGATCGTCCAGAATTTACCAGTGGATTCAAATATTGAATAAAGCTCCGCAAGTACATCTTGGGTGACCGATTCGTTTGGATGTGGCTTCAAAGGCATTTTATTCCGACAAACTGTCAGATACAAATCTGTTGAAAAAGACTTGCACTGTACAGCATGTCATTTAATGATCTAAGCTTCGAGAGGCCTAACAGACCATGGTTTATCATCATTTCCACTGGAACACCTGTTTTCTACAAAAATGTTTGGTTTTTGTGTGTTTAATTTGGTCCCAAGACCTACTTTAGCGTTAACCTCTGCACTGCAGCGTTTGGGAGATACATTACCCATAATGCCCATAGCCAAGACAAGCAGACTATGCGAAATCCGTTCACAAGGAACTGCAATGCCAGTGGCAGCCATCAAAGATCTACCATTTCATAATTATACTAATTTCACATAATACTTTTCTTGATGTCCCATTGCTATCAGTCATTGATGTCATAAAAGCGTGTTAATGGACCATGTGAGAACTGCTATGGGAGGACATTACCTATATTAAGGTGGGATTCTAATCCAGAATTTGGGTGTCCAACTGCAGCATTCTGTATGGAGGATTATAACTTATGACTGAGATCAAAGACAGCCATGTACGGAGATTAAAATGGATGGAGCCTAAGCTTTATATATAAGGTATAATAAAACAAAGAAAGCCAGTTCTGTCCTGCAAAGCTCTGTTTCAATCATACACTTCCCTCTTCCCATTAAATCAAAGTAGACAAGCATTGAGTTCCAAACACTGCATCCGCCATCTACTTACCCTCTGCAAATTTGTTCTCCAGTTCTGTATTTCCAATGGCTTTGGCTGCCTGACACATCTGTCTAAGTAATTCCTCTAACCTTCTCATGCAACGGATAATACTTCCTGTGTGAAGCAAAGTGCCATATATTAGAGAGACAGGCAGACACACAAACTGGGCACTCACTGGTGTTGCCCACGTACAGCTATTATTACCACTGGTATTTATGTAGTGCCAGCATATTCTGTAGCGTTTACAATAGTATCAAATATTTAACAATAGGTTAGGTTGTAAAAACGTACAGGAACAATAGGTTGAAGAGGACCCTGCTCAAACGAGCTTACAGTCTATAGTAGGTGGGGTACAAAACACATTAGGACAGGAGGTAGCAATCAAACAAGGTGGGAGTGAGGCAGACTGTAGTGGTTATGGTGCCTTTAATGTTACTACAAATGTGCTAAAATGGTTAAAAATAAATAAATCTGTGTTTCTAGGCTTTTCTGCATATTGCTAACAAAACACAAGATAAAAACAAAAAAACGAACCGAGCTTTGAGCTAGTCAAAACTTTGCTGTGTTCTTAAACTCCTATTGTATCAGAGTCTCAAACTGAAATCTGAACAGGTCAAAAAGATTGCATTAAAATGCACAAAGAGCAAACATATTAATTATGGATTTGGCAAAATAAAAATAAAATAAAAAAATCACTCTCCATATGGGATTCATATTTTAAATGACACACAGAAATACCAAAAAAGTTACTATAGAGCAGGGGTGCCCAAAAGGCAGATCTCCAGATGTATTAAAACTACAGCTTCTATGATGCTTTCCCATGCTAAAGCAATCTAAAAGGCATGCAACGCATCATGGGAGTTGTAGTTTTAAAAACATCTGGGGGTCTACCTTTTGGGCACCCCTGCTTTAGACTAAGGATGACCATTGACATTTCTAGATAAAGACCAACGCAAACAAATAAGAACAGGGTTGAATACATAGAATTATTTGTCCCTTATTAGGACTAAAAAGGTGTTTGAGGATTATTATAGTACATGTGAAAAATTTGAAATGGCAAGATCTACCTTAACATTGTGGAATGCGTTGGTGATTGATAAATGTTTTTATGATGTTCCACTTAAACTCAAAATGTATTAATGGGTGGGGGAGAAAAGTAAAAGTGCTGTTATTCTACAATACACATGTGGATTTAATTATCAAGAAGAAAATAAACCCAAAACAAATAAATGGAAAACAGATTTCAGAGCACAGCCACGCTGCACTTTGGCCCAATTTCATAAGAGGAAAAAAAAAAAGAAAAGAAAAAAAAACCTTTAGATATATATTTTTGCCAATTCAAACTAAAAGCAATGATTTCTCTCCAGCTACAATGGTGACCTCTAAAGTTGACGTTTAGAAGAAAACCACAAACTAGACCCCAATCACCCACCACATTATCCAGACACCCAAATAATACCACAGGAGACATTGTATTTTACAATTGATAGAAGGCTTCCTCATATGAATCCATTTAAATTCACTGCAAACAGCACATGTTGTGCCAGTAGTGCTAAGCTTGCCAGTGCGTTTTTTTCCTACACATGGAATTCAACTTTCTATAGGAGGAAATTATACCCAATCAGGTTTCCAGAACCACCATGTTACCTGGTCACATTTTAACTTTTATAGATGGGTAGAATACACAGTTCTGCCCAGCAGTATGTTAAAATCAAACTCTTAAACATTAAAAACACAATAAACCCTACACTAAGCTGTACAAATGGTTCCAGGAGTGCCTGGACACACTTCCAGGTTAAGTAGTCAAACTGTTACAGTTTCACTACTTACCTTGGGTCTTCAGTCGCAGTCTTTGGCGGACAGTGCTCATCAAATGAGCTAAGCCCTGCACCGCTGGGTTAGCTCATCACACAGAGCTTCCAGCTGCACAGGAAAAAGTGACTGGAGTCCAGTGGGCCCCATGTAAGTTTTTATATTGGATACTTATCCTGAGTGGGTGCCAAAGCACACCTGACTCCATAAACACTACTGCTGATCCTAGTGGTTATGGTGCTTAGAGTGTTCCTCTAAGGTAGAAAATAAAGGGAATAATCCGTGCAATATCATGCAGCATATAATGTCATTATACTCCACAGCAACATTTGCACATGCTGACTTATATTAAGAAGTATTGTGGATCCGGTAAATCGATGCCCAAGTCTCAAGCTAAACTTTGAAGGATCTATTCATCCTGACCCCCAAACAAAATTCCAAATGAAGGTAAGGTGGTAAATCACAATTGCCATTTGGTCCAGTAAAAAAAAACAAACAAACAAAAAAAAAAAAACTAGGCTTATTGTGTAACTTATATTACAGCTTAATTTAAAAGTTTTTATTTCCTGAACTTATATACAGGAGGCTACTGCAAGGTCTAGTGAGCTATTAACAGAGCAGGGGATAATACATTCTAAATAAAACATAATTTGAAATAAAGGAAGTGTAAAGTTGTATACATTAGGTGATTCTTTACAGGAAGTGTTTAGGAAGGCTGTGTAAGTCACATGCAGGGAGGTGTGGCTAGGGCTGCATAAACAAAGTGATTAAACTTCTAAATGGCAGAGAATTGAGCAGTGAGACTGTAGGGGCATGATCTATACACAAAAACTTAATTAGTTTGGGTGACTAAAGAGTCCCTTTAATATAGAAGTTGGAGGACATTAAAAATATTAGGAGAAAAGTTTTTTCTTAAGTGGAGAAAACAAATCCATGAGTTGTAACTGAAATCGGAGTGCTTCACTTCAGAGCTTCCTACACAGTGGTATTTTGATTCAACCCTAACTGGAAAAGTCATCAGGAATAATAAACTTCTTCATGCAAAACTATATTCATATTAGAAGAAAGACAGATGTTGTTCCTGCTGATCAGAAGCCAAGGGGCATATTTACATGCCTGAATGGATTAAGTGCCTTATCTTGTTTTCAGTCTGTCCTGAGAGAGATACTTGCACAGGGGCTACAATCTATACCTCTTCATGTGATTTATTGACTAAGCTGTGACGACATACGTGGAGAGTTAAAGCTTTCACTGGGGTAAGATGTGCAGCAGAGCCAATTGTAAAACACTTGCACATTAATTCTGTGTAATTGCACAAGCCTCTTTCCATAACTACATGTGCACACGCATCGTATTTAAACAAGCACTCTAAACACATAGCCACTACATCTCATGGTGCAAAGAACCAACCTTTTACAACTATAACCTTGGTTTCTAAAAACTGCCAATAAACAAACACACAGCTCTCACTGCACCTAAAAATATTGCCTTGCTAATGAGACTTTGACAATACAGAAACAGTCACATTAGCTGTCCAACTCTGAGCAGCTAGGACAAGTTGTGAGTAATGTGGAACAGTTCATGGCTATTCATCGTTTTAAGACACTTCATGGCTATTCACCAAAGTGAGAATTTAAAGTAACACTGTAGGCACTGCAACTGGTTAGTTTCAATGAAGTGGTTACATTGCCTTAAGTCCCATGGCGCCATCTTTCCAGGGCCGGACTGGGGAAAAAATTCGGCCCGGGCATTTTTAATTACAGCGGCCCACTGAAAAGGGGGCGGGGCCAGATAGGGTGTGTTTTGTCATCCCCAATGACAAGCACGCCCCATCTCAAAGTGAGCATGTTGGTTCAATGCTCTTCCAGGGCATGAGAAAAGGGCCCTGTATTTGATCTGCACAGCGCAAGCAAATTTAATAACATGCTTGCATTGTGTTTGCTTGAAACTTGTCTCAGGGGTTTGCTAAAATGGAATACTCACTGTATTTTAATACTCACTTTGCTTAAAGGGTATCTAGTGTGTTCATAGGGGATCCTGAGTGTGTATGTCAGAAATGTAGTGTGTGTGTAAGTGGTACAGCGACTGTGTGTAGGGGATCTAGTGTGTGTTTGAAGGACTCAGGAGTGCGTATATGAGATTTAGTGAGTGTGTGAGTGGTGCAGTGTGTTTGGGGGGTGCTGTGTGTGTGAGGGGTGTAGTGTGCATTTGTGAGGAGTATAGTGTGTGTGTGGGAGGGTGGTGTGTGTGGGGGGGTGCAGTATGTGTGTGTGAGGGTGCGGTGTGTGAGGGCGCTGTGTGTTAGGGCACTGAGCGAGGGTTCTGTGTATTTGAGGGTGATGTGTGTTGGGGTGCTGTGTGTGTGTTGAGTTGCTGTGTATGTGTTGGGTTGCTGTGTGTGTGTTGGGGTGATGTGTGTGTGTGTGCTAGGTTGCTGTATGTGTTAGGGTGCTGTGTGTGTGTTAGGGTGCTGTGTGTGTGTTAGGGTGATGTGTCAATGTTAGGGTGCTGTGTGAGTGCTAGGGTGCTGGTGTTAGGGTGCTGTGTGAGTGTTAGGGTGCTGTGTGAGTGCTACGGTGCTGTGTGTGTGTTAGGGTGCTGTGTCAATGTTAGGGTGCTGGTGTTAGGGTGCTGTGTGTGTGTTGGGGTGCTGGTGTTAGGATGCTGTGTGAGTGCTACGGTGCTGTGTGTGTGTTATGGTGCTGTGTCAATGTTAGGGTGCTGTGTGTGTGTTAGGGTGCTGGTGTTAGGGTGCTGTGTCAATGTTAGGGTGCTGGTGTTAGGGTGCTGTGTCAATGTTAGGGTGCTGTGTGTGTGTTGGGGTGCTGTGTCAATGTTAGGGTGCTGGTGTTAGGGTGCTGTGTGTGTGTTGGGGTGCTGTGTCAATATTAGGGTGCTGGTGTTAGGGTGCTGGTGTTAGGGTGCTGTGTGAGTGCTATGGTGCTGTGTGTGTGTTAGGGTGCTGTGTCAATGTTAGGGTGCTGTGTCAATGTTAGGGTGCTGGTGTTAGGGTGCTGTGAGTGTTAGGGTGCTGTGTGTGTGTTGGGGTGCTGTGTCAATGTTAGGGTGCTGGTGTTAGGGTGCTGTGTGTGTGTGTTGGGGTGCTGTGTCAATGTTAGGGTGCTGGGTGAGGGTGATGTGTGTGTTTGCAAGGATTTTGTATTGGGGAGGCAGGTAAATGGCACTATTAATGTTTTACTAAAAAAATATAATAATAATAATAAATACATAATAAATAATAAATACATAATAATAAATACATAATAATAAATAATAATAATAAATACATAATAAATAATAAATACATAATAATAATAATAAATACATAATAATAAATAATAATAATAAATACATAATAATAAAAATACATAATAAATAATAAATACATAATAATAATTAATAATAATAATAAATACATCATAATAAATAATAAATACATAATAATAAATAATAATAATAATAAATACATAATAAATAACAATAATAAATAATAATAATAATAAATACATAATAATAATAATAATAATAATAATAAATACATTATATTAACCCCCCCTCTATTCTTACCTGTAGTCTGGAAGGGGGGGGGTGGGTCGTGCTCCTGCCAGCCATCCCTGGTGGTCCTCGTGGTAAGTGAACTCTAGCCCTTTGGGGCTAGAGTTCACTCTCGCGAGACCCGGCCGGTTGCCATAGCAACGGTCCGGATCTCGCGAGAGAAACCCGGCGGAGCTGCAAGTTAGAGCTCCGCCGGGTCCTCTTTCCTGGCGGCTGTCTCCCTCCCTCTCTCCCCGCCGGTGGCCACGTTTGAGAGCATGTGGGCCGGTGAGGGAGATCTTTGATCTCCCCACCGGCCCTCCATGGAAAACAGCGGGGCCGGCGCTCGGATAGTGCCGGCCCTGCATAGACCGGCAGGGGAGATCCTGGGATCTCCCCTGCCGGCCTCGGCCCCACGGACACCGCGGCCCACCGGGCATTTGCCCGGTGTGCCCGATGGCCAGTCCGGGCCTGCATCTTTCCATTCAGCATTAAACCGTTCTTAAAGGCGTATAAAACTGCTGTAGTGGTTATGATGGTAGGAGTACCCTGGCGCTGTTCCAGGTAATAATAGTGCAAACTGTTTGCTCTTTTACATGGTTCTGACAGGAGTTGGGTCTGGTCGGTAACAGGATTTATGATATCCAACCCCTGCAGTGCAGTGATGATCCTGCAACTCATTGATTGGCAGAGCATCAGCTAAACGCTCTCAGCCAATGAATTAAAATCCATGCATCGAAATTTGTACAGAATTTACATTAGCCAACCTGTAACTAGTTCCAGGCTGACTGATGACACCCCAATGGAGCTGCCAGAGATGGGGGCTATACATCTGGCAGTGTTTTAAAGCAAAGGTCTAATGCGTATGAGTGGCGAATTAGACCTCCCCATAGATGCATTATTGGCAATAAAATAAAATAAAATCAGACACTGCAGTTTCTCATTCCGAGCGTGAGGACGTCCAGCGTCAGATAACAGACCCAAAGTCAGTTTTGATTCAGGAATCACCCCCAGTGGCTGTCAGACTTAGAGCTGCAATGTAAACATTGCAGTTTCTCTGGAACTGCAATGTTTAACATTGCAGCACTAAGTGCAATAGGGTCACAGCACCCAGACCACTTCAATTAGCTGTAGTGGTCTGGGGGCCTACAATGTCCCTTTAAGGATTATTTAAATTTTTCTCAGCTATTTTGACCTTAAATTTCAAATTCACCTCGAATTCTCACTTTAGTGAATAACAGAGAATGGAGTGACAGTTCCAGGGGACTGCAGGCACTATAACTAATTCAATTGGATGAAATGGTTAATCACGCCTACAGTGTCCCTTTAAAGTGAATTTCAAATTAAAGACCAATGTAGCCAAACTGGAAGCAAAGCGAACTTACAGAATGGTTTCCAGGTCGACTACCTTTACCTTGAATTCGAAAAATTCACTCTGGACTCTCACTTTAGTGAACAATCCCTGGATAATAACCATTACCATGAGCTATAGTGGTTATAGTACACACAAACACACTAAAAAATATTATTTATATAATATTAGACATCAGTGGCCACAAGCTGAGTTTCATATGACTCAAATTACGAACAAGGTAAAATAGGTGATAGAAAAATAAAGATTTTTGGATGGGAAAAAGTGTAATAAGACATTACTCAAACACTAAAATAGTAAAAAATGTATTCCAAAATATATTGAGACAAGGAAAAGGAACACTCCCACCCCTAACAGCAGCTTTGGTTGTTATGGGGGCACTAGCGTCGGAGTGCAATCTTTCCTTTAGAGGTAACAGTTTTTCAACTATTAAGCCATAAAGCTGGTTCCCTAGAGCTGGGCACCTCTGCCTCCACACTTGCAGGGACAGGATGGCAATCTACAGGACTGATGCCAAAAGTAAAGCATCATTAATAACACAGAATGGAATCAATACCTCTGTGAAAAACTGTATATATGGAGCATTGCAAAGCACTGATTGTTCAGGTCAGATGCCACTTGGAAACTACTTGTAATCTAGGACAACTCTCAAAAAACATACCTTGTGTAACAGAATAAGAAGCAAAACCGCTAAACAATGGGGATGGGGAGTTTTTTGAACACAATCAAAATGTACAGCCATTCTACATTATCTGGTGCCAACTGGTAAATATGGTGGCAGTTCTGTAATGGCATGAGCAACTGTGCAGAACATTTAACATGGTCAAGTGCATCTCAGTGGAAGAGCGAGACATGGAGAACAGCTGTTACCTTCAAAAACATCGGTCATTTTGCATATCTGAGCAAAAGTTGATCCATTTGCCCAAGTGTAGACAACATCCATGAGGTTTGGTCGAAATGAGCCCAAGTACGTCTCCTCATCTATTTCTAGTTTAGCTTCTGATGAAACCTTTGCAATCCGACGGGCCGTTTCCTGTTTAATAAGTGAATTAGCAGTTGAAGAAGAGGCACAGTTGTATAAACTATTACAAATGGTTGACAGTGCATCTCACAACTTATGGCAAACATTAGAACAGAAAACTGTTCATTTAAAATATTTTAAGCAACCTTAAAAGGACACTAGTCTTTAAAACTGCTCTATTAAGCTAAAGTTATTTTAATGTATAGATCATGCCCCTGCAATCTCACAGCTCAATCCACTGTCATTTAGGAGTTAAATCTCCATTTATGCAGCCCTAGCCACACCTTCCTTGGCTGTGGCTGACACAGTCTGCATGAAAACACAATGGTTCCATTTTAAATCAGATGTAGCTTACTTTAAAAGTTGTTAACGCCTGCTCTGTAAGTTGAAGTTTAATTACATACAGGTGACTTGCTGGGTCTAACAAGCAATTAACAGAGCAGGAGATCAGAAATTCTAAAATAAGAATTTGCAAAAAAGGAAGTGTAAACGTTAGAGGACTTAACAGGAAGTGTTTAGAAAGGCTGTGTATGTTACATGCAGGGAGGTGTGATTATGGCTGCACGAACAAAGTAATTTATCTCCTAAATGGCAGAGAATTGAGCAGTGGGACTGCAGGGGCTTGACCTATACACCAAAACTGTTTTGGTGACTACAGTGTCTCTTTAATAAGAATAAAAAAAATAGTTTTAAAAAACATTTTGCAACTGGCCTCCCATTAAGAGAAACCGTATATACTGCTCATTCTCTCAGCCTATCACTGGCTATCCAGCTAACCCTTCAAGGACTGCAGTGCAGAAAGGAGCAGAAACCTGGAGATAGAAATGCTGGGCATCAAAGCCCCAACTTTGGTGTTAAAACAAACTGTTTAGGCCATCACATTAGAAGGCAGACACTCCTGCGCCCATAACAATGTAAGTGAGCTTAAGTTAATATAGGCGTGGGAGTGTTCCTTTACTATTACATGGTTTTGGAATGCACTTTGTAAACAGCATGGGCTGTATTTATCTATGAAGATTGCAAGAATTCAAGAGAGATTGATTCTCCCCCCCCATTCTGATAAACCTTTTTTTTGACTCTTTTCTGGCAATTAAGCAAAATTCTGCAATTTGACCAAGGATGGCCTTGAATAGACATCTGTGTACAGAGCACACGAATATACAATAGAGTAAACACCAGAGGAACAACTCATGGTAACATTGTACGTTTTAATATTGCTACTGTCAATATTTATTTCACAGTGACATGCATGGCAATGTTTTAATCATCTGAGTACAGAGTCATGTGCTGGGCACACCAATAATTCTAATAGGTTTAATATTAAGTGTTTCAGTTATTAGACTGGAAAATGAAATTAGCAAGTCAAAACGGACACAGAGACAGATGATGACTCCATTTTACCTGCATTTGCCGGAGAGGTCCAGCCAGCTGTTCTGTAAGTTTGGGCATTTCACTTGACTAAAAAAAAAAAAAAATGAAAGAAAACATGGAGCATTAGGTTACCTTGAAAGCAGTGGTAAGAACAAATCAAATTAGGCATCTCAGATTTCACGATAATGGGTTGTATGCTCTGAACCATGACTGTGGCGGAGGAAGCATCCTGGCAGTCATGACACCATGCTAAATTTCTTTGTATGGACATGACATAGTACACTTGTTTTATTAGAGCATTATCCCAGCCATAAAAAAAGGAAAAGAAAAGAAAAAAACGGAATAATTTGATATTACTGACACGGCTTACAAAAGTGTTTTGTATGGGCAGGCTCACTTTAAACAGGTAATCCTACAAAAACAGCTTTAAATAGTGTTGCAAAGTCACAAATAAATATTTTTTTATCTACGGATTGGCACCCCCCCCCCCGTAGGCCAGCGCAGACCAGACAATTCTCAAGATAAATAACACTTAAAAGGAATTAACTGTTATTCACTGAAGTTGATCTGACCGCAAAGGATCACCCTAACATGACCCATTAAATAAATAACTGGGGGGAAAAATTCTAAAGAGATAAGTGGGAGCAATAAAAAAAAAAATCCAATCTTAGAAAAGATGTGTCATTCTAGGAGCGCACACTGGGAAATCCCACCAACTTCCTCTGAGAGACCCAGCTGTAAAAACAAACCACTTAATGAGAAAATGCCCCCAGACTCCCATCTGCGACATATGGACAGCACACGGCACAGTATGAAAGACAAAATGTTTGCCTTGTGCACACTCAGCCACTTCTCGCAGAGTTCAAATGGCTACTAGAATGGATCTTGCATAATGCATTTCATTACAAAATAATTTGTTAAAAAGCAAAAGTTTATTGACTGTTTCCCAGAATTACATGCCCTCTCACATGTACAAACATATTTAGCCCCCCAATTTGACTTTTTACATAGCTGTAACGGACAAACAAGTGGGCAACATATCCTTTATAAATGAAGGAATCATTTTTGCAGGAGGTGAAGCTAGAGATATTATTATTATCGCCATTTACAGAGATATTTTCTGTATGCACCAAGACAAAATACTGCAGTTTGCAGATACACAAAATAATGCTTCAAGCAGCATCCCTATAATCTGTATTAAAAGGAAGTATTGCCTGAAAAAACGTATACCTTTTTAGAATCAAAATAGCTCCAGTGCATTATGAAAGCATTCAAGTCCTCTAACACAAGTCAGCCCTCAAGTGGTTAAGGGGATACCTGCTTGTTCCATCAGACTTGTATTATAAAAATGAAAAATAAAAAATAGTGCCCCAAACAGTGATACAGGAACGTGTATAGTTTGGACTTCCCCAATCCGGATATATCGCCTTAAAAATACAACGTATTTGTATCCAGCATGTCAAGCATTATTTTTCCACTTTGCTTAAAGCGGCACTGTCAGGACGAATCCTGTTTTTTTTTGTTTTGTTTTTTAACCCCCTACCGCCTCCACTACATCTAACTGACCCCCTAGTTACCCCCAAATGCCCCTAAGCCCCCCATATTACCTATTTTTTAATCTTTATTTTCTGCCCCGATCTTGATTCAGGGCGCCGCCATCTTTGTGTGGGTAGACGAAGTCCCTGTGGGACACGTCATCTGCCCACACTAGATAGACTGAAATTCCAGCACATGCCCAGTGAAACACCTGGACATGCGAACGGGAATTTCATCTATTCATTCATCAGAAAGCCGAATGAATGAATAGAAATGTCAGATGAACAAACTAACACATTGTATCAGTGTTTGTTTGTTCCTTCTGTTTATTACAAGGAGGGAGATACCGGCGCACAGCTCCCTCCTTGTAATATGTAAAGATAGAAGCAGCAGGGAGCAGTGCGCCCCACCACCTCATAAGCCCCCTAGATCCCCCCTCACTCTATGGGGGTCAATATGACCCCCATAATAGCATAAGGGAGATTAAAATCTCCCCAATGCCCTTACTCGCTATACCGTAAAATGACACAGCGTGTGAAAGTTCTTTGGAATTTTCCCACGCTGTGTAAAATGACACAGAGCACTGTAATTGGATGGCTTGAAATCTATCCAGTCACAGTGCTCTGTGTCATTTTACACAGCATGGGAAAGTTCTTTGGAATTTTCCCACACTGTGTAAAATGACAGAGCACTGTGATTGGCTTAAACCCACCAATCAGAGTGTTCTTAGCCTAATTGCAGGGTGGGGCAAGGCTTTATAAGTGGGTCCCCAAGGCTTTATAAGTGGCCCCCACCCGCCGCCCTGGGGTGGGAAGGACAGTAGGTCTCCCCCCCCCCTCATTATCACTATGGCCCCCACCCGCCGCCCAGGGGTGGGAAGGACAGTAGACCCCCCCCCTCAGGATCACTATGGCCCCCACCCGCCGCCCAGGGGTGGGGGAGGACAGTAGGTCCCTCCCCCCGCCGCCCAGGGGTGGGAGAGTAGGTAGTCCCCCCTCATTATCATTATGGCCCCCACCAGCCGCCCAGGGGTGGGGGGGAGGACAGTAGGTCCCCCCCCCCCATTATCATTATGGCCCCCACCCACCGCACGGGTGGGGGCCGGGGCCAATAGATCTCCCCCCTTATTTTACTTTAGGGCCCCCATCCGTCGTTTAGGGGTGGGGGCCAATAGGTTTTTATTTATTTAATTTTTTTTTAGAGTGAGCAGCCACAGGCTCACTGTTTACTAGACATACCCCTACTTGCGGTATAGCAAGTAGGGGCAGCATTTACTAATACGAAGTAATTTTTACTTAGTATTAGTAAATGTGGCTGGAAGACCAATTTAGGTATTTCAGCCTTTTAGTAGATAGCTCCCTGATACCGTGGGAATTAGGGAGTTGTCTACCAAGTGGCTGCAAGATGCAGCCACAGCACGAATAAGATCGGAGTTTCATTCATTAAAATGAAATTGCGATCCGAACAAAGTGCTGAATTGCGTTCTAAAACAAACGAACATACTGTTCTCATTCAGTTAGAACACAATTCGTCAGTTTCGTCTAAAATGACAGGAAGCATCGCGAGATCACAGAGGAAAGGTAAGAATTATGGGAAAATTGCTCTGACCAGCGTAAATTAAGCACACTTTGCTCCTCCGCTGGTCAGAGCTGGTCAAGTGGAGGAAACCTCCATAAGGCAAAGAGTCCCTACTTTGTCTTATGATTTTAAAGAAAACTAAAGAAGACAGGAAGAAAAGAATAACAGATCCTGAGAGAGGAGGAGAAGAGGAAGAGATTGGGGAAAGGTAAATTCGGCATGACAGTGCCACTTTAAAAAAGCAACCAGATTAACTGTAAAGTGTTGCAGAATATGTTGACACTGTACTAATACTGACAAAATCTAATTATTTATATGGTTATTTACATGAATGAAGACAAATATATATATATGATGAATGAATATAGGTACAAATAAATCTCTGCAGACCATGACAAATATAACATGAAAAATTCATTTAATTTACGAATATATTTATAATCTAGTTGTTCACCGGGTTCAGAACTGTATTTTTTTGTTCAAGAAGGTTTTGTCTTAATGGGGTGACTTCCTATATAATTTATATTGGTTTAGCCTTTAAATAAAGCAAAAACTCATAAGAATTGAATGTAAAACTGCGGAGAAATAAATAATTTTCTTCCAAATGTATAGCAACTGTCCCTTTAACAAACAGCATGACTGTGTGAGTTTATCAAGGCACAATTTAATCTAGACATTAATAGAATTCACAGCTATTTTATTGATGAGATAGATATAGATATAGATCTATATATCTCTATCATCAATAAAATAGCTGTGAATTGAAATATATATATATATATATATATATATATATATAAAACTTCAATGGTCTTTGCACTCAAACTTTAATATTTATATCACTGGGTGCATAAAGCCAAATGCTAAAGCATACAGTATGAATAGTAAGAGGCTTGCACTCACGGTTTTTAAAGTAGTAAAAATTCTCCTTTATTACATTTTCTTTAAAATCTGATCGACATTTCAGCCCTCCATCTGTGGCTTTCCTCATGATCCTGAGGCTTTCCTCAGGATGTATTGTTTCTGAGGAAAGCCACAGATGGAGGGCTGAAACGTCGATCAGATTAGAAAATGCAATAAAGGAGAATTTTTACTACTTTAAAAACCGTGAGTGCAAGCCTCTTACTATACACACACACACACATATACATATATATATACACACACACACACCTTAGTGGACAGAAATGGTTGTTCCGAGTATCTGTACACATAGCCATTGCCTCCATGCAACTACACAGCAATCTACTAGTCCATGATGCACATACATGTAAGAAATTGTGAGATGCTGCATAATATGTAGACTGATAAATTCAACTTCATGTAGGTATATACACTCTTCATACGGTTTTTGGATGACAGATTCACTTAAAACACAAAACCAATTACCCATGAATGCAAGTGCCTTACTTCATAAACAGGTTTACATTATTTGAACCAGCAGCCAGACGCTGATCAAGCATTAAGCAAGCTATACGTCATAGTAAACTAGAGATCAAGGCTGTGGCGTTTAACCACTGCAACAATAAGCAAGCACACTTTGCTCTCACAAATCATAAGAGAAATTTTACTTCCTCCTTTGTGGTGCGCATTTCACCAAAGTTGGGTGTGTGGTGCTTGTACTAGTAAGAAGTAGAGTAAGCTAGATGGCCCACAAATACACAATCAGCAGCCTGGCACATTGCTGGACTGTCATAAAATGATGGCAATATACTGATTATCTTGTGTTATGTGTAAAACTGGAGATGGGGGTACTCTCTTATTCTAGAATACGCTGGTGGACACAGGTTTAGCGGATAAAATAGACTACACAAACCATGGGGGAGTCTGCCTACAGATACAGACAGTAAGTAGATTTGATTGATTTCTGCACGGTTTGTTTGATGCCTTGAAAAACAGTGGGTCAATTTTCACTTACAATAAACCCAAACAAAATGTTGAGTGTTGCCTGTGTGCTGTGATGCTGATGTAACTATAGTGATGTTATGGTCATCTTACTTTACTTTGTTGTTTTCCTTTCTGTACTTGATGCAATTTTCACAGAAACCGTCAATACAAATCTAAACATTGAAAAAACACCCCCCCCCACAAAAAAAACCAAAAACAATAAAACCCAAACACCATAAGGTGGAAATGTGGTCTCAGTTAATGACGTGTAATGCAAGACTTCAAAAGAAATGACTTACATTTTCTTGAAACACAAAGCAGCTGAGAAGAGCGGTTGCTTGTTCTGATGTCAGGTCATTAAAAAGACCATTAAACATCATTTCGGTGAGTAAGAGCTCGTCCGCACTGCAAAATACAAACATTATTAAATAAACGAACAGGGAATTTTATGATCAACAATGATGTACACCAAGTAAAATCGTGTTACAAGAATTGACATGGATTAGACTTCATCTCAGAATGTCCACACTCTGACATTTATTTTCACAAGGAACACAATCAGTGCTATAATTCAAACAAAAATGGTTTTATCGAGCATTTGAAGTCCAAGGATAAATCTGACTGCCATTCTGGGGTCGAGAAGGAATTTTTTTCCTAGCTTGTTGCAAAATTGTGCTTCAACTGGGTTTTTTTTGCCTTCTTTTGGATCAACAGCAAAAAACAAATGTGAGGTAGGCTGAACTTGATGGACGCAAGTCTCTTTTCAGCTATGTAACTATGTAAGATATTTTAGAAAACTGAACACAAAATCGCGAAAATGTAGGTAAAAATAGTAAAGCAATACTGGATAAATTTGACTTGTAACGGGTAATGTAACAACTTGCTTTTTACCATTATTCATAATGAAGGTGTGCCAGCTCCTGAGCACAGAATCCCTATTTCCTAAAGTCTGACTCACCAGAAAAAAATAAATCACCAACTCGCACAGTCTTTACTTTTCAGTATGTAACTTGATAACTATGCCCTACGCTCTGAAGGACTACAAAACATATGCAAACTACCTTCAAAACTTTGCATCACCCCAGGGATTAAGATTTCGGAAATTACAAGCAAGAGTCATGTAGCAGTGAGCAATGTTATCATTGGCACATAAATAATGAGAGATAAATGAAAGCCATATCGAGAACATACCTAGCATCAATTTATTTGTGGAGTTAATGTTAAAGATATTAGTGGATATTAACTTAGATGTGTGTAATCAATCTCTTGCAAAACAGTCCCAATGTTAAATGTAAGGCACTACAGAAAGGTTTGGCCTATATATGAATGCAAACTCTCTCTAGAATGCAGGGCCCTCAGCATCCTCTGTTACTGTGTGTCCAACTCACCTCGTTACAAATACTTGTCAGTTAGTCCACCCATTGTACCGTGCATCGGAATTTGTTGGCGCTTCATAAATAACATTCATGCAGTATTTTATAAATATCTTAATCTGAACAAATGTTTACTGGAGTAATACACATAAATTACAGTTTGGGCTACCTACCTGCTGATTTCACAAGCCACCCGCCCTTTCATTTCAATGACGTCAGCAGAGGTGGCAAAGCCCATTCTTCGCAGGACTCGCTTGCGGCATTTCAGCTCATCCATCTGTAACACTGTACGCGCTTTTTTCAATTCACGCTTGGCAGATCTTATGTCCACTGCAATCTAACAGACATTGAAAGTAAAACCACACATGATCAGCCAACTGTGCTATACGGGTTTAGGCAGGTTTCCCTTATCTCTATAGTCCTATTATAATTGCACTGTTAAATTAATGAAAGCCTGTGGAAATCCCTAACATAAATCAAACACCGTAATAACAAAAACAAATAAGCATGCTCTTAAAAAGCAGGCACAATCCACAAACAAGAAATTAAGGGCATTGGTAATATTCCTTATAAACCTAAACTTAAAAATTGTATGGGACAGATGGCACTGTGTAGCTGGGCACAAAGATGGCACCAATAAGCTTTTGGGGGGCAAAGCTGGCACTGCAGGGAGTTGGTGACATGTTACCTGGTAAAGTTGGGGGGCCCAAATAGGTGTGGTTAGAAGTATGTTAGAAAAGGAGAGGGGTAAGACATATAACCACTCCCACATTGGGCACCCAAAAAAAATCTTGCACCCAGGCTTCAGACCTTCGGATCGGTCCTGCATTTATGGTTTGAGTAACCAATGGAAGGAATTATTCATTTTAAAAGTTTGCCTAAAAATTGGAAAACCAACTCTGTAAACTACATCTTGCCAACCTACTTGGCTTACTTTGGCACCTACTTATTGACCAAATCTCAACAGTTTAACCCCTTAAGGACACATGACGTGTGACATGTCATGATTCCCTTTTATTCCAGAAGTTTGGTCCTTAAGGGGTTAAAGCCTTTACTTTTGTAAATGTAGGTTGGGATGTGTATGCAGTCACATTAGTATATACTAATAGAATTGTCTCAAAAGTTGGAGGACACACCCCACAAATAACTTAATTTTTGCATCACCATTGATGTAAACCTCTCTCTATGCCACACTTTATGGTTGACTGGAGCAGATCTAGTAGGGCAGTAAAGTAATAACTGGACATGTTCTAAAGATGATATCCTTTGAAAGAACCAGATTTATGGTCACAGACCTTCAGGATAACCTGATGTACTGCCAATGTTTGCCCAAACAGACTTCACAGCTTATTAAAGCAAAAACAAAATATGACTTCAGGGAACTAATCATTAGCAACAATGGCAAATAAAGGTCTTCTATTTTCAGTCAGTACCTGTGCTTTCTTCTCACATAGCTTGTACAAGGATTCCAGATTAGGGTCGTTGTTCAGAGGATGTGAATACATCCTGTGCTCAAAGGCTTCTGTCTTCTGGACAACTTTCTTCAGCCCTGGATCTTTGATTCCCATGTCATCGATTGGATCCAACAATGGCACACCATCTGGGAATCTTTTCTGAACCTCCTAGAAAATACACATTTAAGACTTTCTTCTAAACAATGGAAATCAATGCTTGTCATAAATCATATAATAAAAAGAAACAATTTTTGTTGGCAACCTTTCATGCAAACCTTGAAATGACTGGGTTTATAAAATGGGCTGAATAGGAAAGGGTTTGGAAAGCATATCAAAGTTTCAACAATCTAGGATGGTAAAGCTTACCATTGGTCTGACACCTCCAGTGGATACTTTCTGATGATGCTCAGTCATTGTTTGGCTGTCTGAGCATTAGAAGAAACAGTGTACAAGAGGTGCTGACCTGAATTCAGAGTAGCTGGCATGAAGACATGAAAATATCAAAACATTGCCAATGAGGGCTAATCCAGCATCAACAAGTGGATTATGAAGGTTGGTCATCTTTGGTCTAGCATAGCACATAATCATCAGTTCATTGTGAACACATTTGTAAGAACCAATGAAATGCAAAGTAATATTTTAATGGATGACCAACACTATTTTCACACTTTAAAATAAACTGTTTCTATAAAACACCAAGATTGAAGGAAGGATTTCAAGAAAGCTGCACACAGCAACGACACAATATACACAGCCATGCACAGTATGTGGAGGCATAGATTTAGGTGACATCAAGTCTTCAAGCATGAGAAGGATCGCAGAATTTTAATTGATATTGAAAACTGGAAAAAATAACAGCCTGAAATTGGAAACGCTGCATAGTGATATTGTTAATAAAAACAGATTCTGAAGTTATGCATGCATTTCTCGAAAGTCCTGTAAGAAATCACATTCAAATTACCTGGATAGATTTTAACACACTTTGTCTGTTGTCAAGAGGCCGGAGATCTTTAGGGATATACAGACGCACACTACTAATGGCAGTGAGTAAATGAAGCATTACCGGAACAACCTGCACAAATCAAAATAAGATAAAGACTACTGCAATTAAAAACAATATTACACACACACATAAAACAAACCAACAAGCAAAAGTACAGAGTCTCCTATATTCTTCGTATTCTTATACATATATTCTTATGTAAAACACACACACTTAATGTTGTAAAGGACTATTGTAGTTGAAAATGGCATACAGAAACACGGTATCAGCAACCATCTCTCCTGTGTTCCAATGGCACATTATGCTTGCGAATCCAAGTTTATCATTTCAAAAAAGCAAAGTGATCATTAGAAAACCTTCATGCAATTATGTCAGCACAGCGAAACTGAAAACTGTTGATTAAAGAAGCAATAAAACTGGCCTTCATTACAATAGTTAATTATCTAGAGCTACAGCAACTGTGGGTTTGAATACAGGCTCAAGATGGCCAAAAACAGAACTTTCGTCTGAAACCCATCAATCTATTCTAGTCCTGAGAAGTGAAGGATACTCAATGCGAGAAATTGCCAAGAAAATGACCCTCACACAACATTGTGTACGAATTCCTTCACAGAACAGCCCAAATTGGCTCTAACCAGAATAGAAAAAAAATGGGAAGCCACAGTGTACAACTGAGCCAGAGGACTCAGTTCTGATGATCTCAGCCAAAGAGGTGGGCAGAGCCAAACACCACCTTGGTCAAATCAGCATCTCCTCATAGAGATACATTGAATGAATACATCTCTGTAAGGAAACTTCAGTGTCTCAATCCAGAGGGTGGAGATACTGAATGTCAGTGCTGCACACTATTCAGCACTGCTCCAGGAAGGACCTCTAGTAGCCATCTGAGGAGTATCTAGGCTGTAATGTAAACACTGCCTTTTCTCTGAAGAGATAATGTTTACTGCAAAAAGCCTGCACAGTCTGACCATACTCACCAGAACAACTACATTAAGCTGTTCTTTCTTGTGGTGGCTGTAGTGGCCCTTTACATTTTCATATTGTGACTTTTATACTGCAGATTAATAGTTTATAGACTCCTCCTTACAGATTAATCACATTATGGGATTTATTTTCAAAATATTCTTTAGTACCTTTAATCAGGCTTGTTCTTCAATATGGGATTAATTTAAATATTATCAGTGTCTACATTTTAATCAATAGAAATTAATTTCATGAGGCAAGGGTACTTGGAATTGTTTTCGATCTGCAGTGATACTTCTCCATAAAAGGTTGAGAAACACTGATTACTGATGTATGTGGGTAAGTTGTGCCACTTTATGGTAGATGTTCTGTACAGAAAAGGAAGCAGATCTCACACGCAGACACTAAATCTTGGCAAGCTTTGATTAAAAAAAAAAAAAGGGATTCTTGCATTGTTCATCCCTCTTGCACAAGACTAAAACCAAAGAGCACAATTATTAAACAATCTGTTAGAGAATGTCTGCTGTTAATTCCTTGAATCTCCTAAGAGAAAAGACTCTATGGTGCTGTCAAACATGAATTTTATATTTAAAGCAGAGACTAAATTAGTCAAAACAGAAATAATAATAAATAAAAAAAATTATCTGCTAACGATACTTTCCATCTGTCCTTTAAATAAAGAACTTTATAAAATAATTTAAGTAAGAAATTTCCCTTGAGACAAGAAAATATGCCAGGTCAGTGACAAGCTGCCCTCTGACACTTTGATGAGAGCAGAGCCTGGCTATCTCATAGCTTGTAATGGAAGGCCAGCCTAAGTCAACACGAGAAAAGCAGAATAGGGTGAACGTACTAAAAGGAAAACAGAATGTGTACACTATCCTACACAGGACCATGAGATCAATATGCATCCAGGAATAGGCTGGTAATTAGCTTTTAGCTCAACAAAATTTTGATGGGCTGTCGACAAGGGTACTGCGCTTTTTGGGAAACCATAGCAAAGGCAATAATAATGTTAAAAAAAAAAAATCAAGAAAAAAAAACAAAAAAAACCCATGAATAAAAGTAAGCTTTGGGCCACCTCCAACTCACTTTCAGCAAAGCATATTAACTGGAATCTGCATGTGGTGTCCAAATGTGCACTTGGATTTGCTGCCAGACTCCAGGAGAAGATCGAGCTGAATCGTGGCAAGTTTCTATTCACTTATTTTTCAATAAGTGTTTGCAAATGGGTTTTTTATGATTATTTCTATACAAACTAAAAGCATTGCCATCCTCCTATCTAGAGGGACAAAACCAGCAAAAGGAATCGCCACTATGCAGTACTCTGCATGTGACATCTTGTACTGTACCTGGGTAGATGAAAGATCAGGGTTTGGAGCAATTTTTTTTTTTAAGCAAGAACCGGTTAATTTTTTAACATATATTAATTTCAATATGCATGAAGGGTTGAGGAGCTTACTGGTTAAAAAGGTTTTTTTTTTTGCCTGTTCAGAATTACATAAATGTGGAGAGAGTGCATTACTGAGCTCTGGCCTTTGGTTAGGGGAGAAAGAACAAAGTATAGGCTTTTGTGCATGAGAAACTCAATAATGCTCCCACTAAGCAAATTATATATGGATTTGACAGTTGTATGCTGCTAGAGGTGTGAAAGCATATCCCTGCAACCAGTGGCGTAACTACCAAGGTAACACCCCTTGATGGCTGGAACGCCATAGTGACAGTTGTCTATGTAGTTTGCACCAGCCTGCAAATAATTTTATATATTGCCATTGAATATATTGCCACTTTAAGAGGGAGCGGTTACAAAGGTCCCAGCACTCATCTAGTAAGCCACAGAGCTACAATGGGGTAGCCAGGCAGCACGGACTCATTGAATGAATAAAAGTGGTGTGCACTGTGGTCTGTACCCCCTGAAAGAGCAGCCCACATTATCCTCCACTGGACCACCAGGGATCCTGCTTGCACCCACTGGATCACTAGGGATTGAACGGTCCTACCAGCATAAAGGTAAGCAGGAGGGCGGGTTTAATAATAAATAGTGACATCCCCACATACAACCAGAACCAGCCAACCCCAACACACACGGAAGTGGGGCCGCCCCTGATTGTTTCACTGGGGCCATGAGGTTTTAGGTTCCCTCCTGCCTGCAACCACCAGTATGGCCTGAACAGGAAAAGAAAGCATTCACAGAAATGTGTGCAATTTTAAGTTATTCACTCTGCTTCCAGTGACTCCATTAACATCAATGTCTCATCTCACGTGGAGGAATAAAAAAACAAAAAACAAAACCCACCTATTGGGGCATCTCAGCAATCCAGCCCAAGCACAAACCCATACAGAAACATCCCGTAGAATCCCAGCCATTGCACTTCCAGGTGCAGCAGCCCCCTCTCGTGCAGAGAGAACTTGCTGGCATTTCGGATCTGGACTGCCCGTATGGGTGGGACCAGTCTGATATGTTCTCTCTGTAATGGCACAAGATGAGCCAAAACCAGCTTGAGTTCTGAGCAGGGACCCACCGAAGGGCAGGCTATTTTAGCTGCTGTCCGTCCTCAGAATACTCTTGCGACCCATTTTTTGCTCTGCAGCAGCCCACAAACCCTGTAATACCTGTGGCCTCCTCAAGTCACTATTACGTGAAACTCTTATTCTAACTATTTAAAAAATATGGCACAGCTTATATGCTGTATATCTGATCTAGAGTGAGAAAAGAAAAAAAATAGAACAAACCTGCATCTCCCCCTTCTCATCTGGTCTTGCAGGCTTGGCAGCTTCAGTGGCGGCGTTTTTCAGACTCTCCTTACAGCAGTTTAGTAAGACTTCTACCACATAGAGGGGGTCCAGTTCCCCGGAGTTCGGCTAGGAACAGAACAACAGATTTAAAGTATGAAACTGACCGACGGCAACATTTGGAAAGACACCATTAAAAGTCCTGAAACAGTGACAGGCAGAATTGAAACACATTGTGGTCTGCTGGAGACAAGTTGTGGATGGAAAAGCAGAAAGTTTTTTTTATACAGCAGAGAGAAGTGTTTGTAGCATTCTGTGTCAGAGTCCTACCATAGTGTGCAAGGCTCTGTTTGCAGCACAAACAGAAATGTGCAGCTACCCTTTAAAAGCAATGGATCATTTTAGTCAAGTAAACTTTAAAAATGAATTCAGAATTAAAAAAATAAATAAAAAAAATAATAATTATATTTATACCATGTTTTTAGGGGCATGAAAGCAGAATGTGGCCAGAACTGTAACAATATGGGAAAATTCACATAAGTTCAAACATGGCATCTCCAAACAAATACTAAATACTAAAACAAAATCAATAGTATTTGCACAACACATTCTGTGATAATTTACTGCACCAACTAACAGGCGGCCACCACCTTTTTGGTTGGTGAAATAAAGGAACACACAGACTGTTCTACATTCACGCTGGAGTTTCATTCTTTAACTGGGCAGACAGGAGACAAAAAGACAGGATTATTAAATCAAGTCTGAAACTTCGTGTAAATCATATTTTAGGCCAAAACAGCCAAATTGGGGACAGAATGTAAACTGCGTGTTCATTTCAGTTATTTTGACCTTAAATTTGTATTTTCACAAAGATTTTTTTTTTAACTCACACTTCAGCGTGGAACCCGGTCACTAACAGAGAAACACAAAGTCAACGTAACTAGATCTCCTTGCCCAAGTTAAAAGGGAAAACTAGCTGTAAATGCAGTAAGCATTCAAGCAGACTTGTTGCGAGCCTCTAAAGGGTAAAAGAAATAGCCTCATGTACTATAAAATGTGTGTTTATTCTTCATATTAAAACATTTTTATTGTTGGTTAGTGACTTTATATAGAATTTATTCACCGTCTACCACTTGCAGATTAAACTCTGCAGCAACATCTGGCAAGAATCTCAAGGACAGCAGAATTAAATTCTAACTAATTAGAGCTTCAAGTAATTTTCAAAAAGAACACATTTTGTTTTTCACCATACAACGTTCAAATGAAGAGAGACTTGAAGCCGTTAAGATAGCGGGGGCTTAAGCTAAAATCTGAGGCTGTCGATCCCTGAATGGCTACACATCCAGTTCAATAGTTTAAATGGCACAAACCTCAATTCTATGTAAAAGTTAAAATAATTTATGTGACACTTCTGACAATATTAAAGGAGTAGGAGAGTCACCAATGCAGTAAGTTTGAAACTTATTACTAAAACATAAATCTTGAGCAGCTTTTAAAAAGAAAATTAAAATAAATTAGAAAATGTTCTCTTTTGCAGAGACAGGCTGTTTCCGCATTTTGTTAAGCAATTTCACAACAGCTGCTCTACCAAAGGTAATCCACCATTTATTTGTATTGCGTGAACCTGCTATATGTCAGAGTGGCTGAATTTGATGGGCTTTGTAATCCACCTAGATGGCTGTACTTTTCCCTAATGTGCATAAATGTTGCACAAGTGGTAACTTGCAAGTTGCAAGGGGATATGACCTTTTTAAGAAAAACATGTTCCACATCACAAACCCCTGTGGGCATATTAAAAACATTTCCTATAACAAACTGTACACTTATGTAAGCTTATGTTTGCACATTTCCAGGGACAGAGACATTTACAGACTGAAATTGTGCAGATCTACAGCACAGATCAGACCAAGGCTCTCCCCACAAACAAACATAGGCTTGCTTTTATTGAGAGCCAGGGTCCCCTACAGCAGAAACGTTACGTGTGAAATACTGATATGAATTAGAAGGCAAAACATTTATTTTGCCCAAAGATACAGCCCTAAACTGCTTGGTTACTGGTGTTCGTGTGCAGCTAAAATAATCTTACAGATTCAACCCCTTGCTAACTGTAGACATGTGGCCGGCTGCGTAACTTTATAGCAGAAGCATTTGGGAATCACTGCGTGGGGCCATCTTGATGCTTTTGATGCCAGAAATAAAATTAATCACAGTAGTGACCGCAAGTGAAAAAAAAAAATAAAAAAATAATTACAAAAAAAAAAAAATAGAAAAATTCTTAAGTTAAGACATGCATAGATTACCTTTACATTAGACTTCTTGGAAAAGTTTACAACTACACCCCATCCGAAATCATCGTCATCGCTTTTCACCTGAGAAAGAAAAGGGGAAAATTAGTAGAAAACGGTTGAAAATAGTAGATTTGTGCTACGCTTTAACTTGTACAATCCATTGCCAAATGAGTGTTTGCTGGCAGTTCAATTGATACATTAAAGACAGAAAATGACAGCATAATAACACGGTTACATCGGATTTTAACCTCAGACAGTTTAATTCCACCATCAAAAAGAAGTAAATAAAGAGGTCGACGTCAGGTGTACCAGAGTAATTTTGTTTAATTGTATGGAGAACCCCCCTTTTTATTCTTCTAACATATCAAGACATTCAGATGTACAGCTATTAAAGCAACAATGGAAAACCTAGCCACCATTTTCACAGACAATTATCAACATCACTTCCCCTTAACTTGCAATGGGGGGAAAAGATTAAACAAACAAAAACAAAAAAATATAGAAACTGATAATCCAGAGGAAGTATAGCAAATCTGGGTATATGGAAAGGGAGAGCACGATGACCTTTTACCCCTTTTTGAAACTTGACTGATTTTGTAAATGCTGAGATACACAGGAACAGAACTACCAACCTCACTAGAAGCAAAATGATTTTAACCAAAAAATAAAAATAAACCAACCCAGCAGATACAGGGAAAAGGCAATAACACGGTTTACTACTATTATTCAGTAAAGCAAACTTAAATTAATAAATGACTAATGGAAAAGCAGTAAAATAGGATTCCAATTGGCAGACACAGACGAGAATGACAGCATTTACTGAAAGAGAGCCCAAGTAACAGCTGCATTGGTAAAAGACCTGGAGAGACCATCTTGTTAAGAGTCATATGAACAGTGAAATAATGAGCAACAAATGACTGGTACTGGCCATGTCTCACCTTTAGCCAAAATACATAGCATTTAGACACGGTTGCCAAACGAAAAGCCATTTCATGCTCATTTTATTGCAAATATAAAATTCATAAGAAAGGGGCCTGGCATGGCAGCAAAGCGCTCTACACGCCAGAGGTTTCACAAAGACTGTCATAGCAGGAGAATTCCCAAACATGGACACTTCTAACACAAATACCGGTCTGTACATAATATCTAGAGCTACTGACTTTCATGGGGGCAAAAAAATAATGAAAGCACGTAGCAGCACCATATCAGTCATGCTAATTTGCATAATCAGATGCACAATGTCACATGACATCACCAGATGTTATGCAATAGGCAACATTGTGTGGAAGTGACGTAAGAGGGCCATATAATACAAGCAATAAACTCAGAAAAAAAAAGAATTATTAAAGAGTTAATAAGAACTTTTTCTTCTTAAAAAAAATATTGTGTTTTTTTTGTTTTATTGGATCAAAGCAGATAATGGGATGTAAAGTTTGAAGATTCAACCTATTTTGGGGTTTCTACAACATCCATGACCACTTTAGTTTTGTTAAGTGGTCATTGAGGAAGGAATTGGTATGTGGAGCATTTCAGCATTCAGAAATAATTGCACTTTTGTACTGGGGGCTAGTTACACCCCTGACAAACATGGATTAGGCAGCCTGCAACTGTCTCAGACAGCCTGATGTCAATTCTGTGCAAAAAATACTTCTGTCTTCAGCATGTACTCCACCCTGGCAACAGATTTAATCCCATTCTTCACTGGCAGGCAGCGCTTGGATTGTGCCTGCAATGTCCTCTCAGCGTCCATCCCTTCAAATTACATTAAACTGAGCTCTCCCCTCTTACTGCTCTACCTCTATTCCCATTCTCTTAATAAATTTAGCCTTTCCTCCATTTACATATGTTCCTTGAACTGTCCTTTGCAGCTACCCCTCCACGCTACCTTTGATTGCAGCGCAGACTGTAATAACAGAGGAGGCGAGGAACTGATTGGGGAGAACATTGGCAATAGAGCATTATAACGCCCGCCCGGAAAATAATAAAGGGTTGGAGTAACCCTTTAAATATCAGTAATCCAAACAAAGAATTACAGGAGTTAGAATAATAGTTACCTTACTTTGATCTATTGTCTCAAACTCCAACACAAATTAAAAGACCTCATCAACAAAACTTGTGAATAATTGTGTCTACTTCAGCCAAGCGCACACGTAAGAAACTATTCTGACCAGGGGTTTTCTTTCTACTGCAGCTAAATGTTCACAATGCCAAACAGGGCATCCCACAAACCATAGAATGCCAACTTGGTAGCGGGGCAGCTAATGAATACATTGCTTTCACTGAAAGTACATTATAGAATCACTTCTCCATTTTTGTTCACTAACATGACCACTTTGTGGCAATGTTAAAATGCCATTTTGTACAGAAAAATCAGGCAAGCAATGTTCTGAAAGTGGAACAATCCAAATGGAGAGCAACGGATTCTGAATCAACAGGAAAGAGATGATTGTTTCCACAGTGATTTTTCTGCTTTCTTTGATCGTCATCCAAAGTTTGACTGAATTTGAGAAAATTTACCGTGCAATAGGGATGAGGCTAGGTGGGTCTTGGTATTTATCCAACAGCTTAAACATAATTTAGGAAAAAGAAAAAAAACCTCAGACTGTGTGCCATAAACCCTTCATTGGGGGGCTATAGTGACTGCTTGAAGTGCCACTTTGATTACCCCACACACATTTTACAAATGCTTAGAAGAAGAAGAGATCACAGTGATTATGCTATACCTTCACTAATCTGCCAGGCTGGAGGAAAGGCAGGCAATACTTGGGCTTGTGGATGTAGTCTTCAATCTCTTTGCCTAGTTTGGCCAGTTGCTGACGGATTTTGTAGTATGTCACAACACTTTCTTCATTGGGAATCTGTATACAATTGTACTGTTCTTCTAACGTCTTTACCTCTGTGCAGCACAGTAAGAAAAAGTGTTAGAGAGAAATCAAGGTGATCAGAATGTACACTCTTAAAATTGAAGATACATTTTTCAGATTGTGACTGGCAATTTCCAAACCTAACCATTCAGATATTTAAGGGCTAGCTGCGCTAAGAAGAATAAAGTCCAAGATAAATGTATTTAGCAAGCTGTGTAAACATGGTGATGATGATAATGGAGTCGCATATTCTATGGGTAAACTTTACAGCGTGATAGGCCTGTGAGTGTCAATGTATTTGGGGAATGTGTTTAATACTCTTGTCTGAACAACCAAACCACAGTTATGGAAGTGTTCACCACAGTCTCAGTATCACACTTCCCTTTTAGAAATATATATGTACATATACGTATATTTATAGACAGACACATACATGCACACACATAGACAAACATACACCAACATATACATATATTTATAGATATACACAAACTAATGGCTGATCCTGTGGGCTGGGCATCATTACTTACATAGTACACAATATTTGCAGTGCCAGTAATGATTACCAGTATATTTTCTCGAGTACTGACAGATGTTATCGCTGACAATTTATAGAAAACACAAACATATCATGCCAACAGTCTTCAGCAATTTTAGTTCTGCCAGAGCACACTGCAGCTGGACCTGAGGAGCCTTCAAAATCTCACACAATCCATTAAAGGCTTCATGAAGCCTAAAGATTATTTGGGTCTATAATGTTCTCCATTACATGATAATGTGCATCGAGAGACAGAGCATTAGCTACCTTACAGTCAGGCCGAGAAACCACTAAAGAGGGAGCTTCTGCTAAAAGCAAAGCATTTACATGGGAGCACTAACTAAAAGACCAACTTAACCGTTTTGTTAGTCCACCCATTGTAAAGCGCTACTGAATTTGTTGGCACTATATAAATAATAATAACGGTCTTTGAAATACCATTACTTACACTGCTCTCATTTAATTATCATGTACTCAATACCTAAACCACCAAATTTAGCACTAGACACAGAAGGTGATTAGTGCCAAAACTAACATCCCATCATTCACACTCATGTAGTAGACATAGAAAAGCAATGAAATCCAGCTTCAGTAAGAAGTGTTTAAATTATATGAAGCTTGCCATTTATGCTTCCCTGAGAATGTTCAATAGATTGGGATTAATTTGTCTGGGTCTGTCATCTATAGGATGTGCACTTAAAAGTAGAATTGCATGCACTCCATTAAGCAGGTTATCATATGCAGTTTAAAACCACAGTTTATTTTCCTCTTGAGTTTGGAAAGGTTTCACTTACTTTCTGCTACTCCAGGAATGGCTCGGTAATGCTGGAATTGGTAAAAGGATTTTTCCAGCATATATTCGGGATTGATTTCTTCTACACGTAAAAGGTTTAGTACCATGTTGTAAGTCAGATGGAAAGCACTGTTCAATGGATCTGCTGAGCCCTGGAAAAGCAAAAAAAATAAATAAAAGTTTTTAAATGGTTGACAGATATTGAATTAAAGACATCTGTCCCATCAAGGAAAATATGTAAACCTCTTAACTTTTACACAGGCCCCTCTGGCAGCCCAGATGGAAACCAAGGTATGACAGTGCCATGCAAACCTCCCAGCATCCCTCTCCAAGCCTTGTGTGACAGCAGCACAGGCTACCTTGCGCGTTCCGAAGCATCAGATTGGACCATTCTCAGGCTCTGTGCACATGTGGGAGGGAATAGCAAGCTTCCCCCTTGAGGAAGCACTGCCTGCAGGGGAAGATCTGGCATCTGAGCACAGAACTGAGTGATATTTGGCAGCCTGGAAAATAGATTTGGGCTGCTAAGTCAAGTTTGCCACAGGTGCAACTAGCCCCTGGCACATAAGTGCAAATATGTCTGTATGTGTTTTAAGCAGAAACGTTGCACTCGCAGACATTACCACCATTCTAAACACAGAAGTGGTCATGGTGGCTGGAGTAACTTTTTACCATCTAGGTTTCACACATCAGATCATATCAGCTCGTAAGTAGACAACTAAGCTTTTTTTTTCTGCCTTAGGGAACAGAAAAAAATGCAGGGATTGTCTCATTTTAGTTTAGGTATACCATTTATTAAGAGATCTGGAGTCAGAGGCGTTGTTTTCACCATATTGTACGTTGACAAGTGTTATAACATGCCCAAATGCCCTACACAAAGTTCTCAAAAAAGCTAAGTACGAATAGAAGTATGACGATTCAATATAGAACCAGAAAGCAACACAAACCATACCTAAACCAATAAAGAGTGGGACTCTGCCTGACTACTAAAGAGAATGCAGCTTTTAAATCGCCAGCAGTCATACACTAACTCAAAGCAGCTACTAGTTACCCCCTCCTTTTTTTTTTTTCCTTCTTTTAAAAGGGAAACTTTAAGCATCAAAACAACATTAGCTTAATGAAGTGGTTTTGGCCCCCCATGCTCCTTCAGCGTTAAAATTCAATGTTCTGATGTACAGGAGTTTAATACTATGGCGTTCGGAATACACGTGTATTCCTAACGCTAGTTTCCTGTAGCTATTAGAAGCAATGAAAACCTCGCTGTTCCTGCAGATTGATAATGTTTGCTGTTGCAGGGTTAAAACTACAAAGACATGGCACCCAGAGTGTCCCTTTAAATCACGTTGTTTATGCAAGCTCTAGCCACAACTCCTCTGGCTGTGGCTCACACAGCATCCCTACACACTTCCTTAAAAACAGCTCATTTTTTGCCACTTCCATTATTTCGGTGTGGTCAATTTAGAATTCAAATCTTCTGCTCATTTAATTGCCTGTTAGAGCCTACGACAGCCTCTTGTGTGTGATTAAAGTTCAATTAACAGAGCAGGAGAGGAGAGTTTTTATAGTAAAAAAATAAAATAAAAATCTGTGCTGTAAGATCTATTTTAAAAAAAGAAACCATTTTTCCCATAAAGACTGTGTTTGTCACAGCTGGATCTGTTAATAGGGCTGCCTAAACAAAGTGGTGTAACCCCAAAATGGCAAAGAATTGAAAGAGTGCAGGGGCATGATATATAAACCAAAAAGGCATGGTTAATCAAAAGTGATTTTGGTGCCTATACTACCGCTTTAGGATTGATTGGATTTAGAAGATTTTTAAAAGTTGCAAGTGTGCTTTAAATACATAAAAGGTTTTTTTTTTCAAACCATGATTAGATTTCATCCAAATGGCACATGTATTTGGGCTTCATTATATTTTAGGAGTACAGTATATTAAAATAGATCATCAATAGTGAAGAGTACCAATACCTTACCCTAGGTAAGGTATTGGTACTGCAATGACTGGAGGTACACCTTTGGAGAAACCCTGGTAGCACATGGTTTAGAGGGTAACCATGCACATACACACTCCTGGCATACAGCTAAAGGGAATAGTGCTGACTGATACTGCAGCCGGAACTTGTTGAGGGCTGTAGTACTTGCAATTCTAATATTTTCATACATTAAGACATCTGTTTAGGACAATCCAGGCTTAGAACTGGATCTCTTCAGGCTGAATGGAATGACCAACATGAAGGCCTCTGGGTTCATCACAGTTAAAGGAACTAGCATGGTTGTGGGCAGTGACTTAATATCACAGGCCAGATTTGCTAGACAGGTCTAGATGCTATTTAGCACAGTGCATCATTTACAATACCAGTTTTTTGTTAAGTCCGTTTAAAACTCCTACCCATTCAAAAATCTCATTCTGTGTCACAACAATGTCCAAAACAAAGTTACACAAGGGAAAAATAAAAATTGAAATAAAAGCATACACAAAAAATGTCAAACCGGATGTGAGCAATCGCCCTGGTGAATTTTGATCAGCATTTCAAAGTCCAATACGGTCTGTCTCCAGGACACAGAGGGAAATGAAAAGGAGTCACAGGACAAGATAGAAGAGAATGTCTGTTCGTTCAGGAATAAAAAGTGCCTAATGTATTTTATTTATTGACGGGGAGCTATGACAGGAAACCTCTATTGCAGTGCTGTTTGGGAAAGTTATCTGAAAGCACGTAGCGGCACCATCCAGTGAGGTAAAACCTTTCCATTCTTTAGCAATCGCTTGGCAGCCAGCACAGCAGAAGGTAGCAACATGAAGGCCAGATGCCTTCGTTGCAGTATTACCTCCCACAGCTTGGCATTTCCCCTGCTCTTTCCATTAGAGAAAGGAAGCAAAAACAGAAGATATTATTCCTGGCTAATGTCATTTAAGAGGAAAAAAAATAACTTTCCCAGAAACCTGTATGTTTTCATGATTAAAAGAGGAATCAACATCATTTATACATATATATATACATATATATATATATACACACACACACACACACACACACACACACATTTATTTATATATTTTTTATTATAATGTACCTCTGATGATGCCTGACAAGGAATTATATCAACAGACTCCCCATCTAGCAGCAGCAGATAAGTGGCATCAATGCACTCTTTAGTCTGATAACCAAACTATAAATCCGCATAAAATGCCATACTGCACCAATCAGAAGGTCTCTGAGACCATTTGATAGAAGTTGCTGTTTTACTCTTATTTCCTCTGAAGCACATCTAGTGGCTGTCTTCTTTATGTCTCCACTACATTTACTTGTCCCCCTAGTCACCCCCAAATGCCAAAATTGTCCCCCTAGTCCCCCCCCCCCCATAATACCTATATTTTAATCTTTATTTTCTGCCCTAGGCGCCGCCATCTTTGTGTGGGTAGATGAAGTCCCTGTGGGACACGTCATATGCCCACACTAGATAGTGCTGTGAAATTCCAGCGCATGCCCAGTTAAGCAACAAATCACAGTATTATGAGTCAAATTACACAGCATGGTAAAATTCCAAAGAACTTTCCCACGCTGTGTAAAATGACACAGAGCACTGGTTGGATTTCAAGCAAACCAATCAGAATGCTGCTCACTGTTTAGTAGACATGCCCCAACCCACGATATAGTGACTAGGGGCGGAATTTATTAATACTAAGTAATCTTTGCTTAGTATTAGTAAATTTGGCTGAAAGAACAATTTAGGTCATTCAGCCTTATTGTAGATCGCTCCCCAATAGTGTGGGAATTAGGGAGTTATCTACTAAGCATCTGTAAGATGCAGCCGTGGCACGAATCAGATCAGAATTTCATTCATTCGAATTAAATTCCGATCCCGACAAAGTTCCGAATTAGGTCCTAACACGAATGGAGAAACTGTTCTCATTCTGTTATGACGAAATTCAGTAGTTTCGCCGCCATTCTGTCTAAATGACAGGACCTTCCGGAATACGGACAGGAAGCATCGTGAGGTCACGGAGGAAAGGTAAGAATTGTGGGGAAATTTCTCTGTCCACAGGAAACGGAGCACACTTTGCTCCTCCAGTGGTCATAGATGGTCAGTCATAGGAAACATCCATAAGACAAATAGTCCCTTCTTGTCTTACTTTTTAAAGAAAACAAGAGCAGACAGGAAGAAATGAAGAACAGATCCTGACAAAGGGGGAGAAGAGGAATCGATTGGGGAAAGGTAAGTTCGGCATGACCGTGCTGCTTTAACCCCTTAAGGACACATGACATGTCATGATTCCCTTTTATTCCAGGTGTTTGGTCCTTAAGGGGTTAAACTCCTTCAATGAAAACATTACCATTCTGCAGAACTTTGAGATAAAGTGGCCTGGATGCCTATTGTCTCCATTTCAATTTTAAAAACTAATAAATAATTTCTTTGTGCTGGTTTTTGCTACAAAAATCAATGTTTGTGCCAGTTAGGATTTGTGAATATTACATATTATATTCTAATATTTCCCACCCACTTTGCACCACATGTTATTAAATGCTAAATATAAGCCCCATTTGTGCCAGTGTGGTTTTGGAGATATTGTACATTATATGGTATCAATCCACACTGTTTGCAACCAGTGTTATTAAACCTTACATACATATAGATTATTCATTAGCCCTCTGTACAGATTTCTACCACAAAAAGATTTAGATTGTTGTAGCAGCATGCTGACATATTACATAGTGGCCAACACAGAAAACCGGATAGAAATCATCCTTAGAAACACAAGAAAATAAACATTTCTGCACAATAAGCCTGTAACATTTATTACCCATAACACTATTGCATTTACTTTTATTTCAGTTAGCGATCACATCAAGCATGCACTTACTTAAATGGTTTCTCCAACCTACATGCCCAATTATGCCTTTAGCTAATTATTGTGGGGTGGTTAGCACAGCTGATTAGTGATGTCCCGAACGGTTTGCCGCGAACGGTTTGCCACGGACTCATCATTGAATAAACTTTGACCCTGTACCTCACAGTCAGCAGACACATTCCAGCCAATCAGCAGCAGATCCTCCCTCCCTCCCTCCCAGACCCTCCCACCTCCTGGACAGCTCACTAAGAATGCAGCTTCACAATGAATGTAAAATGGATGCTGTCCAGGAGGTGGGAGGGTCTGGGAGGGAGGGTCTGCTGCGGATTGGCTGGAATGTGTCTGCTGACTGTGAGGTACAGGGTCAAAGTTTACTCAATGATGAGTCTGCGGCGAACCGTTCGGGGCATCACTACAGCTGATGTAGGCAGCAGAACTCTTTATATACTCTTTTATACCCTGGCGGACAGAGTAGTTGGTATATAACACTTTTTATATATTTTAGCTCAAAAGCTATATTTTTTTAAATCTGTGTTGACAGAACAAGATAAAATTGTGTGTTCCACTGTATGGAATACAGAACCCATTCTGTCCTGCAAGATCCATTTTCTAAGCAATGAGCAGCACATATGTAGCCTTTTTTACTTTCAACATCTACCTTTCCTGTATGAAAAGTTACTCAAATTAATTAGGGGACATTTTCCAAGGTGTGGTGTTCGAAAAAAATGGTAAAAGGGGTGGGGTTTTAATGGAAAGTTACAGCCTGCTGGTTCCACTGGTTTCCATGGTGATTGCACCATTTTCAGAACATGACACTTGGTTTAAATGTGGAACGCAGACAGACTCCACTAACAATGGGGGAGATTTACCAACCTGCTCTCTAAGGAAACCTTGTACACAATTCAACGTACACTTCCTGCATTAGTTCTGCAGGCATTTGTCTCTACTAGAAAGGGTTTCTACCTTGGCACAGACAGGTATCATCCATTCTAAAAATGTCACAGTATTATACTTTAATCATTAACACAACTGGTTATCAGCTACAACAGTAATATCTAGTATGACAGTACTAACTAAATTGGTCATGGCATAAACACTGTTGACTATTGTTTGGTGACGATGGTTAAATATAGAGCTGGTTTCTACTATTTACAACAACATATCATTGAAATCTAGAGGGGCCAAACAAACCCAATAATCATTAAATGTCCCAGCCACCACTCATCGACAATGCTTCCATTTAACACTGCTTATTATTTACTGATGTGGCCATTTTCATATATAAGGCACCCAAATACTTTGCCCCGAGCATAACTGTACTCTAATGCTGACAATCAAGTATTGTGTCATTTAAAACAAAGATTAAAAGGAACTGAAAATTTTTGAGCATTCAAAGTGAAATTCCAATTTAAGGCCAAAGTAGCCACATTGGAAGAAAAGCTAATTTGGAGACTTTCATATACGGCTACTTTGGACTTAAATTGGAATTTCACTTTAAATTAAGTTTCATTATTAGGGTTATGACACAAAAACAATCCCAGCCAAAATATTATCACTGCCACACCATAGAATTTTATTCACGGCCCAAAATGTCTTTCAGATTAGCAACAACGCTACATTAATAACAACGTCACTGTAATGTAGTGGTTATAGTACGAGGATGTGCGGTGCCCCTGCAGCAGTACAACCGTTAACAGTTCAGCACCAAAGTCTTCATATAACTAAATACAAATATTAGAATAATCTTAAAACCCTGTGTAATCCTAAACAATACACTCTTTAAAATAAACACCAGGAATGGTAAAAGTATTCAATATAGTACTCAAGGCAAGAAACAAAATCAGCTTCTAATAGAGGGTAGAGGAATTTGCCATCCAGTGCTATAAGTGTGTTTTTAAGGTCTGCATATTATGCAGTCTCAGCTGCATTGGTTTGTATTACATAAGCATTTCCAGTCTCAGATAAAGGCACGGACCTGCCGCTGGTCTTTCATAGGATTTGGCTTGAAAGCACCATGTATTTTGAAATCCCAGTTCGTTAAGTGTTAGGAGACATATTACACACACTGAAGCAAAAGAAGATTTCTAGATTATGAAGTGAGAAGAGATTATGGAATTGGATTTCAGCACATGTTCTCAAGTGTGAATGCAGCTTTAAACCTAGATTTTGCGTGAGTCCATGTGCAGCATGAACCAGTGGGCAGTCTTGTTGCAATGCCAAAACACACAGCCAATACAAATTATGTGGCAGATTCAGAGAATGTTTGAAAGGAGATCTCCAAAACCAGTCCCAAAACAGCCTGTCAGAAGAAAATAGCAACCATATCTAATGTGCTCCATGTTGTCTCAACAGACAGAATGTGCTTATAGGGATATATTTAATAACTAGAAAAGCTACAATTTCTGGGGAAATTGTGTGAAGTGTTCTTGCCTCCACCAGTAGTCTACAACTGGAGTGGGCGGAGTAACTACCATTTATATAACACATTTAATTGCAACGTTGTTGCACAGTTACATTAAACCATACATTTATAAAAACATTAGCAGGTGTTCAAAAGGCCCTGTCTATGACATCACTTGCTGCTGCAGCCTTGACAGGTCAGAGTATTTTGGTGGTTGCCATCTTCAAACGGTCATATTTTAAAAACTATAAATCCTACAGCGAAGAGCTTTATATTGTGAGAATCACAAGACCCAGACCTACATTTTGATGCATAGTATGTCTCTGAAGTATTAAAAATGAAGGCACAGTCGCAGTTTAGAAATTGCACTTCAAATTTGAGCTTTGCAGAGTGAAGTTTCAATGAATGTCAATGGACGGCGTTAGATGCAAACAAATGATTATATTGTGAAAACTATCAGGACTGTGGCTTAGCCGTTGACATGTTTAGTGGCAGCAGGGATAGCTGAACGTTTTGATATAAGATTTGTGTAGGTGGGCCTGAAAATGAGGGAGTGGTGGCAGTTTAGCAATCATGTCCTGATTTTTCAGCTTTTGCCAGCTCCCACTCTAGCTTTGCCATTCATTCCTATGGGACAAATTGCGCCACAAGAACGACGATATTCCGTGAACCATTCGGCGAAACGTTCCACAAAGTAATAGCAATCCGATCGGGAACAATCTGCACGTTTTGGTAAATTTTGGTCTATGTAGTGTAAAACTGTGGGAGGAGTTAGGGTGGCAAATTTTGCTATAATAATAATAATAATATAATATATATGTGAGATAACATTAAGTGGTCTTGCTATGCAAGAACACTTAATAATATATGTGAGATAACATTAAGTGGTCTTGCTATGCAAGAACACTTAATAATAATATATATGTGAGATAACATTAAGTGGTCTTGCTATGCAAGAACACTTAACAATAATATATATGTGAGATAACATTAAGTGGTCTTGCTATGCAAGAACACTTAATAATATATATGTGAGAACATTAAGTGGTCTTGCTATGCAAGAACACTTAATAATATATATGTGAGATAACATTAAGTGGTCTTGCTATGCAAGAACACTTAATTATCAAGGAAAGGATAGAGGTTGCAGCAAAATTCAAAGTACTGAGGTCAGGGGTGGCCATGCACTGCACATCTCACTGTAAAACTACAGACAGCCTTCCATCAATAACTGTTACAGCACAATGCAGCCTCTGTAAATGTTCTTAATGGGACACTTACTTCAGCCTTGAAGTCTAAGGTGACAAATATTTACATCAAGGTTTTTGTACAACTCTTTTGAATAAGATGGGCTTTAGGTACTAACTGGTGTATCATTTATACCAGGGCTGCCCCAAAGCTAGATCCCCAGATGGTTTAAAACTACAGCTTCCATGATGCTTTGCCACACTAAAGGCATTCCAAATACATGCAAAGCATCATGGGACTCAGCATCTGGGGGAATCTACCTTTTCCGCACCCTTGATTAATACCATAAACTGTTAGAGTCCGTTACTTTTTATATTTCCTCCTGCATAAAGTGTAAATCCCTTTTAGTACAAGTAAACAGTCGCATGATTGCAACAATGGCTGTTTATGAAGGATAACTGATGTGGTGCAATGCAGCTTATATGAAATGTTTTGTCACTTTTAGAACTATAGTTTACCCCTTCCTTCTAATAAAAAAAATAAATACATTCCAAATTACATCCAGTAAAGTTTATGCTGACTCCATTAGTTTCTATGGTGACAGCCCCACTTTTTGAACTCTGCCCCACATTTCTGGTCGGAATATTTTATAAATAAACCTCACTGTGGGAGACAGATTATAGACTGCATCCTCAGCCAACAATCTATTGAGAACTAGTTTCCAATGGACCCTGCACCCACAGCCAACAATCTATTAAGAACTAGTTTCCAATGGACCCTGCACCCACAGCCAACAATCTATTAAGAACTAGTTTCCAATGGACCCTGCACTTACAGCCAACAATATATTGAACTAGTTTCCAATGGACCCTGCAGCCAGAGCCAACAATCTATTGAGAACTAGTTTCCAATGGACCCTGCAGCCTCAGCCAACAATATATTGAGAACTAGTTTCCAATGGACCCTGCACCCACAGCCAACAATCTATTGAACTAGAATCCAATGGACCCTGCACTTACAGCCAACAATCTATTGAGAACTAGTTTCCAATGGACCCTGCACTTACAGCCAACAATCTATTGAACTAGTTTCCAATGGACCCTGCAGCCAGAGCCAACAATCTATTGAGAACTAGTTTCCAATGGACCCTGCAGCCTCAGCCAACAATCTATTAAGAACTAGTTTCCAATGGACCCTGCACCCACAGCCAACAATCTATTGAACTAGAATCCAATGGACCCTGCACTTACAGCCAACAATCTATTGAGAACTAGTTTCCAATGGACCCTGCAGCCACAGCCACTGGTAAATGCATGATGTGGACAACAGAGGAATGCTGTTGAGATAAAGGTGTACCAAGTATTTTTTTTTTGTTCTTTCTTTAATACATACAGTTTATCTTTTCCACCCTGTGGATGTGTTCTTGTACCACACCAAGCTCCCCATTTCTAAACAATGTACTTAACCTCTCCAAGTATTTGTTTCTGGAAGTGAGAACACTGGTCCCTTCTTTCTGGATGCAGCCCTCAGCCCTATCATTCACTAATGAGCTGGACAGGGTGGAGGAGATTAGGATATTGGAGTAACAGACAGCAAGTTTAATAGATGGGACAGAGAAATACCAAGATACGTGAAATACTTGGCTTTCCTATTTGTCTCAACATAATAGAGGGGTCTCTTATTACAAAAGCAACTCAAGACCACCCTGCTGTCCCACCCCCCCAATACACATCATTTTCATCTAGATTTCACACTTCTACCTTATATTGTCATACGCAGTCAGTCTGTTTGGTTTAACATGAACATGCAAAACAAATAATTTAAGGCGGCAAGTATGTTATGCAGCAAAATAAATGTTATGTACCCCAATTTGAACATATATTGGAGCATATACAGTCTATGCTTTTATTTATTTCTTTTTAAAATGTGAACTTTCTTAAACTGAAGATAAAGTTGGTCTAATTTTAGCTAGATTTGAATACATTGTTAAGACAGCAAGCCTAGATCTTACCTTTAGTAGCTGTTTTCCAACTGTTGGGCTCATTTTTTCATCAACCATAAGAATTACTATTCCCCTTTCATCCATTCCACGCCTCCCAGCACGACCAGACATTTGAATGTATTCACCTGATGAGATCTGCACAACAAATAAATTATACGTATGAATAGTTGGGAAACCACCAAGCTTACTTGAAAAGGATTATATAAATGCGTCTTTTAATAAGGGATTGTAGGCTGATAAATAGTATTGCTTTAGCATCACAGTGCAAACAATAACTGCACCAAGAAGTATTACCCAAAAGCACCTGCAGAGGGGGGTTGTGGAGAAATTCGAATATGCAATATTCTGAAATAGATATATTAATATTACTTCCACATTCTTATGTATTGTGTTGAATAGTCAACTTTAATATTGTTCCCAAGCACGAAAGCTTACCAAGATCTCTTCAATAAAAAAAAGGACTCTAAAGTTAGGAGTTTTTCTCTACCAGTTTGTTGGCATATGTTTTCTTTAACAGTTATATAGTATACTATTTGGCACAACCTGGTTTTCTTGCCAGTTTTTCACTAAGATTTTTTTTAGAGAGTTTACTGCGGAAGACCCCACCTTTCAGGTGTGCTGCCTCTTTTAGTCCAGTTATTAAGCGCTGATCCATTTAAGTGCCGATCTCTCTGTTTTTCTTATTACATGGGTTTACTGTGACACTAGTACCCAGTGTCTATACAATATGTATATAACAAAAGCTTTTTGGTTGTTTTAAGGAAATATGTACATGTTTTGCAATTCTAAATTAAAACAAAGTTTAGTAAGTTTGAGGTGAATGCTTAAAATCCATTGAACTTTCACTTTACATTGTATACAATTTCTTCATCAATTATAACAATTACCAATGTTGTTCTCTTCTGAAAACACCTGTTTTTTGTTTTTAATTCCTATCCATTTGAACATGTTTGGCAATGATGACCTAATATACACAATGTATGGAGTGAGTATTAGATTTACATTAGTGAATGAAATACTAATAGATTGCGCAATGCTGTGGGAAATCACATCATGCCTTATATATTCACGTGAATCTAGCACAACCACCATGTGGCTCTAAGTAATATCCTGAACAGAGTACAATCAACAACCTTGCCAGTAAGCCTAAAAAAATAAATAAAGGTAATTTGATGTGAATGAACAAAATGATTTCGTAAACCTACTACAAGCCATTTAGGAAAATAATGATGTCACTTTGGCTCCACATCTAACCTGTATCAAAACCATGTCTGGGGCCAGCAGTCACATGCACTGTGTGTGTATAAAATATATATATACATATACACACACACACATACCTGCTAGATTGTGAGCTGGTATAGCATTAGCTATAAAAATAAAAAAAAGCTTTTTTTCTGGGCAGGGTTAATTAAAAAGGACTCACAATGGGGTAGAATAGTATACATCTCTAGCTGCATATATTATGCAAAATAGTTTAACACTGTATTGCATTGTATAGAATGAACGTGAGCACAAGACCAAGTATTGCTGCCATCTTGACACATGTATGATATTGCTTGCGGTATAGGAGACAGGAACAAGCAAACAAGCACTATCCTGCAATTATAAAACACAGCGCCATCTATTGGTACTGCATGAAAAATAAAAAAGTTTTTTTTTTTTTTTTTCCATCAAACAAAACGTTTGGTACATTTTAAAGATGCTTACCCAGCGAAAATCTTTTCCATCAAATTTACGGGCACTTGTGAATAGAACAGTCCTGGCCGGCATGTTAATTCCCATTGCAAAAGTCTCTGTAGCAAACAAAGCCTGCAAAATAATAAGGCTTGTCAGATTTTGTAAAATGTATCAACCATATAATTGACACACGTACTGCAGCTGCACTGACTAAAAGAATGAAAATGTTACTTTGTGAGCTTATTTTCACCTCATTTTATACTCCATGCAACATGAAGCATTTACATTAAATAACTTCAGCACAATATTTACTGAAACGTACATTTAAATAAGACTAATATGATCTCATGTGTAACAAAGTTAGATTTGCTTCGTACAAAACATACACACCATAAAATGTGTCTCCAATCAGGTCGTCCAATTTAAGTTTTGTTTTTTAACAACATATTGAATTTTGTTGGAGATTTTCCTCCTAGCCTCATAATTACCCCAAATCCACCCTGATTTTTCCTTTTTTGAATTTGTAATGCTAAGTGTAATAGGATAGTGGGTATTATGGTAGGATTGTCCCATCTCTGTGATACTATTTATATGGCACACAGGTGCCCTGACATGCAATGCATGAGATAGTAAGCAATGCTGCCACCTATTGGAATGTATAATAACTACTTGCAGTGCACCTCACATTATGAAAGCACCTTCTATTACTGTGTGGTACTGTGCTTTTTGAAAGTTGTAAGAGCAAATCCAGTATCCACACAATCTAAAATTAGAGGCTATTGCTATTCCAGTTCATCTAGATGCTTAACATGTGTCTCACTGTGCTAGTTATACCTTACTAGCTTACATTATGTCCGACGACACATTACTGTACTAGGTCTCTCCAACACAGTCAGATCCCTAGTATGCGGTGGTCGGAGTCATTAACATATCTTTTCCCACTGAATGTTTGAATGTGCATCTGTTACATCTCCTCCTTAGCACATTCTAAACAAAATGTATTGTATTAATAAATCACAACATGCTTTAAAAGAATACCATTACATTTCAATGTTAATATTTAGACTGTGCCCTTAGAACAGCTGGCATATCTGTAGCAAATGGTACCTTGAGCAAACCTTCAGAGAAAAGGATCTCTATGGTCTCTTTCAATATAGGAAGGAGTCCCCCATGATGTATTCCTATTCCCCGCTTAAGAAGAGGCAGCACATGTTCCACCTGTGAAACACACGGATTAAGAAAATAATTAAAATAAAAAATGGTCATTGTCAAATTACTGCAACCATAATTTCACAAATTCATCCACCCACAGCCAGTTTAAACATTTTTTTTCTTAAGTTTTTATTATATTGTCTTACAAGAGATGGGTATAAATCAAATAAATATTGTCAAAAACACGCTTTAAGTATGTCAAACCTGGGGGAGCTTCTTATCTTCATCAGAAAGACAATCGATCGCATTGTTGAATACCTCCTCAACCATCTTTTTCTCTTCCTCTGCAGATAAAACACCACAAAATTGGCAAGTTTATTGAAAAAAATGCACACAACCAGCATTTTGCAGTTTGTTAACTACGTATCAAGATTTTTCCCCCCCCCCAATTAAAAGAGACAATACTGCTCATACTTTACTGTAGCACAATTCAGTACACTCACATTCCTGCCATACAGAAGGCAGACTTATGCTTGCCGACACAATACCATACTATGCACTCTTAAGTGAAACACTTATTTTTGCACTGCACTCATCCCTTTTAATTCAAAATTAAATGCAAAGAATATTCCTGACAAAGCGCTGGAAAGTGAGGGATAGCTGTGGAATGGTTAGAACACTTGACAGATTCATCAAGAAAGTGTGGATCCCCATTTGAAAAAGACTAGTCACCACAGTGACATTCAGATTTTGTCAGAACACTTTTATTATATAAAATATTGACAAGTGATAGCAATATTTACATACATTTTGGGAGAATTACCATTATCCTTTAATATATAGAAGTGTTATATTATTCTGTGTATCTCAAATCAATGAATAGATCTGTCTGGCAATGCAAGAAAATGCCTTTTGCAGTAAAGATGTGCAGCGCCATCTATTGGTTGACCATATCTAATGTGAAGTAATGATGTACAGCGCCATCTATTGGTTGATAATATCTAATTTGCAGTAATGATGTACAGCGCCATCTATTGGTTGACTATCTAATTTGCAGTAATAATGTACAGCGCCATCTATTGGTTGACTATCTAATTTGCAGTAATGATGTACAGCGCCATCTATTGGTCGACTATCTAATTTGCAGTAAATATGTACAGCGCCATCTATTGGTTGACTATCTAATTTGCAGTAATGATGTACAGCGCCATCTATTGGTTGACTATATACAATTTGCAGTAATGTGTAGCGCCATCTATTGGTTGACTATCTAATTTGCAGTAATGATGTACAGCGCCATCTATTGGTCGACTATCTAATTTGCAGTAAATATGTGCAGCGCCATCTATTGGTTGACTATCTAATTTGAAGTAATGATGTACAGCGCCATCTATTGGTTGACTATATACAATTTGCAGTAATGTGTAGCGCCATCTATTGATTGACTTTCTAATTTACAGTAAAGATGTGCAGTCCCTACATTGGCTTCCTGTAAGACATAGGACTCAATTTAAGATTCTGACACTTGCTTACAAATCTCTACACAATGCTGCGCCGACCTACTTATCCTCACTAATACACAAATATGTCCCATCAAGGCCCCTGACGCTCTGCCGGAGACATGCGTCTAACCTCTGTTCATACTCCTACCTCTAAAGCTCACCTTACAGACTTCTCTAGAGGTTCCGATGGATCCCCTTTCCCTCTCTGTTAGGCTTTCACCCAGTCTACACACTTTCAACGAAAATCTTTGAAAACGTACTTCTTTAGGAAAGCATATCAATTAAACTGTGCACACCTTTCACTCCCCACACCCTGATTCCTCTGCTGAAACTATACCCCACTCCCTCTAGCATGTAAGCTCATTGAGCAGGACCCTCAATCCCTCTGTTCCTGTGTATCCATATCGTCTGGTTACAAATACGTGTTTTCTAGTCCATCCATTGTACTGCGCTACAGAACTTGTTGGCGCTTTATCAATAATAATTACTGGATGACTATATCCAATTTGCAATAATGATGTGCAGCGCCATCTATGTTTAATCATGCAGCATAATCATGCAATGCCATCTGTTGGTCGACTATGTCTAATGGCGGTTAACCATATATTCTAGCAGCGCAGATATGCAGTGCCATCTGTTGGTTGTTTATAGGTAACATTGCAGCGCCATCTGTTGGTTGTTTATAGGTAACATTGCAGCGCCATCTGTTGGTTGTTTATAGGTAACATTGCAGCGCCATCTGTTGGTTGACTACATGTACTCATGCAGGGTTTATGAGCAGCGCCATCTGTTGGTTGACTGGTTAATAAATAAAGATACAGAGGAAAGAAGAGATTCCTGGCATTCTATTCTCAGTGTTCCAATATCAGGCTGTATACTAGCCATCATGACGCTAAGTGAAAGCCGAACGAGCGGTTCTCACAATCTCTGACACGGAATCCAGGGTTCACCAAAGAAAATCCACAAATGGAATAAAATGTAACTATATTTAGTTGCTCTTGTAAGTCTAAACAACAATCGGTAACAAAATCTGATCACACTGCAGTAACCAGGTTCCAACCTTTAATAACACCCTGGGTTTGACAGAGTGAATGACAGCAGGAAACCCGAGGATTGTTTTTTGCAATTTTTACAAGTTCAACAAAATACAGTTTATTATTTCATTTGAGGGGTTTCTCTTGTAAAAGCTGGGTTTACTATTTCGAATTTAGAGAGTTGATGTGCAGCGCCCTCTATTGGTTGACAATATATTACTATGCAGCGCCATCTATTAACTTTGTGTTGCTATTGCGGGATTTCTCCTGTGAAAGCAATACTCAATATTCAAGTATAAAGCGTTGATGTGCAGCGCCATCTTTTGGTTGACTGGCTATATCTCACCACAATACTGATGTATAGCGCCATCTATTGGTTAACTGATCCTAAGTAGTGCTAAACAGTACCCTCTATTGGCTAACTATGATGGACTACCGGTATATAATAACCATGCAGCGCCATCTATTGGTTGACTTTGTATTGCTATTGAGGGATTTCTCCTGTGAAAGCTGGGTTCAATATTTAAAGTGTTAATGTGTAGCGCCATCTATTGGTTGACTGATCTTAACTAAGTATTGCTAAGCGGCGCCCTCTATTGGTTGATAAAAATGTTTTTTTTTAAATCCGGCTTCCGTTCCGGAGTTCCCCCAGACTCGCATTAAACAAACACCACTACTACTGTTAAGTTTCGTTGCATCTTGTTGGCTCTGTCCCTGTCGAGGGCGAGCTTTTCTCTCCAGCTGACTAGTTAAATCATAGGTTAATACTATTCAGTAGCAGGATATTCAGGTATTGCTGCACAAAACTTGTTGGGCTATCTTTTCTGGAAAATGCTTCTTTAGGTTTTGAACGGCTATGCCCATACAGTATTTTTCTAATTTTTATTTCTAGATTAAAGCAATATATGTAAAAATACCTTTCATTAGAACAATTTCATCTATCATCTCGAGTGTTAGCCGGAGTATCCTTGGATTGGATTCTGTTTAGTTGCCCCATCTATTGGTTGACGGGCAATCTCGCAATATAGCTATACAGCGCCATCTATTGGTTGACGGGCAATCTCGCAATATAGCTATACAGCGCCATCTATTGGTTGACTGGCAATCTCGCAATATAGCTATACAGCGCCATCTATTGGTTGACGGGCAATCTCGCAATATAGCTATACAGCGCCATCTATTGGTTGACGGGCAATCTCGCAGTATTGATGTGCAGCGCCATCTATTGGTTGACTGGAAATTTCGCAATATTGCTATACAGCGCCATCTATTGGTTGACGGGCAATCTCGCAATATGGCTATACAGCGCCATCTATTGGTTGACGGGCAATCTCGCAATATGGCTATACAGCGCCATCTATTGGTTGACGGGCAAACTCGCAGTATTGATGTGCAGCGCCATCTATTGGTTGACTATGTTTCTGACTGCGTTGACAAGTTGAGTACAGTATTGCTATACAGCGCCATCTATTGGTTGACTGGCTATCAAGCAGTATTGTTGTCTATCGCCATCCACTGAAATAGTTTCTTAAAAGCTTGATGTAACAATGCGAGCGCCATCAATTGGTTGACAAACAGGGCTAACAAACAGGGCTATTAAAGTGGAATTCAAATTGACGTTCAAATTTAAGGCCAAAGTGCTGGACTAGAAGCATAGTTACTTTGTTCTTTAAAATCAAGACAGTTTTCACTATAGTAAAGATATCAAAACATGCAGATATGTTTAAGTTATGTGGCATCTATTTTTTGACAGGAGGTTTGAATCGAAAATGGACTTGCAAAATTAAGACACATGGGGAAGCATTAAGATGCTATTACACGTGATTGCGATGCAGAGTCCCCTCAAAGATGCATTGTACCAAAGCACCTCTACAGGGACCATTCAGGATCTTCAAGCTTAGCATCAGACCTGCATAAAACTGCAGCAACACAATAGTGGCAGCCACTAGAAGTGTCCCTCTAAGATATGTAAAGACTGCTTGTTATCAGAAAAGACAGTGTTTGAATTGCCGAGATTGCAGGAACAGTCTCTTTGCACCAGAACCACTACATTAAGCTGTAATGGTTTAGATGCTTGGAATATCCCTTCGAGCATTACACCTTGAATTCCCAACACGCATGACCCTGTGTGTCTAAAATATTTGTCGAGTCTTTCCAAATCAGCAATTTGGGTAGTGTTGCAATAGGGTGTTTAGTGAATCCACCACTAGACATGCAGAACATAATATACAGTGCCATCTACTGGTTTTACTCTCTTGCAGTAGTTTAGTGCCATCTATTAGTGAATTATTTTTTACAGTACAAAATGTGCAGCGCCATCTATTGGTGGATTATATTTTGCTGGTACATAATGTGCAGCGCCATCTACTGGTGGACTATACTTTGCAATTTTGCAGCACACAAGGTTATTTTTCTTGCAAGTAGTGCAGTGCAATCTATTGGTTGACTACTGGATGTAATACTCTATTGTACTGCATCTATTGGTTACTATCAAGGTTATACATTAGAGATTTGCCTGGAATTCAACGTTAATTTCAATATTTACATTAAACTGTTAGAAATCTGGGGTTGGGGAGTGAGGGAGGGAGAGAATGTTTTGTTTCCCCCATCAGAGTTTAGCTTTATGGAGCCAACCTCAAAGGCAGGCAATGAGTATCTGCCTTGGAAAAACGTCTCAATTAGTTGAAATACAGCTCATTGAAAACACCGTGATTGGATCGCCAAGTGCAAGCCTTGGCTGGTCCAAAGGCTTTTTAAAAGGACCACTAAGGTCACTCAGGCCACTTAATCTCAATAAAGTGGCCTAGGTGCAGTGGTCCTTTTTAAATTGCAGTTTGTTTTTGTGGATATCTCCCCCTGTAATGGCCGTCTTATTGAGGCGCTTCTGCGGCACTGACAAAATAAAATTTGGTGTCATGACGCTAAGCCGCCCCCATCCGTTCAAAGCCTGGATGCGCTTAGCTGGTAGCCCAGGGAAGGCAACTCACTAACTCAAGAGAGGAATAATACATTTTATGCAGAAGTGCAGAGCACCATCTATTGATTGACAATCGGCCTATCACCGGCCTCCAATTAGTGTCAAAAAATTTGGAAATGATTTTACATTTTAAGGTAAGATGGCACCTGGGGACTCAAAATATCTTCACCGACATTAAGTTTTTTGTGTTTTTTTTTTTTTTTTTTTAGAAAAGAGAGACCCTTGCATATAATCAAATACTGCTTTGAGAAGGTGTCAATCATCTACCAATAACTAAAACTCTTCAGCATGCCGCATAGAGCCTGAATTTCCTATAAGCAGGTTAAGGCTGGTAATGCAATGAGGCATTCTCCACTAAGAACGTTTATCCTACTAACAACCTGGGCAAGAAGTCTCTAGGAACATCCTTTGTGTTCCTTATTAATATTAAATGTTAAAAAGCTACATAACAATCTCTACCTCAAACGAATAACCACAAGAAAGGGATGATGAGAAATGTAAAGCAACAGCCTGAGGTTGGCTATCACTGTCCTACAGACTGTATTTCTAACCTCCTTCACAACATACACCCAATAACAAAACATTTCAATTACTAAACCATTACCTGTGTTGAAATCTAGTTTGGACATCTGCAAAGCGTAGGCCTCACAATCCTTCTTACTGAAGCTAAATATGATAACGGGCTGGAAGTTTCTCTCCATGATCATCTTTACAATTTTAAACACATTAGAAGGACCTAAAATAAAATAAAAAAGAAATCCAAACACTTTTTAAACTATATTTGATATTCAGTAGGTTTGCTCTGGATTTAAGTTTAATATCAATCATATTTATTGCAGACTGATTTTTCAAACAAGGCCTACATGTTTTGTAGGTTTTTTGTTTTTGTTTAATTGTTACAAGGCTCCGTTTCATGTAAGCAGTTTACTTAAAGTGTTAAATACAGCTTTACGTCACTCTACAAGTGATGTCGGCTGCTATAAAGGACATACACCATCTTTTAGGAGTGATATTCCATTAGCACACGGTGGTCTTCTGGATAGCATCTAAACCTGCAAGTCTCCTCGTACCAGCAGACCAGTGTATGGCCCTGTGGCGTATACACCTCATTCTCCTTAACTCACTAAAACCAGCTTTGAAGCCACCTGTTTCTGGCTGCTAAAAATCCTTAGTCAAAAATTACAATTCATATCCCCCTCCTTTGACCAGGTTCTAAAAATCAACGGAGACCAAAGAATGAGGAATGTGTTTTATAGGAGAACACTATGCAGATTTTTTTTTCACAGCATATGGGTAGGATGGGACATACTCTTCCTCCTAACGTAATGGCCTATTTCTTTGCGGTGCATTACCTGATGAAATCCAATAGGACTTAAATGAAAACATGTCAAAAAGTATTCACTGTAAATCCACAAGTTCTAGACTATGCTCTTTGTACTGCTCGGAACATCCCTATTTTAATAAGTTTCAATTTAAGTTTAAACCAGTAATAAAAATAATGTATGCTTAGTCTACCCATACTGCGTACCTTTAGTACCCCCTTTCCGCCCCTTCTGGTCTCCTTTAGATAATTCCCCAGCATCTCTCAGGACTTGCATTGCTGTATTGAAGTTATCTTCTCTGAAATCTCCCTGTGAAAAAAAAATATGTAAATTTACATCTTTAAACAAAGAATAAAAATTATAAAAGCATGTATTAAACTACTACTTGATTTATTGTCCTACCCGAATTTCCATGGTGTTTAAGTATTTATTTTAAGCACCAAAACTACCACAGACTTTTGAAGTTGTGAGCTCCATGCTAAACCACCCTAGCACTCAATCTATAAAATATGTATATATAAATGGGGAATTACCATTTTAATTAATATAGCATTGCTTACACCCATCACCAAGATGGATGTATGCAGATTGGGACTTCAGACATTTGTGAAACCACATTTTCCATGTGGCTCAGCCAGTCTTCAATAAGAAACGGTTTTCATTTAGAATTTCATACGATAGTACTCCCTAGGTGTGCATGTCCACGCACAATGGATATGCAGACATATCACCCATTATGGATCGGTTTACATGCCAGGCTTCATGTATAGCATTAACAGGAGTCTACTTGTATATGCATACATACATGAGGTAGGGGCAATAAACTTGCAGTAAGAGCAAACAGTGTTCCTAGGTAGGGAATTCATAACAATACCTACACATCCCCTTCATATCTTTTAAGTTAAAGCATAACAGCATTTAAGTAAACATTCCATAAATATATACATTTATAACGCTTGCGTGTTGAGTTGATAATTTTAGATTTTGGCAACCCCATATAACAATGTACACTGAGTGCTCAAAGAAGTGAGGAAAAGTATCACAGGAGCTTTATGAAAGTGATAATTTCTCTTGAAAGAAAGGGGACACCTTGTTTAACCTTTAAACTCCAGGGGTTTGAAGTGATCCTGAAAAGAATGTATCTTCTCAGGTGCACCAAGTTTAACTTACATTTTCATCCACCACAAGGTGAAGTCCATCTCCACCTGCTGGAAAGATGTAGTGTTGCAACGGAGTAGGTCGGTAGTCTGTATAGATGACATGACAAGGCTGGTAAAACAAAAAGGATAAAAGCTTTAAATTTAAATCAAACAAGCCAAGAAGTTTTATTTTCTAGATTCAAATTAAAGATCTAAATTTAGCAAATAGTTTCTGTTTACAGAATCCGAAGTTACATTTATAAACAAACAATAGCTTAAAAAAACCAAAAACAAAAAATAAACAAACCACCAACTATTTCATAAACACACAGAATTATCATAATATTAAAGTCCTAGTTAAACTGCACCATCAGACACTCAATTTTTAAAATTTACCAGCTGTTGAATTTAAGTCCTCATTGATAGCAGCTTACTTCCCTCTATTTAGCAGCTAGAGGCAAGTCTAAATCAATCAGGCACTGAATTCAAGATTGGACCAGGAATACCAGTGAGCATTTTAGCTCACACTCTAAATATCAATTTGTCCCCCCTGAAAATAGAACATTTGTACTCTATTAATATTCTAGTAACCAAATGGAAGGAGTCTCTCAACGTTCCTAATTCTGACGACATTAGATGAGCTATAGATCTAGAGAGATTTGCAGACTAAAATTTTCTTCTGCACTGCTCATTATCCAGGGAAGGAGTTTGTCACTTGTATTTCAATTGGGAAATTAAAAACTGTAGAAATTCAACTCCCAGACAAGCTAATCCATGATATTATTATTGCCATTTATATAGCGCCCACAGATTCCGTAGCGCTTTACAATATTATGAGAGGGGTGGTTAACTATAAATAGGACAATTACAAGAATATGTGTTTAAGTTAAAAGTAAACTACTGTAGATTGGGAGGACACACACACAACAAAACATTTATGAAAGGATCACTGTAAATACCTGCTTATGGAGATGGCAGATCCATTCAGCAAATTGCCGGGCATTGGGTATGGTGGCAGAAAGAAACACATAATGTACATTATCTGGAAGAAGAATTATGGTTTCCTCCCATACTACACCTCTTTCTGTCAAAGAAAACAAGATTTCCATTAGGGCATTATATGTTGGTGTGATAACAGAGCATGTGAATGCCTTATATCTCTTAAAGCAAATTAGTTGTATTATGAATAGTGCAGGAAGCAAATGCATTAATCCTCTAAGTCAGGATGCCAAAAAAGGTAGATCCCCAGATGTAGAACTACCTCTCCCATGATGCTTTGCATGCATTTAGCATGACAAAGCACCATGGAAGCTGTAGTTCTAGAACACACAGAAAAGTTACCCTTTGGGCACCCCTGCTCTAAGTGATAAAGGTATGCCTGTTGCATTTCATACCAGACAGGACACACACTGCATTCTGCTCAAAACAAAATGTTATACAAACAAGACATGGCAATTTTACATAAAGAGAAAGGCAGGTTACAAAACAGGGTGTTATACAGCGGCCATCCCAGCTCTTTTGGGACTACAATAGCACAGCTGGTTAAAGGTTTGGTTGGTATCACACCATAAATTACTAAAACTGTACAATCTCGTTTCACCATGCATACATCTAAAAGCATGTTTGAAAGCTTTGTAAAAACGCATTGCACACTGTTAATACATTTCCCAATATATCAAAGTTTCACAATTTTTATTGGCTAAAATAAGAAAGTACACCCTCCGCCAAAATCAAAAAAACAAAACACAAAACCAGCAACTGTGTCAAAGGTGAAACTTTTTGTGCAATTATTAAAATATACAAAGATGCTGATTATATTGGTAATTGTTCTAAAATTCATCCATATTTTGAGAGATACCAAATAAACACCTTATCAAAAACATTGATCGATAACTACAGTTCTACATAGGTGTCAGGAGGTCAAACTCAGACTTCAGGATTAATCTCAGAATTTGACACAATTAAATATGGTGAACTGAAAACCGAACTGAAACTAAATTTGTGAAATTTAGACTAAATTAGCAGAGCTGGGAACAAAACTGCTCAGGACAATATTGGCTGTAAATATCTCAAGTTTCTTTTAAATTACATCACAATTCCAAGAACTGAATACCACTTTTACTTTGTAGAAGGTCTTCAACAAGCACAGCTATTCACAAGCAATCTTCAATTCTTAAATGGATTTAGATTCTTTTTTTTTTTCACATTTAGAAAAATCTATTTTAAGATTACATAAATTTATGGGAATAAACATTAGCAATCACAAAGAATACCTGCATCTCTCATGTAATGAATCTCATCAAATATAACCCAGGCAACTTCTCTCATCACTTCAGATCCTCGGTACAACATACTTCTCAAAATCTAAAACAAGACACAGGAACCAACAATTAAACAGACCAAATAGAATTTAATAAAAACGGAAACATAAAATGAAACCATATATTATTATTATAATAATATACATAGAGAAAAGTAATTACCTCAGTTGTCATGACAAGGCATGACGCAGTGGGATTAATTGTGACATCGCCCGTCATTAGCCCGACGTCTTGGAATTCTTCATACATCTCTCTGTATTTCTGGTTACTGAGTGCTTTTATGGGACTTGTGAAAATAACGCGCTGTTTTTCACGGAGAGCAAGGGCAATGGCATACCTGTAAGGTCACACGGAGATAATAGGAGTGAAAAACTAGGCAATATAGAGAGGAGAGGTTAAATCAGACAGCCTGCAAGAAGAAAGTGTTATGCTCAAGACATACATATTTGTACAGGGAAATCAGGAAGCAATGCTTGTTTAAAGCAGAATTGTAACCTCTCTGAAAAAAATAAATGCATTTCATAAATATATACAGTTACATAGCTGAAAAGAGAGACTTGCATCCATAAAGTTCGGCCTTCTTCACATATGTTTTTTTCAGTTGATCCAAAAGAAGGCAAAAAACCTAGTCTGAAGCGCTTCCAATTTTGCAACAAACTAGGAAAAAATTCCTTCTTGACCACAAAATGGCAGTCAGATCTCCTTGGATCAAGCAGCTATTACCCCACTGATTATATCACTGTATGTTATGTTTTTGCAAGTATTTATCCAATTGCAGTTTAAACATCTGTAATGACTGACAAAACCACCTCTTCAGGAAGAGACTTCCATATCCTTATTGCTCTTACTGTAAAAAATAACCTTTTCTTTGCCTTAGATTACATCTCCTTTCTTCCAGCCTAAATGCTTGACCTTGTATAGCCCTGTTTATGAATAGATTTCCAGATAATGATTTGTACTGGCCCAGAGTATATTTGTATAATGTTATCATATCCCCTCTCAGGCACCGTTTTTCCAAACTAAAGAGATTTTTTTAACCTTTCTTCGTAACTAAAATGCTCCATTCCTTTTATCAATTTTGTAGCTCGCCGCTGCACTTTTTCTAGTGCCATAATATATATCTTTCTTTAGAACAGGTGCCCAAAATTGAACAGCATATTCAATGTGTGATGTTACCAGCGATTTATAAAGAGGCAAAATTATATTTTCATCCCGAGAATATATGCCCCTATTTATACATGACAAAATCTTACTGGCCTTAGCAACTGCAGATTGACATTGCATATTGCTGCCTAATTTGTTGTCTATAACAATTCCCAAATCCTTCTCGTGTGTGGTTATCCCTAATTCACTACCATTTAGGTTGTAAGTTACTTGTGCATTCTTAACGCCTAAGTGCATAACTTTGCATTTCTCTATATTAAATTTCATCTGCCATTTTAGTACCCAATCCCCCAATCTATCTAAATCCCTCTGCAGCAAAGCAATATACTGCTCACATTTTATTACTTTACAAAGTTTTGTGTCATCTGCAAACACTAAAACATGGCTTTCAATGCCTATTTCAAGATCATTTATAAATATGTTAACTAGAAGTGGCCCCAAAACAGAACCACTTACCACTTTTGTCCAACTTGAAAATTTACCATTAATGACAACTCGTTGTACTCTATCCTTAAGACAATGTTCTACCCAAGAACAAGAATATTCATCTAGACCAATAACTTTTAGTTTGAAGACTAACCTATTGTGAGTAACCCGCCTTCGCAAAATCCAAGTAGATCACATCTAGTGCAACACCCTGATCTATACTTCTACTTACTTCTTTGCAGAATGCAATTAGGTTAGTTTGACATGACCTATGTTTCATAAAACCATGCTGATTATTGCTAATAAAGTTCTTCCCAATGAATTCATGCATATTATCCCTTCAAATATTTTCCCAGTCACAGAAGTTAAGCTCACAGGTCTATAATTTCCAGGGAAGGATTTTGAACCCTTTTTAAATATAGGAATGACATCTGCCCTCCTCCAATCCTCCGGGACAATACTTAAAAAAAAACAAAAAAAAAAGAAAACCTTGAAAGATTAAATACAGACGTTCACTTATTTCCCCACTGCTCCTTAAAAGGACCACTAAAAGGGCACCCAGACCACTTCAGCTTAATTAAGTGGTCTGGGTGCCACGTCCAACTAGGATTAACCCTGCCTGCTGTAAACATAGTTTCAGAGAAACTGCTATGTTTACTTTAGGGTTAAATCCAGCCTCAAGTGGCTGTCTCATTGACAGCGGCTAGAGGCGCTTCCGTGCTTCTCACTGTGATTTTCACAGTGAGAAGACGCCAGCGTCCATAGGAAAGCATTGAGAATGCTTTCCTATGGACAGGCTGAATGCGTGCGCGGCTCTTGCCGCGCATGCGCATTCAGCCGATGGCTACCAAAGGAGAAGACGAGTCCACAGCGCCGAAGGAGCCCGGTGCTGGAGAAAGGTGAGTGTTTAACCCCCTTCCTCCCCCTTCAGGAGTTTCTCTTCCTGGCACTATAGTGGTCCTTTAAGTACTCGTGGGTGAATACCATCAGGCCCCGGAGCTTTATTTACATTCATTTTCTTTAACTGCTGTAGCACCTTGTCTCGAGTCATCCAATCACAAGTTATCTGCAAGCTTTTTGCAGCAATCATTTGCATATCTCTTGCCATAGGATCCTCAATCTATAGTGAGGAAAACTTGTTATTTAAAATTACTGCCTTTTCCTGGTCTTCCTTAACTAACAGCCCCATCTCCGTTTTCAGTGTACCTACACTTTCATTATTAGTTTTTTTTAAGAATTGATGTACTTGAAAAAATTTTTGGGGTTGGTTTTGCATTCTTTGGCCATCAATTTCTCATTTTCTAGTTTAGCTACTTTATTAATTGCCATTTTGCCCGCATTATTGGCTTGCTTATAGCTTATATAGGATGCCTCTGATTTGTCTGATTTAAATACTTTAAATGCCCTTTTTTATTTTTAATCTCTTGTTTTACTGCTCTACTAAGCCACATTGGTTTCAATTTGTTTCTGTATTTAATACCCAATGGTACATATTGAGAAATGTACCTTTCTAATAGTTGTTTGAATAGTTTTCATTTATCCTCCGTGTTTTTTTCACTAAGGCGTTTATGCCAGTCGATATGTTATAGAGCTGCCCTAACCTTTTTGAAATTGGCTTTTTAATAATTATACGTTTTCGTATACCCCACGTGCTTTTGCTTTTTTGAGTTTATTTTAAAAATTACCATATTGTGATCACCATTTCCCAAATGTTCCCCTACTTGAATGTTGGTCAAAAGATCAACCTTGTTTGTTATAACGAGATCCAGACAAGCATCCTTTCTAGTTGGTGCTTGTACCAGTTGTGACATGAAGGTGTTAATTTAACAAGTTCAAAAACCTGATACCCCTTGCTGAAGTACTAGTCCCTCTATCCCAATTTATGTCTGGGTAACTAAAATCTCCAACAATTAACGTGTTACCCCGTAACAGTCTTTGATAGCCCCATCTCTTTAGCGGTTCAGTGATGATTCACAGATGGTTGAAAAGCACATGGCACAAATCATGAGATAGGCTGACCCAACCAGTTACTGGAGCAATAGATAAAGAGAATCTGGAGGCACAAGTTGTGACGGACCCGCTGGCACTCCGACCAAGTACCTCCGCCAATCGATGCTCCTAGTGCTTGCCGAGGACTCCAACTGACACCATCAGCACTGCAGACTTATCCCATACCCCAAGCATGAGCCATGGCCTCAAGAAAGGGTCAAGCAGGTCTGTTTAATGAGCAAACAAAAGCAACAGCACTCATGCAGCAAAACAACTCCTTCTCAGAGGAAAACAAAATGACAGTTAAAGGACCACTATAGTGCCAGGAAAACATACTAATTTTCCTGGCACTATAATGCCCAGAGGGTGCCCCCACCCTCAGGGTCCCCCTCCCGCTGGGCTGGATGGCAAGGAAAGGGGTTAAACTTACCTTTTTTCCAGCGCCGAGTGGGGAGCTCTCCTCCTCTCCTCTTCGGCTGAATGCGCATGCGCGGCAGGAGCTGCGCGCGCAGCCAGCCAGTCTCACAGGAAAGCATTCATAATGCTTTCCTATGGACGCTTGCGTGTTCTCACTGTGATTTTCACAGTGAGAAGCACGCAAACGCCTCTAGCAACTGTCAATGAGACAGCCACTAGAGGCTTTAGAGGCTGGATTAACCCATTTATAAACATAGCAGTTTCTCTGAAACTGCTATGTTTATATAAAAAAAAAAATCCTAGAGGGACCAGGCACCCAGACCACTTCATTAAGCTGAAGTGGTCTGGGTGCCTAGAGTGGTCCTTTAAAGACAGACAGTGTTTGAAAATACGACAGTTATTAAGGGTTTAACTGGTGTTCTAAGAAGGGAGGGGGAAATAAAACAGTCAAACTAAGTCCATAAAACAGGGGTTTTCTTCAAACTCTGCATCCGAAGTGCATAGCAAAACTACAGATCCTTTGTCAGAGCATTTAAAGGGCCAGAACCAGTCTAATAAAATCCACTATGTATATCCACTAAATAACGTATTTAAAGGGCAAAATCTTCCATGGGCCATAGTCGCAGGGCAAGAGGCTGGTAATTAGCCCTCTCCAGGCAAAAGTGGCGAAGTCACGCAAGTCAAAACCTAAAATGGGTCTTAACCCTGGAGAACGACCATTTCTCCATAGTTTCAAAAGTGCCAGTCAAAGAGAGAGAGCAAATGTATCATTACATTTATCAGTAGCACTCAGGATCGTAAAATATCCATGGGAAAAAAATGTCTAGTGTTACTTACTCAGCGCAGACTGTTTTTCCAGCAGAAGTATGAGCCGACACCAGAACAGACTGGTTATTATCTATACAGAGAATGGCTTCTCTCTGGAAAGCATCTAAAATGAATGGATACTCCTGTAAAGAAAGAAGAAAAAAGATATTTAACTAGTTCATTAGAATCCGGTTTAAACGCACATTATGCCGTGACACACAAAAGTTTTATAAATAATATGACCACTACAGCCGATCTAGTGTTCGGCTATCCCTTATGGATTTATCCAATGCCCCTCATAGAGATACACTGTAAAAGGCTCTGAGCAGGGCAATGTATTGGGGAAAAATGCTGTATGTGCACTCACAGCATAGCTTCTGCAGCAGACCAACACACACTTACAGCAAAGTGCCTGCAAAAAACTAAGTTTGATCACAATGCAGCACATGTAAAAAATAATAGTAGGAAAAATAGAAGGGGTGGAAATGATCACAAACTGGCCGACATGTATTGAACCATGATATAACAGATTTGTGAATTTAATAATGGAAATGGGGAACACTTTTTTTTTTTAGATGTTAAAAGTTGTAAGGCAATATGGTTTAATACTATATAGAACCCACCTTTGCAGCTTTCCCAATTCGTGGTTTCAGGGGCATATATTCATCATCTGCAGGAAGTGCAACCTAGAGTTAAGAAAATGGGGTAGAAGATCGGGTTTAACTGTTACAAGCAAAAAAAAATGTGTGAAGAGTCAAAGCAGATTTAAGACAGAATTCATCATGAATTTTAGCAAACAGAAACTACAACTTTCTGAAACATTTAAATCATGTATTCACAAGCTAGTCCATTGATAGACGTATGTACCTTGCATTAAAAAGACATAACCCATAAAACACACACAAAAAAAGTAGTAATAGGGTAATTATTCCTAGCAACAGGCATGCCAACACAGTTTAGAGATCCATGGGTGTGTATACAACTGTAATTATGAATGCATCTGTATTTTGCTATATAAAACTAATCTCCTGGGGGACGGGGCCTGGCCAGCATGGCGGACAGTCACAACTCGCAGATGCTCCCCAACACACTCTACACCCAAGCCACGAAACAAGACTCCTGCTGCACACTAATGGACCCAAGCAGGGACTTACACATCGCGGAAGGAGGCTGGAGCGTTCCGGTCCGAAAAACCAGGATGCTGGCTGCCACAAGCATTGTAGAGCGGTTGCAGCCTAGCGAGGGTTTTACGGGCGGCAGGGGCAGCCTCCCCCCCCAGATCCCCTCACCCAACAGGACATCCCGGTCCGTACTTCACTACCTACAGAGTGGATAGCGCATCGGAACCACAGTACATAACCAGGTGCACAAAATGGCAGACTCACCCACCTGATATAGTCAAGCACAGAGACTAAACACTCAAAGCAGACTGGCACCTCAGGGGGACCTAGAGACAAAGCTTGACGCTCTCTTTGAGGCCTTCTGGGTGAAACCGGCAGCAAAAGCAGCAGATCACCAACAGGACCCCCAGTAAAAGACAAGAGGCAATCAGCCCAAAAATGGCTGCGGAGCACGCAAAGGCACTCATTGGGGTACAACACCCGCCATTAACGGTGGCCGCTTCCTTGGACCGGGAGCCACCAAGGAACCGGCTCGCCGGAAGTGACAAGGCAGTGGGAACATGCCACTCACACCTACAAGCCGCCGTCTGAGGCGACCAGCGCCGACGGAGGGGAGGCCTACAAGGTGGTGCCCAAGCAAACAGACGCAACGACAAGCAGACCAAAACAAAGGAAGGTGCCAACTATGATCAAACATTGGACCCCCTGGGACCACTCTACCTCCACGGACCCCACAGGCGCCCAGAGAGACTGCACAACAGATCACCAGCGCTTCCCGGTGTCGGGAGTCGGCTAAATGTGGACTTAACATGCCCTTCTGTGCCTACGTTACCAGACCCGCTATATACCAGTATCAGCCACCTTATCTGGTTATGCAAACTGTTATGAACTTTAATCCATGGTTTACTATGTTCTTTTATACGTTCAACCAACCTGGCTTGTACCTTCTATTTTACACACTCTATTCCTCTGTAGAGTATCTACCCAAGTATCACTACCCAGGCAAGCAATAAAAATCAATTATATAACTTGTTAGCTAACCTTATTATGCTAGCCTATTAAATCGAGTCTAGCTAACAAGATGTTTTCAAATCTACTAAAACACGTGTTTCTAGCTAATGCCATACAAAGATTAAAATAGTGTCTCGCTAGCTAGCACCTACTTAACTTCAACTTAGCAAATGTTCACTCAGGTTTTATTTACTTTAAAAAATGTGCACGTTCTATCTATATGTCCTCAATGTGTTGCTATGCATGGTATGACTTCTGGCTCGTCAATTGCTTTTGGGGCATGACAAGCGTATATGTACTGATGATATGCACGTCAAAAAAAACCAGAAAAAACTCTTCTCCTTTGGCTGGGCCCTTTAGTTGTGGTTAAAGTATTGCTGATTAAGTGTTGTGAAAAATGCACTAAATATAATATGGTTAGTACATGTTTACAAGCACGTAGATTGAATACCCAAGTGACACCAAGTGGAAATTGGAATGAATGTTGCACTTTAAATGTCCAACAATATCTGCACTACACCAAGTTGAATTCCCCCCCCCCCCCATATCAGAATAAGCACTTTTGATACATTATAAATAATGTCTGCACGATTGACACTTTATAGGTGTTATTACTGAACTAATTTTCTATATTTTTGTGTCAAAAGAAACGGTTTAACCAAATTAAGAGTTTAATAGAATTGGAAGCTCTTTGTATACACAGTTTTATTGTGCGATTATAGTTCAATTTACAAAACACTTCTAAAGCAAGTTAATATCTGACTGAAAAAGAAAGCTTTTCTTCATGCAGGAAGTGTGAGTCACAACCAGGTGAGGCATGGCTAGGGCTGCATAAACAGAAACAAAAGTGATTTACCGTTTAAATAGCAGATAATACAGCAGTGAGACTGCAGGGGCATGATCTATACACCAAAACTGCTTCACTAAGCTAAAGTTGTCTTAGTGACTATAGTGTCACTAACTTTTCTTTTGCAGGGGTGGGATAACTAAATTGCCTCTATATCACTAGCTTTAAAAATACAAGTTTGTATTCCTCAAATTAGCATGTTCCTTTCATATCACCAGTTCAGTGTTACACTCATACACATCAGCCCCAATACATACTGTAAAAACCAAAGGGAAAAAAGTTACCTGCGCTCTTCACAAATCCCTGTGCATATTTAAACAAATTGAGGTTATTTAGTTACTCCAATGGCCATGAGAGGGAATGCCCACCTGCCACGTCAAGACAAAGCTCTTTACTACACTGACTATTCACCTTGCTTCCTTGAGCTTCTGGCAAAGATATCTCTGAGAAAGAAAGGGGTATTTCATAAACCCCTACATGCTTATTAACCATTAATAAGGAACACATGGGATGGGCAGCAGCATTGCAACATAGCTGTGTGATACAAATATGAATACAAATACACAAAAACAAGTCCTGAGCTCAAACTGCCACTACTCTTGGGCAGCAGCAATGACCATAGTTACTCCATTGGAGTAACTAAATAACCTCCATTTGTTTAACACCGTAAGACCGGAGGGCGTACTATTACGCCCTATTCTAAGCGGCTCTAAACGCCGCCAGGCTTAATAGTACGCCCTCCGGCGATCGCGGTTTGGGGGACTCCCAGGGAACCCCCCGCGGCAAGTCCGACCCCCTGGAAGCCCCCCGGCCATGTGAGAGTGGGGTCCTTGCGAGGACCCCACAATCACATGGCCGGGGGTAGCTGGCTGCAGCATTGCCAGCAGGGGGACTGCCTGTAATGACAGGTGGTCCCCCTGCTTGCTGAAAATAAAATTAAATAAAATAAATAGTGTGAAAAAAAATATTTTTTTTTCCTTCTCTTTCCAGATTTGTCACATTATATTTATGGCATTTTTATGTACGTTATTTTTATACTTTATAGTACAGAATCTTATGAGTAGGTCACTTAAGAACATTGCTCCTAGTGTAAGATATGGGATTTATATTAGGATCCCATATGATATAGTTATTGCACCAGTATATTTTGTTGGTATGTATTGAATAAGCAATCCTTGGACTTATTATGTGTTTTTTAATACTTAACTATCTATGCAACATCGAAGGATAAAGGAGATTGATCTATATGTATGTGTTCACTTTTTATAGATCTCCGTGTAAATAAAGGTTGCAGCCATAACCTCCTCCCCAGTGGAGGATAGATTCAGAGATCGGGGAACCTGAGATTAATGCGCATGTGCCTGGCGTTACCATGACTACGGGGAACGCAGCTAGCCAGGAAGTAACTGAGGGGATGATCGTTAGACGCAGATGGCATCTCGATCTCCATAGAAACATAACAAACGTGATGATGTCACTCACATCACGTGGTAGCGTGAGCACAAGTGGGAAGATGCCGGTCACCGGCATTATTCGAGCGGACGCTCGAGAGGAGGGGAGATCATCTATTAACACACCTGAAATGTGAGTTCTAATTGGATTTATGTTCTTATTTAAGCTATGTAAGTTTCATATGCTGTCCTGATGAAAGCTCCCAAGAGGAGCTGAAACGTTGACTTACGGAGTAAAGTATTTTTTTGGTTATTTACAAACCCTGGGAGTGCTGATATATATATATATATATATATATATATACACATACACATACATATATATATACACACACACACACACACACACACACGTACACTGTGTAGGTATATTTTACTATTAATATATAATTATATATTAATATCAAATTACACATAGACTGATACTGATTATATATATATATATATATAATAAAAAAATAAAAATGTAAACACGTTAAAATAAAATTAAAAATAATTAAAAAATATATAGATGTGTGTTATTTCGTTCTAACTGTATTGTGAAATTAATATATATATCTCAAAATACACGTAGAACGAAATATATATCTATATACATAAATAAAAATATTTAAATGTATTACAACGATGATATCGCCAGTAAAAGTGAAGTTTTTTGAATTTTTCACGCACAAACAGCACTTACACGGACGATATTATTGCTGCGATACTTTTTACTGTTTTGAAACATAAATGTTTGTGTTCAGCTCCCGAGTAGAACAGTACCCCCCATGTACAGGTTTTATGGTGTCTTGGAAAGTTATAGGGTTAAATATAGTGCAAGCAAATTAAATTCCCTTTACTTTCGGCATGGGTTGTCAGGCCGGTCCCGCTAATTGTAATTAATTAAGATACCTAATTATGTAAAAATATTACATAAATATATATGCAGAATTAATATATGTGTGTGTATATTATATATATATATATAGATATAGATATAGATATAGAGAGAGAGAGAGAGAGAGATTTCGTTCTACGTGTATTTTGATATATATATAGTACCCCTCATGTACAGGTTTTATGGTGTTTTCAAAAGTTACAGCGTCAAATATAAGGCTTGCGTTTCATTTTTTTCACATTAAAATTCTCCAGATTGGTTACGTTGCCTTTGAGACCCTATGGTAGCCCAAGAATGAAAATTACCCCTATGATGGCATACCATTTGCAATAGTAGACAACCCAAGGTATTGCAAACAGGGTATGTCCAGTCTTTTTTAGTAGCCACTTAGTCACAAACACTGTCCAAAATTGGCGTTTTTTGCATTTTTCACACACAAACAAATCTGACGCTAACTTTGGCCAGTGTTTGTGACCAAATGGTTACTAAAAAAGACTGGACATATTGCAATACCTTGGGTTGTCTACTATTGCAAATGGTATATTATGGGTGTAAATTTCATTCCTGGCTACTATAAGTCCAAAGGCAACGTAACCAATCTGGCGAATTTCAATTCCAAATGTAACGTGCTTTATATTTGACCCTGTAACTTCCCAAAACGCCATAAAACCTGTACATAGGGGGTACTGTCTTACACGTGAGACTTTACCGAATACAAATATGTGTATTTTATTGCAGTAAAAGCAAACAGTATTATGACATTGACCGTTAAAATGTCACGTAGAACTAAAATAAAAAAATAAAAAAATCGTATTTTCTCGCATTTTATTTTATATTAAATTATGTTTCATAGCTAAATATTTGATATTAAATGAAAGCCCCATTTCCCCTGAATAAAATGATATATAATAAGGGTGGGTGCATTTACTATGAAAGAGGTGTATTACGGTTGGACAGACATGTAGCGCAAATGCCAGGTTTTGTTTACATTTTGTTTTGTTCACAACGTGTACATTTGGCTCCGTCCTTAAGGGGTTAAATATGCATAGGGATTTAGGAAGTGAGCAGGTAACTTTTTTTTTCCCTTTGGTTTTTACTGTATGTTTTGGGGTTGATGTGTATGAGTGTGTTTTAAATGTGTACTATGGTCACTGCTGCCGCCCAAGAGTAGTGGGAGTTTGAGCGCAGGACTTGTTTTTGTCTATTTGTATTCACTTTTGTATCACACAGCTACGTCACAATGCTGCCACCCACCCCAAGTGTTCCATTTTAAGGGTTAATAAGCAAGTAGGGGTTTATAAAAAATACCACTCTCTGTTTCAGAGATAGAAGCTCAAGGAATCAAGGTGAATAGTCAGTGTAGGACCCATCTAAGAGGTTTGCCTTTATGTGGCATGTGGGTATCCCTCTCATGGCCATTAGAGTAACTAAATAACTCTCATTTGTTTAATTATGCACAGGGATTTGGGAAGAGCGCAAGTAACTTTTTTCCCCTTTGATTTAAAACAAACTGCCTGCCCACTCAAATCAATTATACATACTAGTAATCAAGATTAATTTGTTAAAGGAACACTATAGGGTAACAAACATATTCTTTACCCAATAGAGTTAAAACCACCATCTCCCCTCCCCTAAAAATAGTAAAAGCTTGCATTTAAGTCTCCAGCTGCTGCCTCTGCCCCGATTTGCCAGCATGGCGGACATCAGAAGTGGGAATCTGAGCCAATCACAATTCTTTCACGTAGGATTGGCTGAGATTGTCAAGGAAACAGATCAGGGGCAGAGCCAGCACAAGTCAAAAACTGTCCTGTCCAATCAGCATCTCCTCATAAAGTCGCATTGAATCAATGCATCTCTATGAGGAACGTTCAGTGTCTTCATGCAGAGGGTGGAAACACTGAATGGCAGCACTGCCCCAGGAAGCACCTCTAGCAGCCACCTGAGGTGTGGCCAGTGGAGTTATCACTAGGCTGTAATTTGAACACTGGATTTTCTCTGAAAATACTACGTTTACTGCAAAAAGCCTGAAGTAATAATTCTACTCACCAGAACAAATACAATAAGCTGTAGTTATTCTGGTGACTATAGTGTCACTTTAAGGGGCCGGAGTAACCCTTTAACGTGGTTTTAGCATCACATTTCAGTTCTGCAAACTAACTTGTACCTACTTGGCTAACCAAACAACTTATACCTGTGGTGAACAGCTGGAAACTTGAAAGTAGGTTACCCAGAATATAGGTAAATTAGCTCACCTCATGTGTACAGCCGTCTATTGTATCCACTGCTTGCACTTTTATTCTTGGCATTAAGTCTGCAAGGCTGCAATAAAACAGAACAAAAGTGATTTCACATTGAAAAACCCCAGGAACAACCAACTTTCAGCCTATGCTTAACGAATATTGAAGACAGTAAATAAATATATTTTATCCAAGGCAATTTGGTCTTATTTTAGAGCATAAAGTGCATATTTTGGCCATTTTTTCACCATGGCAAAAACACACAACTTAAGGTGCCTCTACAGAAGGCAAGGACTGATTCCAATCTAAAATCATTAATTGTAGGGATTGTGTTGGGAGCTGCCATAAACCCCGATCATTCAAATGATGAAAAAGGAACAGCATTCAATTTATATCCTGTTATGCACACCAAAAACAAAATCCAAAATAATAATCAACATAGTTTTCAAACAGCCATACACAGCACAATGCCCACATAATAGATTCAATACGGCTCAGTAGTATTTCAGGAAAAACAATGTGTGTTTGTGTGTGTCTTATTCCCTATTTTACAACGGGGTCTATACACTTTTACTACTTTAAATATTTTGAACAGATCAGGAGCAGAGCCAGCACAAGCCAAACACAGACCAGGCCAATCAGAATGTCCTCAGAGAGATGCATTGAATCAATGCATCTCTATAAGGAAAGTTCAGTGTCTCCATGCAGAGGGTAGAGAGACTGAATGTCAGTGCAGTTTCTGTCTCAGGAAGCACCTATAGTAGCCATATGAGGAGTGGCCAGTGGAGGTATCTTTAGACTGTAATGTAAACACTGCCTTTTCTCTGAAAATACCGTTGTGGCGGAACATACAGTTTATTGGGACTATTTGAATTCTACTACGTTCAGGAATTCTCTTACCCAAACCCACCCGGTTCCGCTCCTGAACGGGGACCCACTTGTAACTTGTTAGAACAATGGAACACCAACCACCCCATAGGCGTTAAACCACAAAGGAAACAATTAGTGCTTCCCCTGGGTGGCCGTCATTTCGCATAACCGAACACACGTGGTCGAAGGAATGGCGGTCTTTTCGGATAGACGACCTCACGGACATCAGGGAAACTCTACAGCTACCTTCTCCGTGCCCCGACCAGCTAGGAGAGCGCTCTTCGGGAGAAAGACTATCAACCAGGAGCATTCGCTCCCTGGAAGCAAGGGAATACCTTTGACAGTGTTTGTATACTAACCAGCCATTTCCCTACTTTCTATGGAACTGTTTTGGGCTTTGACCTTGTGGCTTTACCCCGGTGGCGATTCTCTTCTTCCAAACGCATCTGAGCACTATTTGGTCAACTTGGGCACTCGGATCCAGGGATATAACACTTGTGAGGTTCCTGTGGATATTGTGGATACTATATATATTTTGTATGTTTCCCTGTAACAGAACAAATACAATAAGCTGTTGTTCTGGTGACCATAATGTCCCTTTAAGATTGTTTAACTTTAGAACTTTAATATGATTGTTTAATATATAGCCACTTTGAGGGCTTCTTTGTGGCCAATAATATTCCCATTTAATTTAGACAGATTTTAATATATTCTCCTGGGCGAACACCAAAAGGTTATCGCCTCAGTTTGCTTACTCGTTCTGATATACACCATGGCACGCACGGTCATGTTGGACTGGCCGTAAAAGGAAGGAACACACTTCCGATAAGGACTCATGGAAAATCGATAACGGCTGCGAAAAGGAGATCACTCTTTACAAGATCAGCGGACAGATGATTTTATTCATTGGAGGACCAGTCTGGTGCCTGGTCAGAAGTGGTGACTAGGGAGGCACCTTGGAGCGCTTAAAAACGTTACACAATGTGAGTGTAATTAATTTTATTAGCAATATCACACTGTTGAGTAAAAAGGTTTCTAACCTAAAGCAAAAACCTAGTCAGAACCTAAAGGAGTGAATGAATGAGTGAAGGAGTAATAAGTGATTTGACTCCTTAGCTGGGGAATGCACCATGATCTACTGATAGGCTGTAGTGACCCTTTAAGCTCCAAGAGTAGGAAAGCTAGGCTTCATAACATAAACAAGGCTACTTTCAAACCAGGATAGAGTGATTTTTCAATAAGACTTACTTTAATTCGTCAGAGGATTCAACTTTGAGCTTCTTTCCCAAAAGATTGTCTTCAGGACCATCAATATTGCTTGCATCTCGCTTTCCCTTTGCCACAGGACCCGAGAGCACAACTTGTGGCTTTGCATTTCGCTTCCTGAAAAAAAAAAAAAATACAATCATTTAATTTCAATATATATTATATACACACACACACACACCGTATTTTCAGGCGTATAAGACGACTTTTTAACCCTGGAAAATCTTCTCAAAAGTTGGGGGTCGTCTATATGGCTGCCTAGGGCGTCATATAGGAGGGGGCGCCCTGCGCCCCCATCGCCAGCCCTTCTAATGCTGCAGCCGCCTGAGCGCTCTATAGAGAGCGCTCAGACGGCTGCCGCACTGCCTCTCTTCTCACCTCCCCTTCCCTGTGTAGCGTGGGTGGCCGAGCTCCTCTTCATCCTGTCAGTCCGGCCGGGTACCGCGCGGTACAGGAGATTCAGTTACCTGTTCCCGGCCGGACTGACAGGATGAAGAGGAGCTCGGCCACCCACTCTACACAGGGAAGGGGAGGTGGGAAGAACGTAGGGAGCATTGGGAGTAAAAAGAATGGAGGGGGGAGTAAAAAGAATGGAGGGAGGGGAGTAAAAAGAATGGAGGGAGGAGAGTAAAAAAGAATGGAGGGAGGAGAGTAAAAAAGAATGGAGGGAGGAGAGTAAAAAAGAATGGAGGGAGGAGAGTAAAAAAGAATGGAGGGAGGAGAGTAAAAAAGAATGGAGGGAGGAGAGTAAAAAAGAATGGAGGGAGGAGAGTAAAAAAGAATGGAGGGAGGAGATAGATATGAAACAATTTAATAGGAATAAAAACTTGAAAAGAGTGAGAAATTAAGATATGTTTTGATTTTCATAGTTCGGCACAGCATTTCTAAGTGTTAATGATACTGTTTGCTTTTATGGCAATAAAATAAACATTTGTGTTCGGTAATGTCTCACATGTAAAACAGTACCCCATTTATTGATTTTATGGGGGTTTTGGAAAGTTACAGGATCAAATATAGAGCTGGTCCATTTTACTTTTTACATATTGAAATTTGCCAGAATGGTTATGTTACCTCAGACTGTATGGTAGCCTAGAAATGAAAATCCTCATAATGGCACACCATTTGAAAATGTAGACATCCCAAGGTATTCAAAATGGGGTATGTCCAGTCTTTTGTAGTAGCCACTGAGACACAAACCCTAGCCAAAGTTAGTGTTCATATTTTTCTTATGCATTTTTTTCATAAAAAAACTGTATGGCAGCCTGGTTAAAACCATTTCCACCATTATGGTATACCATTTTCAAAAGTAGGCAACCCAGAGTATTTTAAATAACGCGTTTTGAGATATTTGGTCAAACCACTTTAACAGAAATGAAGGGTCCATATAGAAGTTAAAGTTTTATTTGTATTTTTTCACACAATTGAACTCCGTTTTCACAGGACATTTCAGATTCCTGATATGAATTTGTGCAATAGTGCCTAGATAATTTGATTACACAATGTTTCACAAATATAATAGTACACCCCACGTACCATTATTTCAGATTTGTTTCGGTAACTCACAGGGCCAAATATATTCGATCAGGGCTTGACAAATTTGTTTGGAATCTAGAAGTCAGCTAAAAAAGTTAGGAGCCAGTTTAAAAGTTTAGTTTTAAACAAGAAAAATGCACTTCTTAAGGGACACCAGAACCACTATGGCTTAACATAGTGTACTAAAAAAGTTAGTACAAAAGTACATTAAAGGACCACTATAGTCACCCAGACCACTTCAGCTTAATGAAGTAGTCTGGGTGCCAGATCTAGCTAGGATTAACCCTTTCTTCTATAAACAGCAGTTTCAGAGAAACTGCTATGTTTATAATAGGGTTAATCCAGTCTCTAGTGGCTCTCATTGACAGCCGCTAGAGGCGCTTCCAAGCTTCTCACTGATTTTCACAGTGAGAAGACGCCAGCGTCCATAGGAAAGCATTGAGAATTGCCAGGTCACTCAGGTTTTAACCCTTCAGATGTAAACATAGCAGTTTACATTGCAGGGTTAATCCAGCCTCTAGTGGCTGTCTTCCCAACAGCCGCTAGAGGTGCTTCCCCAACGCTCAATGCGAAAATCGCATTGAGCACACAGAACGTCCATAGGAAAGAATTGAGAAACGCTTTCCTATGGGCGTTTTGAATGCGCGTGTGGCTCCACTAGGGAGCAGAAGTCACCAGCTCCGAGGGAGCCCGGCGCTGGATAAAGGTAAGTGGATGAAAGGGTTTTAACCCCTTCAGCCCAGTGGGAGGGGGGCACCTAAGGATTATATAGTTTCAGGAAAACGAGTTTGTTTTCCTGACACTATAGTGCTCCTTTTAAAAGTGGATTGCAAGGCAGGTCCTCCGACCGTGCAAGGGGAGAATGATGACACTCATTTGGGCGGCAAAAGCGGCTAGGACATTCTATGTTTACATTACAGTTCTAAGTCTGCCCTCTGTGGCTTTCTAACAGACAGCCACTAGAGGGCTTTCGGCATTCAAACCGACCTCCAGCGTCACATTTTCCCCATTGGAAAGCATTGAATAATGCTTTTCTATGGGGAGGTCTAATGCGCGAGTGCGGCCATTGCCAAGCATGCGCATTAGGTCTCTCTCGCCAACGTCAGCGGAGCCTGACCCGGCACCAAGTGACATCTGCGCTGCATTCAGGTAAGTAGCTGAAGGGGTTTTAAATCCTTCAGCGACATGTGATAGGAGGGAGGAACTCCAGGATTCTCTGGTGCCAGGAAAACAGGTTTAAGGGACAATATAGGCATCAAAACAACTTTAACTTAAAGGAACACTATAGTGTCAAGAATACAAACATGTATAGCTTTTTAGGTGACAGCGCCCGCGCCCGCGCCCCCCCCCCCCATCCCTCTAAAAAGGTTATTTTACACCCTGCTTTATAGCATAATTAAACTACTAGTTTACTGGTTATTGTCCTGCAATACAAGATATCACAGCTCAGGCACATATGGCAAGGACAATAACCAGAGCTGAAGCACAAGAACACATTAGATCAAGTGAATAGGGAAATCAGGGTGTAAGTGTGCTATCAGGGTTTTTCACTGAACTGAGATTCATAGTGAATTTCAAATTTAATGCCAAAGAAGCTGAACTGAATGCATAGCTGATTTTTCCAGTTTGGTTATTTTGAATTCTCACTTTAGTATTTACCCTGTCTACATCTGTCATATTCTCTAGCACTATCTGCAGAGAATCTAAGTCTCAGGGTTTTTATAATAGCCGCCAAGACAAAAGTTCCTACTTACACATTATTGTTATCAATACAACCTGCCTCTGGATGGAATTACTTATATACCACCAACAAATTCCCCAGCACTTTACAATTATAGAATGGGGATAATGGACAAGTATTTCACATACAACAGATAAAGAAGGCCCTGCACAAACAAGCCTACAATCTATTAGGATCCATCAAGGTAGTAGAGTGCTGCACCCAAGAATAGTGATACACTGGAGCTCTGTGGAGGAGGTCCATTAGCTCCCAATGTATATCCAAAAGTATAGAACCACAGGCTTCAGAGTGCAGGGTGAAGAATCAAATATAGTTTATTATGATCCAAAGGACAAAACAAAAATAAAACGTTTTGGCTGTGAGGCCTTAAGTCATGTAATCATACAAAATTAAGGCCTCACAGTCGAAACATCTTTGATTTGATCTTTGGATCATAAAATAGATAGGATTCTTTACCCTGTACTGCGAAACCTGTGGCTCTATACTTTAGTACAATCTATGACGAATTAACTTCACTCTGAAGGCACCTGCAGACCTCATGTAAGTGGAAAACTTAAAAAATAAAAACCCAAACACAGGCCACTTTCAGCCTGAATTCTACTTTCTCCAAAACTTGCCATTTATACTAGCTATCCCGGTCTCTGTTCACCCAATTAATTACAGCTGTAGCAATTAGCAACACCCATGGCACTATGAGGGTTATTTACTGAATTTAGGATTCATAGTGAATTTCAAAACAGAGTGGCCGAACTGAAAACACGGCTGACAGAGGAATGTTCCTGGTTTGGCTATTTTGACCTTAATGTTAAAACTCGCTTTGACTGTACATTGTTCTCTCCCTGTGTGTATATATCTCTATCATACAATGCTGTGATTACAGACTGCATGGCAGAGCACTCACACCGGCCCCCCCCCCGGGCCCTCACTCACACCGGCCCCGGGCCCTCACTCACACAGCCCCGGGCCCTCACTCACCCGCCCTTGGCAGCCGGCCCCGGTTGGTTGTTCTTGGCCGCTGGAGCCGCATCTTCCTCGAACACACTGAACAGCTCGTCTCCGAAGGCGTCCGCCATTTTCAGCCAGCAGGCGCTCGGCACAGGAAGTACACAGGATCCGCCCGACTGTGAAAGGCGCAAGCGGCTCCCTCAGCCGGTCAGTCACTCCCCCCGCGGATAGCCGACAGACCTCCGATAAGCCGCACAGCGAGACCGGGCTCTGCGTGTCACCGAGTGATCACGTGCGGCAACACGTCGCACGGTGATGATGACGGAATCGTCGCGCTTTCCTGACGTAGAATGTAAGCGCGTCTTACTGTGGGCGAACTCTGAGAGCTCTAGACACCAGAGATACGACAACCGATAGAACACGATCCCTACAGGCTCCAATACAGCACACGGCTACAGGGGGACTGGCGCTGAACCTGAAGAGGATATATTCTAACATTTTACCTCATTGAGTGGGTATTTTGATGACATTTACATTTGATGGATGACGTTTGACGTAATTGCCCGTTTTGGGATTCTTCTAACGAAAGTAGAATAGTCTCCAACAAAATGGCTGCAGTAGTGTAACAACTGATGGACATGTCGCTTTACTCTAATGATTAGAACTCAATGGGCAATTGGCTCATTACGTCATCAGAAAGGGGGAACATGGGAGCCCGGTGACGTTAGATGGTTCATGATGGACAGTCCAGGCGCGATCTGAGAACGAGGTACCCGGAGAGCCTGATCTCTCCATAGAAACCTATTGTGATACACTGTATCCCTCACCTGTAATACACCCTGCAGCCAGGCTGCCCTGACCGGCTCACCCGTAACACACCCCGCAGCCAGGCTGCCCTGACCGGCTCACCTGTAACACACCCCGCAGCCAGGCTGCCCTGACCGGCTCACCTGTAACACACCCCGCAGCCAGGCTGCCCTGACCGGCTCACCTGTAACACACCCCGCAGCCAGGCTGCCCTGACCGGCTCACCTGTAACACACCCCGCAGCCAGGCTGCCCTGACCGGCTCACCTGTAACACACCCCGCAGCCAGGCTGCCCTGACCGGCTCACCTGTAACACACCCCGCAGCCAGGCTGCCCTGACCGGCTCACCTGTAACACACCCCGCAGCCAGGCTGCCCTGACCGGCTCACCTGTAACACACCCCGCAGCCAGGCTGCCCTGACCGGCTCACCTGTAACACACCCCGCAGCCAGGCTGCCCTGACCGGCTCACCTGTAACACACCCCGCAGCCAGGCTGCCCTGACCGGCTCACCTGTAACACACCCCGCAGCCAGGCTGCCCTGACCGGCTCACCTGTAACACACCCCGCAGCCAGGCTGCCCTGACCGGCTCACCTGTAACACACCCCGCAGCCAGGCTGGGCTGACCGGCTCACCTGTAACACACCCCGCAGCCAGGCTGCCCTGACCGGCTCACCCGTAACACACCCCGCAGCCAGGCTGCCCTGACCGGCTCACCCGTAACACACCCCGCAGCCAGGCTGCCCTGACCGGCTCACCTGTAACACCCGCAGCCAGGCTGCCCCTGACCGGCTCACCTGTAACACCCGGCCAGGCTGCCCTGACCGGCTTCACCTGTAACACACAGCCAGGCTGCCCTGACCGCTCACCTGTTAACACCCCCCAGCAGGCGCTGACCGCCTCACCTGTAACACACCCGCAGAGCTGCCTGACCGCTCACCGCTCCCCCCAGCCAGGCTGCCCTGACCGGCCACCCGCAACACACCCCAGGCTGCTGGGGGCTCACCTGTAACATTCCCAGAGCTTGGCTGCGCCTGACCGGCTCTGTAACACACCCCGCACCTGTGGCCGACTCACCTGTAACACCCACGCAGCCAGGCTGCCCTGACCGGCTCACTGTAACACACCCCGCAGCCAGGCTGCCCTGACCGGCTCACCTGTAACACACCCCCCCCAGCCAGGCTGCCCTGACCGGCTCACCTGTAACACAACTCCCCCAGCCAGGCTGCCCTGACCGGCTCACCTGTAACACAACTCCCCCAGCCAGGCTGCCCTGACCGGCTCACCTGTAACACAACTCCCCCAGCCAGGCTGCCCTGACCGGCTCACCTGTAACACAACTCCCCCAGCCAGGCTGCTGCTCACCTGCCAGGCTGCCCTGACCCCGACTCACCTGTAACACAACTCCCCAGCCAGGCTGCCCTGACCGGCTCACCTGTAACACACCCCGCAGCCAGGCTGCCCTGACCGGCTCACCTGTAACACACCCCGCAGCCAGGCTGCCCTGACCGGCTCACCTGTAACACACCCCGCAGCCAGGCTGGGCTGACCGGCTCACCTGTAACACACCCCGCAGCCAGGCTGCCCTGACCGGCTCACCCGTAACACACCCCGCAGCCAGGCTGCCCTGACCGGCTCACCCGTAACACACCCCGCAGCCAGGCTGCCCTGACCGGCTCACCCGTAATACAACCTGCAGCCAGGCTGACCTGACCGGCTCACCCGTAATACAACCTGCAGCCAGGCTGCCCTGACCGGCTCACCTGTATTTTATTTTATTTAGTTTGTAAAATGCTTCAAAAATTAAACAGAATAACAAAATAAATAACAAAATAACAATAATAAACAATCAACTGAAATAATACCCAATTCAAACATAATACCAAATGAAACATAAATACCCCAAAATTAAACATAAATACCGAAATAAAAACTCAGGAAGGGGCACTAATAGGGGAGTAAACTTATACCAAATTAAATAACTGGGAATAACAGGGAGAGGGACCGGCTCACCTGTAATATTTTATTTTATTTAGTTTTGTAAAATGCTTCAAAAATTAAACAGAATAACAAAATAAATAACAAAATAACAATAATAAACAATCAACTGAAATAATACCCAATTCAAACATAATACCAAATGAAACATAAATACCCCAAAATTAAACATAAATACCGAAATAAAAACTCAGGAAGGGGCACTAATAGGGGAGTAAACTTATACCAAATTAAATAACTGGGAATAACAGGGAGAGGGACCGGCTCACCTGTAATACACCCTGCAGCCAGTCTGGGCTGACCGGCTCACCTGTAATATTTTATTTAGTTTTGTAAAATGCTTCCAAAATTAAACAGAATAACAAAATAAATAACAAAATAACAATAATAAACAATCAACTGAAATAATACCCAATTCAAACAGAATACCAAATGAAACATAAATACCCCAAAATTAAACATAAATACCGAAATAAAAACTCAGGAAGGAGCACTAATAGGGGAGTAAACTTATACCAAATTAAATAACTGGGAATAACAGGGAGAGGGACCGGCTCACCTGTAATACACCCTGCAGCCAGGCTGCCCTGACCGGCTCACCTGTAATATTTTATTTTATTTAGTTTTGTAAAATTCTTCCAAAATTCAAACATAATACCAAATGAAACATAAATACCCCAAAATTAAACATAAATACCGAAATAAAAACTAAGGAAGGGGCACTAATAGGGGAGTAAACTGATACCAAATTAAATAACTGGGAATAACAGGGAGAGGGACCGGCTCACCTGTATTTTATTTTATTTAGTTTGTAAAATGCTTCAAAAATTAAACAGAATAACAAAATAAATAACAAAATAACAATAATAAACAATCAACTGAAATAATACCCAATTCAAACATAATACCAAATGAAACATAAATACCGAAATAAAAACTCAGGAAGGGGCACTAATAGGGGAGTAAACTTATACCAAATTAAATAACTGAGAATAACAGGGAGAGGGACCGGCTCACCTGTAATACACCCTGCAGCCAGTCTGGGCTGACCGGCTCACCTGTAATACACCCTGCAGCCAGGCTGCCCTGACCGGCTCACCTGTAATATTTTATTTTATTTTATTTAGTTTTGTAAAATGCTTCCAAAATTCAAACATAATACCAAATGAAACATAAATACCCCAAAATTAAACACAAATACCGAAATAAAAACTCAGGAAGGGGCACTAATAGGGGAGTAAACTTATACCAAATTAAATAACTGGGAATAACAGGGAGAGGGACCGGCTCACCTGTATTTTATTTTATTTTATTTAGTTTGTAAAATGCTTCCAAAATTAAACAGAATAACAAATTAAATAACAAAATAACAATAATAAACAATCAACTGAAATAATGCCCAATTCAAACATAATACCAAATGAAACATAAATACCCCAAAATTAAACATAAATACCGAAATAAAAACTCAGGAAGGGGCACTAATAGGGGAGTAAACTTATACCAAATTAAATAACTGGGAATAACAGGGAGAGGGACCGGCTCACCTGTAATACACCCTGCAGCCAGGCTGGCTCACCTGTAACACAACCTGCAGCCAGGCTGGGCTGACCGGCTCACCTGTAACACAACCTGCAGCCAGGCTGGGCTGACCGGCTCACCTGTAACACAACCTGCAGCCAGGCTGGGCTGACCGGCTCACCTGTAACACAACCTGCAGCCAGGCTGGGCTGACCGGCTCACCTGTATTACAACCTGCAGCCAGGCTGACCTGACCGGCTCACCTGTAATACAACCTGCAGCCAGGCTGACCTGACCAGCTCACCTGTAATACACCCTGCCTTATTTCTTCAGTATGTACTAAACCTGAAAGCAGATTTATTACCACAATTATTTCAGGCAACAGAGTATACCATCACTTGCTAATTCATCTGACTTGTGCAGTGTATGGATGGGTCCTGCATTACAATAAATAAGTCACACTGTTTAGTTATCTCTGTGTTTGCAGTCAGTTGTGCTTGCATAATGTATAAATATTATTTTTTCACTGCCCAAATTTAGTTTAAAAATTAAATAAAAAAATAAATATATATATATATATGTATTAAGGCAGTTTTGCCTGTATTTGTGGGAGGGGCTTAAATTAATTCACTCCCCTATATAAGGGACACCCCTTACCTGACTCATATCGCTTGAGGTCAGCATCAGAATGATTTCCACCTCCGGGTCATCCAGACGCCATTTTACCTGATTACTCCATGAGGTTTTCTAAGCTGAGCTGTGTCAGGAATCCAGCCACAGGCTTTTCCGGCCTACCACCTTCTTCAATCTATCGCTGTGGATGGTGTCCAAGTGACTCACAAACCGTAAGTTGACCTACCCATTACGCCAGGCATCAGTCCCACGGCACCATGCAAGGGTCAGGTCCTCACTTTACGGCTGCATTTTGTCTAAGTCTGTTCTAAAACCATTGCATGTTCATGCATATCATTCGTTTAAACCCCCTACTGGTCTTTGGGTGTACTACAGACTTCTTAGACATTATCGCATTTCATGTACAAACCAACTAACCACTGCATCTTTGCCTACACACTGACCCCTACCGGTCATTCGGTGTACTACAGGCTTCTCAGACATTATTGCATTTCATGTACAAACCAACGAACCACCGCATTTTTCACCTACACACTGACCCCTATTGGTCATTCGATGTACTACAGGCTTCTTAGGCGTTGTTTGCATTTTCATGTACAAACCAATAAACCACTGCATTTACACCTACACACTGACCCCTACTGGTCTTTCGGTGGACTACATGCTTCTTAGACATTATCGCATTTCATGTACAAATCAACTAACCACTGCATTTGCGCCTACACACTGACCCCTACCGGTCATTCTGTGTACTACAGGCTTCTCCAACATTATTGCATTTCAGGTACAAACCAACAAACCACTTAATTTTTCACCTACACACTGACCCCTATCAGTCATTCGGTGTACTACAGGCTTCTTAGACATTATTGCTTTTCATGTAAAAAACAATAAACCACTGCATTTTCACCTACACACTGACACCTACCAGTCATTCTGTGTACTACAGGCTTCTCAGACATTATTGCATTTTATGTACAAACCACTGCATTTTTCACCTACATACTGACCCCCTATCAGTCATTCGGTGTACTACAGGCTTCTTAGACATTATTGCTTTTCGTGTACAAAACAATAAACCACTGCATTTTTACCTACACACTTACACCTACCGGTCATTCAGTGTACTACAGGCTTCTCAGACATTATTGCATTTCATGTACAAACCAACTAACCACGGCATTTTCGCCTACATGCTGACCCTTACCGGTCAATCGGTATACTACAGTCTTCTCAGACTTTATTTCACTTCATAAGCAAACAAACTAACTACAGCATTTTCGCTTTTATACTGACTCCTATCTGTCATACGGTAGGATTAACTCCTTAGGGACACATGACATGTGTGACATGTCATGATTCCCTTTTATTCCAGAAGTTTGGTCCTTAAGGGGTTAAAGGGTATTTTTACCATACAATCAGCATTTATGACCCCTACTGGTCAACAGCAAAACTGTCTTCACATGTCATATACAAGTTACCAGCCAATATAAATTACACATAAGATTGTTTTAACCCCTTAAGGACACAAGACATGTGTGACGTGTCATGATTCCCTTTTATTCCAGAAGTTTTGTCCTTACGGGGTTAAACATAACCATAAACCATTAATGAAACTCCAGCACGGGCTCAAATTCAGGTTTAATTCACAATAATTTACATTTCACATCAAGACCAACAGTGGTTCTATCAACACTGCCACCTACAGGTCTGTCAAGTACATTGACAATTTTCATGGGGTTTTACAAACACCAAAACACTTACACCTATAGGTCAACAGACAAACAACATTTCACATACCAATCAGTATCCAACTACAGTGCCACCTATAGGGCACTCGGCAGATCTCCAGTGCACTTGCATTTTGCAACACCATGTTCACTGACCCCTACCATTCAATAAGACATACAACAATTCACATAGCAAGTAGTATATCAACATCTGGTATAAATACATATATTATTACACAGTAGCAGACGCATCTGTATATACATAACTGGTAATATAGTTCACATACATTTTTCACAGCACGCTGCTCACACAACAGACTTTCCCCTAGCAAGGGGACATACAACATACAAGGTGGGGACACACCACTTTTTCACTTGTACATACGGCACTTAATGGGTTAAGATTGATACATATTTAACCAGTATGGCTACAATGTTTAATATTTACACATCAAGGCACTTTACTTTTCACATATACTGTACGTATTAAGATAAGCTTGGTCTATGCCATATTTCCTTATGCCATATGGTTTTGTCCATTCAGGTTACAGTTACTACTAAAAAACCTATACGGATTCTCAGGTTCAATACCATACTACCAGGTACATACACCTGCTCACGTAGTTATCCATCTCTTACCTTCCCTGGAATAGTGATAGTGTACTGGCAATTAGCGTTCTAGGGCCCAATAGGTATTACCCCCTTTTTCTCTGCATTATGCTTCGGTTAGTGGTCCAGCGACACCAACACCCCGCCTCACACTCGGAGGCATACACCCCTCAGGCCACTCGTGAGCTAGCCGCCTCGCATTGTATCATAGAGAGGGCCTCACCTGTCACTCCCCTTCCTATTTTCTGGTTACTGTCACCGAGAGGCCAACATCCTGCCACAATGTTCGGTGGCCACACAAAATCCCCTCGCGCCAAGCATAGATAGAGCCTCTAAAGCCACTTGGCAACTAGCAGGGCCTCACCAGTCACCAAAAAACACCAAGCCTAATCGTTTCGCCTTACGGCTTAGCTAGCAAGCCAGTACAAGAACCCTGGGTACAAATAATTGCATCTTTATTGTTATTTAAGTATTTTTCCAAAAGATGGTGAAGAATCACCTCTTCCTAGCACCCCGGCTAGAATTGATACACATTCAAGCAGAGGAGATGTTGCTAGTCCTGCAGCAATCAGATCCTGGATGATCCCACACATTACCACCGACCTAAGGAGGTGACAAATCCCCTACCCTGCTACAGCAAAGAAAGCAGAGTTATTCAAACTCCTCCATACATCAACGGACAACACGGAGGCAGGGGAAGGCCCAGCTACATCAACTCAGGTGACACCCAGGCTATGCTAGCCTCACTCATAAACTCAAGAGCCAAAAAATTTTATGACAGACTGGCAATCTCGAGTTGGTCACCACAGCCCTCACAAGGCTGGGCCTCACGTTACTGTACAACCAGCACCAACCGAAACTCGATTACCTGGTACAATCAATTCTTATGACACACAAGATGTTAACCCTGCACGTATGATCCCAGCACATTGGGGAAGCAAGGCATATATATGTATGATGATGTATCTGTGATGGTCAGATTCAGGGATTCCAGGTAAATCGGGAACTGACCATCTCTTGGATAGGTTGGTATTTGGAATATGTAGAGATGTTTATTTGTGCAGGTACCCATACAGAAGGGGTTCTGTCCCAAACAAATGGACGAGCACTCTCAGGCTCCAGGTACCAGCACCTCTGAACTATCAGAGACTATTGATATGAGTAGTTGCATTGCACATAGACTGTTGCATATATGTTCAAATGGTTCAGGGCACATGACAAACCATGTGGCCCAATACAACTTACAAATAACGTACTCACCATCTGTACACACCAATGCATTTTCAACACTACTGACTCATCACCCTTCCAGACTTGTAGTAGATTTACTAAAGCTCTGGAGCTTCAAAGAGCTCCCATACAGGTATCATAAACACACCTTCAAGGAATATAGCATGCCCTCACTTACAGTCAGCACAACAAAACCATGGGCTGAAAACACACTCATAGCCAAGATTTGCAGAGTGGTCTTCCAATCTCCACCATTTACAGCATGGCACCAAACACACACATTGGTATTGTCACAAGGAATCTTCCCTTAAACAAAGACTAACCATGGACTTATTGGCACCACACACCTCCGCTACCCCAAGTCTCAACTCCCTTCTTACTATATAACACCATTGATCTACCTTTACAGCTATCACTCAAGCATGGGTTAAAGCTTGGTTAAGTAAGACCAATATCATCAACGCAGTAAACAGCTACCATCTACCCTACACACTGGCACTTACATGGCATAAATTGGGCAATCCTTTTCCTGCTCAACTTTCGAGCTACAGATTAACCTACTATCGCTATTCGCAGATACTCTGTGCTGGTTATGATAACATATCCAGAGGCATTACAGTCATACACTATCTAGAAGACTTCTTGTTGCTCAAAGAAAGCATATTTTTCACTAGAAGCCTCATGGCAGCTTAGTCTGGTTGACCACTTGGGCGTCCCAGTACCCCATAAGAAACAGAAGGCGCAGACACTATCATCACATTACTGGGCATATGACTTGAGTCGGCATCCATACACGCAAGTTACCACAAGACAAATAGGGAACATTCTCAACTAAATCAATCACTACCTCCTGCTTAGTACTTACAACTACAAGGAACTACAATCCCTACCAGGTTCCTTAATTTTGCCATGCTAATCATACCACAAGACCACGCTTTCACATCCAGAGTACTTTCCCCTTTTTTCCACACTTCCAACATGACGATCAGAGGAGGTGCCTAGACACCTCAGCAACAGCAGACCTGCACATGGGGGGGGATTTCTTAACCACTTGGCATGGTAAAAGCATGTTCCTTCCAGGATTGTCTGACACTTCTCCAACCAGATGGTCAGACGCAGCGTATACCACGGGTTTGGCAGCGATCTACCGGGAACAATTGCTTTGGGGCTGTTGGCCATGGCATCCAGGTTTGGAAATTTTTCCACCACTTCAGCCCCTTTGGGAGATCTACCCCATTGTAGCAGCTGCTGTGGCATGGGGTAAATCATGGTCAGGGTCATCAATCCGTTGTTACTCAGACAACTAAGCACATATCATATCATCAACAAACGCCACTACTCATCCATAAGTTCATGATGTTTCTGGGGAACTCACTTGGTTGGCTACTTATCACATTTCACTTTCATGTACCAGACGGGGGTATACATCCCTGCCGACAACTGTCTCATTTATATTCCAGGCATGTTCATCATACGCTTCCTACAGCCGCCCATACAGTCACGTCCACTCTTTCGTTCCAGAGACAAAATCATGGATTAGACATACTCATGCAGCATAGCATGCACTATCCCACCTAGCACTTTCGTCCCATACTTGTAGAACGCATAACACAGCTTTTCACCTGGCTTAAAGAATCTCATTGGAACACGACATAGCTCAACCTGTGTCACAAAATTTCTCCTAAGTTTTGCTTATTTTTGCCACCTTAAACTTAAACTTAAACTATCTCATACACCATTAATTATATATTTTACAGGCATTCAACAACACATGATAACCTATGGCCAAAACTACCATAAACTTCATGCTATCATACCAGAAAAGAATATACTCAGAGGTTTTCAGGAATCCATTCCCCCACGTTCCTCTCAGAGATTACCAATAGCCATCCAACTGTTCATCCTTATCGGACCTATTAGATCTACAACCATTCAATTATACTACCAAGTCGGCCATTACCAGCCATGCACATTGCCTTTTATGCCTTTCTCAGGCCAGAGAATCCACTACCATCACCACCACTCAGACAGATCATTGTCTTCAACGATCCCACGTACGTAAACACATATATCATTACCTATTGGCTCTACCACATTCCGAAATGAGTCAACATGCACCAACAGTAGAGATAACATACTATCCTACCCACAACAAATGGTGCCCACTTTCGGTCCTAGATTCCTACCTTCAAAATCCTTTCAGGAATTAAATACTGTAATGCATTTAAGGAAGTGTCTGGTTAATTTGTATATATTTGTTGACTGTATTAAATTTTTGATTATTCATTTTTGCCCTCTTTATTTACAGGCCTACCGTATCGTCGGTATCGGCACACCACAACCGACTTGCTCCCTTTACACTATCCTAAGCTTATGCTGGATCCTTACTCCATATACGGCTATTTTGCCCCTTACACAAGTATTAAGGCAGTTTTGCCTGTATTTGTGGGAGGGGCTTAAATTAATTCACTCCCCTATATAAGGGACACCCCTTACCTGACTCATATCGCTTGAGGTCAGCATCAGAATGACCCTCCCACCCACTCCTCATTTCAACACTTTCTCTTTTCTTTCCATTTACTTTACTTTCTTACTCCTTGGTGGGCCCTCTTTATTTACAGGCCTACCGTATCGTCGGTATCGGCACACCACAACCGACTTGCTCCCTTTACACTATCCTAAGCTTATGCTGGATCCTTACTCCATATACGGCTATTTTGCCCCTTACACAAATATATATATATATATATATATATATATATATATATATATATATATATATATATATATATATATATATATATATATATATAATGTGTGTATGTGTATACTGTTTGTAGTTACCTGGTATTTGGTACTTTGTATTCTGTGATTGAGGGCTTGGAGGAGTCCTACTCTACATGCAATATTTTATCGGGGTAAAAGTACTTTTTTGCCCTTTTGTCCTTTTCCCACTGAGGTGTTTTCTGCTATACGTGGTATATCTGTTTAGAGGATATACCCACAATAAAAACATGCATGCATTTAAATGTTTTTTTAAAATTATATTATATTTGTATATGTAGCTAAAACCGCTTGCAAGTCTTGTCTGTAGCCATTGCAAGCCCCCCTCCCCTTATAACAAGTCCACACTTTTTTTGTGGCTGTCCAATCACAGACTTCCCAATGTAGCTCAGTGAGGCATCACACATCCCATTACTTCTGCATCTAATCCTCTCCTTTTGTAATCTCTTTTCACTGTTCCATTGTAATGTGTTTTTGGAATTTTAATTATGTAATATAGAATGCACACTGTAACCACTACGAATAGTCAAAAATATAACTTTATTCCGTACAAAAAGTACTACAGTGAAAAAAATACAGAAAAAATATAAATAAACACAATGATAGAAGCAAGAGCAAATACAATAATGCAATCCTACAAAGTCAAAAAATTTTTTTAACCAGCCTAAGGACAGAGACACGAGTCACGAAACCCCAACGTTTCGGCACCAACCGGCTGCCTTTATCGAATTTGTTTCTGTATTTTATTCACTGTAGTACTTTTTGTTCGGAATAAAGTTATATTTTTGACTATTCTTAGTGGTTATAGTGTGCATTCTATATTACATAGATATTTGGATAGTTTTTGAGGGAGTGTTTGTATAGTTTGCACCTAGCTATTTGATATACTTTGTCTCTCCACGTGTTTTTGGTTTGTGTTTGCAATTTAAATTCCTCCCTACATGAATTAAGAAGTTCTTTATAAACTAATCAATTCAAAGTCGCAAATTCAAAGTCTTTATGATTCTCTTGATCGCCATGACGATTTTTATTTTAAGGGCGGGAAGGGGGTCTCTAATTTACCTTTTGTTTCCCGCATTTTCATGTTTATTATAGAACCTATTGGTGCAAAAACCCAACAACATTTGAGGGAAAAAATAAACTTTTCAATAACTTTTTTCCCTTGATTTGGTAGACACAGGCATACATATAGATCTGAGAATCTAAAAACATGGGTGGAAAAAATAAGAAAAGTCGCCATGGCAACTCTACATCTGTCCAGGCAGTCGTAGCTTCAGCTAACAAGTCCAGGGTGACTGCAGATCAGAAAGCTTCAGGAGAGGACACAACCAAGAAACCGGGCTCTAAATCTGCTAATGTAGCTGGCGTTAACAAGGAACTAAAGAGCAAACAAGGTACGTGGAAAACATTTTAGATTGGTTTTTACATTAATGAAGTTTGCTTTTACGTTTAACCAATGTACTTAAAGACACTTTAAATTCCACAACATCCATGTTCTTTAAATATGTTTTGGTGCAAAGAGGGCCCCTGTTTTAAACGTACAGCCTCAATCAGAAAAAGTCTAGCATAACTCCCCTTTGACCATACAAGTTCTTGCCGTTTACATTAACACACTCCATACATGTTTCAGCCTCCTCCAAAAAGCTCTGTTATAATGTTTTGTGAAGGAGCTGGTAAAGCTTTCTCGTCAATAATTTAATTAAAAAAACAACACAACAACTCACATAGAGCTATTGTGAAACTAAGACTTCTGTCAGATTGAGAGCCGTTTTATTCATATCTTCTCTGAACAAAACTGTTGGCAGTTTTGAACTACATATTCCATAAACACTGATGGGCAGAAGTTTTGAGATTTGTCCAGCTGTCGAAGCTGCTTCAAGTCCAGTCACTTTGCAGGATCTTAAAAGTATATTTTGTTATTGTGTAATATTTGTCTTTGTTTATCTAATTTTTTATGCATTTATCTAAATGCATTAATGCATTTATCTATAGAACAAATTATGGTCCCAATGTACAATGTCCCTAAATGTATTACAACAGAGGTGTAACCAAGTGTTGTTGGATTTCCCATAGATCTATGTCAGACTTGGCTGACGAGAATTATGGAGAGTTCAGTTCAACAGCTAAAAAAATAAAAATTAAATAGGTTTTTCATTTTGCAAAATAATGTTTTTTGTTTTTTTTTTAAGCTAGACTGTAACCATGGTTGTAGTCATATTGTAGTCTCCTCCCCAGACCTCTCCCATGCCATCCTGCAACATGTCACTGCTTGCCTTTCCTCCATCTCTGACTGGATGTCCTCCTGCTTTCTAAAACTAAATATCTCGAAAACTGAACTCCTTGTCTTTCCTCCTCCTAATACTGATCCTCTTCTTTTGCTCTCCCTTCAAGTCAGTGGTATCCACATAAGTCCATCCTTGCAAGCGCACTGTCTTGTTGGCATATTTGATTCTAGTCTCACCCTTGAGCCTCACATCCAGCATGTTACCAAATCCTGTAGATTCCACCTTTAAAAACATAGCCCGCATCTGCCCCTTTCTTACGCAAGATTGTAAGATTGTAATGCTCTAGTAATTTCCTGCATGGATTATTGTAACCCACTAAAAAACGTATTGCCCCGCTACAGACAGTAAGGAATGCTGCCGCCAGACTGATTTTCCTCTCTAGTCAGTCCTCTCACATTTCACCTCTTTGTCAGTCCTTGCATTGGCTTCCTGTATCCTACAGGAGTCAATTCAAAATGCTAACCCATACCTATAAAGCACTGACCAATTCTAGCCCCTCTTATATCTCTTCACAGATCCATAGGTAGGCCCCTTCTCAGTCTCTCCGCTCTGCCCAGATCTTCTCCTGTCCGCTACTCACACCCGTACGGCCAACTCATGCTTGCAGGACTTCTCGCGGCGGCTTCCTTCCTATGGAACAGCCTGCTTCCGTCATCAGACTGCCCCCTAGTCTTCAATCGTTTATGAAGTGCCTTAAAACCCATATTTTTAGGAAAGCTTATGTCCTCCCAGAGTAACCTCTACTTCACATACCTGTCTCTTACTCTCTCCTGAAGGGCACAATTCTACTCTCTCTTCTCCAGCTCTTCTTCACTCCCACCTACATTGATTGCTATACCCTGTCCTATTGTGTTTTACACCCCACCTCCTATAGACTGTAAGCTCATTTGAGCAGGGTCCTCTTCAACTTATCGTTCCTGTAAGTTTTCTTGTAATTGTCCTATTTATAGCTAAATCCCCCCTCTTATAATATTGTAAAGCGCTACGGAATCTGTTGGCGCTATATAAATGACAATAATAATAGCATAAACATTTATATGCCTCTCTGTGTGTTTATCATCTGTCCTAGCAAGAAGAAAAAAAATGGGAATTGGTAAAACTATTTAATATACTGCAAACAAACACAGTATTTCCTGTAGTTTGTATTTATCTTCCATTGTTAACTTACATTACCCTATAGTATATACAGTAACTGCCAACTTTTTTTTATATTTTGCAGACATATTGTCCTATTTCATATGTGTTTGAGGTTTACAAACTATGACATTGTCCTTTAGGGACAGTTTGTATTATGGTTACTGCAACTTAAGTTGTATTAAATGGGTTTTTAAACGTACATATATGTTTAGGTTGGCAAGTAACCTTTTTCTTTTAAATTGACCGTGAATGTCTTAAAATTGCTCAGCTGTAATTTCTCTCTTATTTTAGGGCCAAAAACATATAGTTTTGGTTCGTCTGCTGATGCAAGTTCTTCGGCAAATCACAATAAGTCTGTTTTAAAGGTCAGTCTTTGTTTTTTATAGTATTGCATTATATCTTTATGTACAATAAACACAACAGCAAAATAAATCTCAGTGCATTTTTTTACAGGTCATTTGACTCTCAACTACTGCCAACTAGTGGCAATTGTGTAGCAAGTGTCTTCTCCCCACCCCGCGTGTTGAAATCTATGGTCTGCTTTCCATGCGGTGGACTGGCTTCCACCTTCCCAATTTACTTGCCATATATTTAAATAATTGGTGTGCTTTCTTATCCCTCACTATGTATTAATTTCGTTACCTGGTTGAATCAGTCATCATAGGCATAATGGTTAGCTGAAAATTCAATTGGTAAGTGGGCAACGAATACATCAGATTACATCAAATTGTGCTTGGATAGGCTAATAGATTTTAATTCTCCCCCACCTCCCACTTTTTTAAAAATTTTTTTATATGTTTGTAAAGATAATGCCGATACTCTACTTTTAAAGTCTGAGGGGGTCACAGTATTAATGTAACCTTAATTAAACAAACCTTACTTATGGATTCTGGGTAGAAAGATCACTGCATATTGCCAGCCATTACAAAGCGTCTCGTTGTACAATACGCATCACATGGAACAGAGTTACTTTAAATTAAGTTACAGAAATATCATGCGAGGATCATTTATTTATTTATTTATTTATTTATATTCTTATTCCCAACAGGTAGTGATTGACTGTAATCTGGAGAAAAGAATCATTTCTCTAATCAATGAGCATAAAAAGCTCAATTGTGATAAAGGGACGGTTTCAGGAAGATTGACTTCTAAGAAGTTACAGGTTTGTTGTTTTATCATTGTGATACATTGTGGATTTGGGGGCTGCTTTGCATTAAACATTGCTTTTTAAATCAACTCTCTGTGATCACAAATGCTACAGGAGTTTATCAATATACCAGTAGTTCAGAATTGGTAAATACCTAAATCCTGGTGGCCGGCAGTCCTTGAGGAGTTGACATAGAATATTATATAGGTGGGACAGTAATGGGGTAGTTTTAAAATAAATAGGGGCCTGCCGTGTATATGAAACCTTATTGCGTTCTTTAGTTCAAGATTTATTTATTTAATTAACTCCCCTCTAAGGGGTGTTATATAAATTAGGCTGTATTACTTCCTGTGCTGCATGTTGACTAATGGAATTTAACTTATTAGTGATGCTGCTGTCGATGGCCAGGAAAAGACATATATAACCTCTCACTCACACATTATTGTACATTTTAATTGACATGAAAGACTTGGATGGATAACCTTTCTCTCCTTTAATGTTTTGCTTCTAGGATCTGTATGTGGCCTTACAGGAGCTCAGTTTTAAGTCCGAGCATATAGAGGAAGCCATGACAAACACTGTTTTGTATGGAGGAGATCTGCATTCTGCGCTTGACTGGCTGTGTCTGAACCTACCAGATGGTAAATAAAATAATGCATTGGCTGCTTCTGTGCTCAGGAGTTAACAAAATAGGGCAGAATTTAAAGAACAAATGCAAGAAAAACACAAGTTTGAGAATTTTAGCCTGGAAAAGTGAGAAGTGCATTTCAGTGGATCTGTCACCAATGAGATTTTTGGGGGGCTGGAGGGGGTTAGCTGAACTGCTGAAAAGCCTCTATGTTGGCGTTGCAAGCAGATGTGCATGCGATTGCGGCTTTCCTGTGCTTCACAATGAGCGGTAATACAGCTTATTTAGACTGCGGAAAGGCCGACATGCACCACCTGCCACTTTTATTAGAGCTAGCCAAAGAAAACCAATCTGGATGGGAGCCAGGGAGGTGATTCTGCCCCCAAATAACAAAAGTTTATTTTCAAAACGTAAAGTACTTTATGTGTTTTAAATTGTTCCTTTAAAATTTGTTATTCCTTCACAAGTTCTTTGCAATTCTGACTTTATTAAATAAACCCATGTTTGTTATTCTAAGAAACTAGCTCTACAACTGTAACATTAGTGTGTGTGACTTTTGGAAATGTTTATTATCTTAATGGATTTCATCTATTATGTTTCAGGAATATGTCATTTTATGCCAACTAACTAGGATTTCTCTTTAACAGATGCTTTGCCTGAGGGGTTCTGCCAGCAATTTGTAGAAGAAGAGACGAGAATACGACCAAAGTATCAACCCACACCCCAGAAACTGATTTCTCCAAGCGTCTCCAACAATGGGAAGGCCAAAGAGGGAACAGAGTTGAAGGTTATTTTAATCACAATACTTCAATCAAGTTATTGTAGCTTTATTATTGTTTCCAATTAATGGCAAACCTTTTTATTTTCTCCTTTTCAAATTATTTTTATTGAACAATTTAGAAAAATATGTTAATAACAATGTAGAACATAACTAATAATAATAAGAAAATGGGGATAGGTGGAACATAAAGGGTGTTACATCCATAATTGCACATGATCAAGTTAGTATGTTCTTCTGAATTCTATGTGCAGTTTTCTTAAATGTAAGACTGATGTATGCAAAGGCATAACGGTGTGGTTATCACTGTGTTATGCTAGATTGCGTATTGCAGCCCTTTTCATCCTTCCACGTTACAGTGTTGAAATTTGTTGAAGTTACTTTTTCTATAACAGGCCAGCAATGAGAAGGAGATGAGTATGAAGGAATGGATTCTGCGATATGCCGAACGAGAAAGTGACGAGGAAGAGGAGATGGATGCATCTGAGAAGGACCCAGAGAAAGAGCACTTTGATCCCGTCAGTAGACTGATTGAATTCCATTTTACATTGACCTGTAATGATTATGTTGCTTTTACAGGGTTATTTACTACAGTGAGAATTCAAAGTGGATTTCAAATTTTAAGTCAAATTAGCCAAATTTAAAGGGACACTATAGTCACCAGAACAACTACAGCTTATTGAATTTGTTCTGGTGAGTAGAATCATTACATTCAGGCTTTTTGCTGTAAACACAGTCTTTTCAGAGAAAATGCAGTGTTTACATTACAGCCTAGTGATAACTTCACTGGCCACTCCTCAGATGGCTGTTAGAGATCCTTCCTGGGTCATGGTTGCCTAAAATGCATCCAAACATTCAGTGTCTCCTCCCTCTGGATGCAGACACTGAACTTACCTCATAGAGATTCCTTGATTCAATTCATCTCTATGAGGAGATGCTGATTGGCCGGGGCTGTGTTTGAATTTTTTTTGGCTCTGCCCCTGATCTGCCTCCTTCTCAGTCTTAGCTAATCCTATGGAGAAGCACTGTGATTGGATCAGGCCACCACTTCTGATGATGTCAGCAAACGGCATGCAGAGCTACAGCTTCATGCTTGAATACAAGTAGGATTTTGCTATATTTAGGGAGGCATGAGGGGCCCAGGGAGGCTTTAACACTATAGAGTCAGTAATACATGTTTGTGTTCCTGACCCTATAGTGTTCCTTTAAAGCATACCTGATATATTGAGATTTTTTTTTTTTTAAATTCAGCTATCTTGGGCTTAAATTGGATATTCACTTTGAATTCTCACTTTAGCAAATAACCCTGTCAGAGTGCCCCTGTAACAAGTAACTGACAAAATGTAACTAAAAATAGCAATGTTAGGAAAATTATCCAACAGAGCTTAGACTTTCTTTCCCCCCACTATATTGGCCTTAGCTTTGTAGTTACCATTAACTCACCACAGTGAGTCCGGAAAGACTAATGATGAATTTCAAACTTTGGATGAAGTTAACAAACCCGAGAACCTTAATATAGGAACACCAATTGTATGAAAACAAATACATTACATTTAATCTTGCAGAGTTTGGTTGCTAAGAGATTCTTACTCACTGTGACAGTGTTTGTCTAGGTTGTATTAATAGACCTTGTGGTGATATTAAAATTCCACTTACTTTGTGATAACCTTGACATTTTCTTGAGCAGAACGAGAGGTACCTGGAATTAACCGCTAAGCTGCTTGATGCCAGAGCACATGCTGCCTGCACCAAACAGGAGAAAGACAAATCGAGTCAGAGAGAAGCTCAGGAGAAAATAAAGAAATATCTACAAGGTAGCTATAGAGGTTTCTCCAATCCTGAGGAAGTCATGGTATTCTTGTGGGAAAGGATTTGCTTTTTGTCTGGACAGTGTGCTCTGCCCAGGAAAGTGATTTGTAATCTCCTACACTTACCATACATAAAGTAATTGCAGTGTATAAGAATATGTCTAATGTGATTAGTTCATGGACCAAATGTAGTAGCATATGTTATTAGTTATAAGTTCTTTAAAGCGACACTGTAGGCACTGTAATTTCATTGAACTCGATATACAGTTGCAAGAAAAAGTATGTGAACCCTTTGGAATGAAATGGATTTCTGCACAAATTGGTCAAAAAAGGTGATCTGATCATCATCTAAGTCACAACAATAGACAATCACAGTCTGCTTAAACTAATAACACACAAAGAATGAAATGTTTCCAGGGTTCACATACTTTTTCTTGCAACTGTAGTGTCTGCAGTCGATTGGTTCTGTCGTTCCATTCAGTGGTAAACAATTTGTAATGGTTGAACACTGAAGCCCGCTCATTCCGTGCTGCTTGGGAAACAAGGAAACATTACCCTGAGCAGCAATGGATCGTGGTGATTGTCTGAGTGTGTCAGCTGACCATTTTCAGCCTATCACAACTGCCGAATGTTGGTATGAATTTGTATGAATAAGGAGGAGTGTAATCTTTGCCTCAGCCGTACCTTAAGTGGGGGCCTAGCTATGGGCGGCTAGAGAACCTCATTAGTTGTTAGACTTCTCAAAAGTGGTTTAACAGTGAATGGAGGGATAGTGCCAAGGGACTACAGCCAATAAATCAATTCAATAAGAACAAATCATCATAGTGTCTGGAGTGTCTCTTTAAAGTGGCAATTCTAACCATTGACCTATTAGTTGATAGTTTGATATGCTATAATGGATTGTTATAATAATAGTTTGTTTTGTTTTTTTACATGATAAATAATTTTGCTCTATAAGCCAAACGTTGCACCGTAACCTCCCAACCTGCATTATTTGTCCTTTTTCTATAATAATATATTTCTAAGTGTTCTCATTTACAGCTGTGTAGCTCTAATAGGATGCACAGCAATACTTTCTGGTAGTTGTAGTTCAGCTTTTAGCTGTTAGAGAGCTAAAATATAACTGAATTGCAACTTTCGGAAGCTATAAAACCAGTGGATTAACATAAAATGTGAGTTGCTTTAACCCTATATGGTTATTCACTAAAGTGAGAATTCAAAATGATAAAAAGCATATCTATACAAATAAGCTATATTTCTTATGTGTAATTGTTAGTGTGCTCAGTTGTCATACTTTACATTCTTGTTCACAGAGATGAAAAGTTTAGAAGAACATCCAATGTTTAATCCTCAGGTTAAAATCACAGAAGTAAAAGCAGAAAATAAAAAAGCACCCTCACCTTCTGCTGAAGAGGGAAATGTAAACTTCAATCTGTTTGAAAACACAGCGAATGCTCCTGCTCCAGCTCCGGCTCCTGCTCCAGAAGAAAAAGGTACAATGAGCAATTCACACGTGGACATTTTTAATTAATTTATTTAATTGTTCTATATTAAAATCTAACTTCCCCTTGTAAGCCATTAGTTTAAAGATAAAATATATTTAAATGTGAGCATCTCTGAATGTGCATGGATCCATTTTTCCCCATAATGCTGAGTGCCAAAGCCACACTTGGCTTTATGAGAGCAGATAAATATATAAGGTGCTCCCATATTTGTATGTATGCTGAGTGTTTTTGTTTTGTTTGTTTTCTTTTCACTCTTATTTAGTTTAGTGCTTTAGTTTTTCTTCGTAAACCCACCCTTTCTGCCCTCCAACTTCCATCCATAATTGTTTATTTTTTTGTGGATCAGTCGTTGGCTTTCTGCAGCACAAGTTGACACTTGGAGTACAATTTCCATAAAACCTGGCTATGCCCATGATTAAAGGACAGCAGTGTTTTTAGGAATTATCAGTTCCTGTTTGATGAGATCTCTTTGCTAATCCAACACTGCCAGGAGTTTTGCACTTTATTCATCCATTTTATTCTATAATTTTTCATATGCTCATATTTCTCTTGGGTGTCTGGTTCATTGGGTATCTTTATGTAAAACTTTTTTTTTAATTCAGTGAAGAAGAAACCACCTCTCGACATCCGAAACTTCGACTACACCTCTCGCAGCTGGACAGGAAAATCTCCAAAGCAGTTTCTCATTGATTGGTGCCGGAAGCATTTTCCCAAGAGCCCGAATCCATCCTTCGAAAAAATACCTGTTGGCAAGTATTGGAGAAGCAGGTAGGTTTCTCTGTGTTAGAAGGCATAGACCATTTTATGGAAGTGAACCAGGTAATCACCTGTTAAAGGAACACTATAGTCACCTAAACAACTTTATCTTAATGAAGCAGTTTTAGTGTATAGATCATGCTCAATCCTCTGCCTCTTTATGTTTATGCAGCCCTTGCCACACCTACCCTGGCTCTGATTGGCACAGCCTGCACACAAAAAAAAACTGGTTTCACTTTCAATCAGATGTAATTTATATTAAACAATTGTATCTATTGCTCTGTAAATTGAACTTTAATTACATACAGGAGGCTCTTGCGGGGTCTAGCAAGCTATTAACATAGCAGGGAATACAAAAATCTAAATTAAACAGAACTTTCCATAAAGGAAGGATAAACATTAGATGACTCTTTACATGTAGTGTTTAGGAAGGCTGTGCAAGTCACATGCAGGGAGGTGTGACTAGGGTTCGTAAACAAAGGGATTTAACTCCTAAATGGCAAAGGATTGAGCAGTGAGGCTGCAGGGGCATGTTCTATACACCAAAACTGCTTCATTAAGCTAAAGTTGTTCAGGTGACTATAGTGTCCCTTTAATGTAAGGTCAACAATGCAGCTATTTTTTTTTTCTTTTTAATTTTAGAGTTAAGATTATTAAATCTCAAGAAGACGTTATGTCAGTGTGTCCTACAATCGTGACAGAAGACAGTATGCAGGCACAGCATTTGGCTGCCACCCTTGCATTGTATCAGCTCACCAAGGGGCAGGTGAGATGACTTGATAATATTGTTTTTAGAGTTTGTGAATTACATTTTAGGCACAATACCAACTTTCATTGATCATTATGTATGCACTATAGTCTAATCCCCAGAAATGTCCTAAAAAAAACCTCTTATGGTTGCTTCAAGCAAACACCTTTTTTCATAAGACTAGAAGGACTCATGGAGGAAGCAGAATCAAATACTACTGTTTATAAAATGTACTACTTTACTTTTCTAAAACATTAAAAGTATTTATGGGTTTATCTATAAAATCCAACTGTAATCTAATTAAACCAGAATGTCCAAATAGCCGATCTGGAAATATTATCCAACTCTGCTAGTGTCATAGCTAGGCTATTTTTAGTCCTGCCAATCCATTCACTATAATATAATCATCTTAACCAGTACAGCCCACTGTAGTGGTTATGGTGTGAGAAGTGCTCTGGCCCATTTCCCAGTAATGGGGACAAACCATCATAGGTCTTTCCTCCTCTGATTACCTGCATCTGGCTTGTGCTGAGGCTTTCTCCATTCATTGGTTGAGAGCATCAGATGACCACCCTCAGCCAATGGATTCAGTTATGTGGATAGAAATAAGCGCAGACTTGACATTAGGCTGGTTGATCACGCCCCAGTGAAATGCTGGAGAGGTGTTAATGCTGCACATACAGATTTCAGGCAATACTAAATTACTGAAGTGGTCATGGTGCTTGTAGTAACCTTTTCAGTTAAAGTGGCTCTGTCACCACAAACTTGCCATTCTCCCAGCTAACAAAGGGCGAGGCTTGTCTTAAGCTCTCCCGTTTGTCAAGATTGCCAAGTGCACGAAAATGCATTTGATTGAAGTAGTCCATACTTTCTTATGTTTTAAAGAGAAATAGATTAGAAAAGAAAAACCGAGTCTGAAAGAGGAAGACAAGAGGAAACAATTGTTTAAGGTGACAGAGCCACTTTAATAAATGCTGTAGTGTCATTCAAACATTATTATTGCAATAGCCAATTTTGGTGGTAATTTAATTACTCTTTATTGTGCACTAAGATTGCAACATAGCATCAAATTTTATATTTTTATAAATGTTCCTTTATATTTAAAATAATTTATGATCAGCCTTTTAGTTAATTTTTATGGGAACAGTCACTTACCAGGATTTGTTTACATTATGTCTACTTACTTTCTATAATTAAAAAAAGATTTGTATGAGCGGTTAGAGAAATGAAAGTAAATGAATACTTTGCACACCAAGATCACTACAGCACTCTGTAGTGGTTAAGGTGCCAGAATTATCATACCACCTTCCCACTGTAAGAGTCAATCCATTTTCCCCATTTAATACTTACATGGTTAACAACTAGTTGAAATTCTCCTTCTTCCATTCGCAATATGCGTTCCATCCATCATTGGACAGAATATATTGGCTGAGAATGTCAGGTGACGTTCCTTAGCCAATGAATTCCATCCAAAGTTGGACAATATTGACATTGCTAGAGCAGAGGGGGCTATTTATGCCAGAGAGCTGATGCGTGGAGGACCCAGGTAAGTGTCAAACTGCTCAGTCAGCTGACACAGGTTTGGGAACTATATTTTCACTAATGCTCAACCAGCCCACATCAGAAATTAAATAGAGTTGGTTACAATGAAACAATACAGCAATTCCCCTACTTCTGATCCTTTACAGTAGATGTAGGAGGGCTGATATCACAGCTTCATGCTGCAGCCAGGTGCTGCATGCTAGACTGCCATTTTGAGCTGCCAACATTCTGTTGCTCTAAGAAGCTGTCTTCTCCAAAGATGGCAACACACAGTCATTACTATAACATTATATTTCTATGTCTGGCTTACGGGCCCCTTATATTCCTTTTATGAGGCTGGGTTTGGCCACCATTTCCCACCATCCATACTGCTAGATCGTAGTACTGAGAATATTGTCATGTGCCATGTTCTTTTGTTGTGATTTTTCCAATGCCTTTATATATTCCTTATACCTGCAGTCCGTACACCAGCTGCTGCCTCACACTTACAGAGATGTTTGGTTAGAGTGGAGCGATGAAGAAAAAAGTAAACTGGAACAAAACAAAATGGAGTCCAACAAACCTCGTGACCAGTTTATTTCCAAGCTACTGAGCAAGTTAAAACTGCAACAGCAGCAGCAGGAGCAGCCTGTTACAGAAACCAAGGTGTTAACGGACCCAGAGGACTCCTGGGAAAATCTGGCTTCAGAAGATGACCTAAACCAAATGGCATTAGATCGTATGGAAATGGACAATTTAGAACCTGTGAGAAATCTTTTTGTCAAAGCCAGAGATTCTGCAAAGTATCAGAGGCTCCTGAATGAAAGGGAACAACTTCCTGTTTTTGCACACAAGAACATTATTTTAGAAACACTTAACAGACATCGGGTAATTGTGGTGGCTGGAGAAACAGGAAGCGGTAAAAGTACCCAAGTCCCCCAATTCTTACTGGAAGATATGCTTCAGAATAGGTGGAACTCAGGGAAATGTAATATTGTGTGCACCCAGCCTCGCAGAATCTCTGCCATGAGTCTGGCTACGAGAGTGTGTGAAGAGCTTGGATGTGAATCTGGACCCGGAGGAAGGGTAAGAAAAAACACCATTTAATAATTGCAAATCTTAATGGATTTTATGATAGCTCAGTATTTCTGTCTTTGTTTTCTCTCACGCGCACTGCCCCTGAGTCAAAAGCATCCATTTAATTCTAGTAAAATGCCAGACATTTATATTTACTTGTTCTTTATCTTCTTTCCCAGATTTTCACAAATAACTACATAAAAGTAAAAAGAGCTTTTATACAATTTGAAATCAATAAGACAGGTTTTGCTAATAATTTCTTACTATGTTTTTGAGCATAGTGGCATTTTTCAATATACTTTTATTTATTTTCATTTTACGTTGAAAAGACATAATGTCAAGGTTATTCAATAAAATGGGATTTGTCAGAAATTTAAAGTGAATTCCAAATTTTTGAAAAATTCTCAAAGCCAGTAACGTTTCGTTGTGCTTATTTTGGCATAACGTTTAAAGAGATATAAAGTGATTTGGGGCCTATTTGCTGCCCATTGAGCTTTCCAAAAGGAAACAGTGCAGTTATTGAAAAATGGCACAGCTTACATTTTGCACTCCCCATGCTGGTGGTGATTGTCATTCAGACAACAACTATGTGCTTTGGACTAAATAGATTAAATAATTTATTTCATGTCCAGCATAAGTATGCTGACTCTTATCAGCATCCCCTCATAGACATCCAATTAATCAATGGAGCTCTATGGGGAACATTCAGTGTCTCCATGCAGAGGGTCAAGACACTGTGCAGCACTGGACTAGGAAGCACCTATAGTGACCATCTGGATGATTGCTACTAGTGGTGTAACTAGCCATCAATGTAAACGCTGCATTTTGCTAATAAAGCAGTGTTTACAATGCTAACACTTCAGGGACAGGCTATACACACCAGAACCACTACATTAAGCTGTAGTGGTTCTGTTGACTATAGTGTTTCTTTAAGTTAAGTTTAATTACATTTTAAAGAGGTCCCAATAATCTAAACTGATACAAGTACATGTCAAACTTTTCAAAAGATGTCAAGGTTATTTGCCAAGCTGCAAGTTTTGCAAATTAAATCTGATTAGATAAAGTTAACAAAGTTGTTACTATCAGAGTTATTTACTAAACTGACAAATCAAATTTAAAATTTAAGTCTCTAAGTCAGCAGTGCTTTCAGATCAGCAACTCTGGCCTTAATTTTGTAATCCACTTTGAATTCTCACTATAACTATCTAACCCTATATGACTATGTATGTTATCATTTTCTCACTACCTGCTTATTTTCTTGGCCTAACGTAAAGGGACACAACTGCCACTCTATTATTTTTTTTTGTAGAACTCCCTCTGTGGGTATCAGATTCGTATGGAATCAAGGACAGGAGAGTTTACCAGACTGTTGTACTGTACCACCGGAATACTGCTTCGGAAACTACAGGATGATAGCATGTTGAAGAACATAACACATGTCATTGTGGATGAGGTAAGTCGGGAGTGAAGAAAGGTGAAGATGATTTGTACTTCCAGAGAGAGAGAGAGAGAGTACTGTGAGAAAATTGATTTGGAAATATTTATAAACTGTGAGTCCGAGGTTACTCAGGCATTGGTAAAACATATGGAAAAGGAAAACAAACAAAAGGATGGGACTGCGCCAATAGGCAAGGTAAATAAATGTAAAGTCCTGGTAGGGGTAGTGATAATACAACGGAGTCCAGTATAGTGGAACTTAGATCCTAGATTGGTCTCTGGAGTTGCAGGGTTCTGCTCCTTACAGGTTTCGAATGTATAGAAGAGGGCGATGAGTGATGAAAAGGGTGGTCCAAGAGATAATGTAAATAGAAGAGATCTTACTTTTTGTAGAGCTTAAACCAGCTCTGGTGTGAATAGCTTGCAGCAGTATGATCCCCGCTTATGGGATGTGCGGTAGGTATCCTCTTTGGTGCAGTAACAGACAGCCTGTAGGAAGATAAAACGAAAACAATAATGGTGCAGTATGTCCCAAAAATTAAATTAAAAAATTAAAATATAGTAGAACCACTCACATTTGATAGAGCTTATACTAGCTCTAGTGTAGTAGGCATACAGCGGTATGATCCCTGCCTCTGAGATATATGGTAATCTTCCTTGGAGATGGTAACAGGAGCTCGGAGAGAAGATAATGAAACAGCAATAGTGCTCTTAGTAAAATATTTCTGGTATATAAAATATAATAAAATGTACTCACAGTATATAGGGCAGACTAACTGCTGTATGACGCGGGTACGGGTGGTATAATCCCCACCTAAGGATTCTTTAGAGTATAAGGAAAAGTAAAATAAGGTAAAAGCCAGGTAGTAGTAAAAATAATAAAAAATAAAAGATAATGGTGCAAAAGAGTAAAAGGACCAAAATCTATTTATTAACAATAATTTAAAAGCAGTGCAATATCCAAACGCGTTTCACCAATATAGGCTTTATCAATGGATTTAAAAAAAAAAAAAACGCTGCAAGCTATTCACACCAGAGCTGGTTTAAGATCTACAAAAAGTAAGATCTCTTCTATTTACATTATCTCTTGGACCTCCCTTTTCATCACTCATCGCCCTCTTCTATACATTCGAAACCTGTAAGGAGCAGAACCCTACAACTCCAGAGACCAACCTAGGATCCAAGTTCCAGTATACTGGACTCCGTTGTATTATCACTACCCCTACCAGGACTTTAAATTTATTTACCTTGCCTATTGGCGCAGTCCCATCCCTTTGTTTGTTTGTTTGCCTTTTCCATTTATTTCAAGGACAAGTGAGGGAGTTCTTGTTTGGGATTGCTGCCTTTTTTCTTTCTTTTGATATAATTCGCGCTGACTCTATTTTCTGTTATTGGTAAAACATATGCACAAACCCTTTGTTCTGTCATTTTACCCTCTGTTAAGGTTGGGTGTTCACAATATTAGGGGCAGCTTGCCTTGATATCCATATCCTGAGTGGGACTGGGTGCTGAGCATCTTTCTGTTTGTGAGCCGGTGTAAGTAGTGTTATGTGGTATACTGAAATAATCAAACCCCAAGTTAATATTGTGTCTTCATACAGGTACATGAAAGGACTGTCCAATCTGACTTTCTGCTCATAATTCTAAGAGAGATTCTGCACAAGCGCTCGGACCTGCACCTTGTACTAATGAGCGCTACCGTGGATGCTGAAAAGTTCTCCAGATATTTCACACACTGTCCCATCATAAGGATCTCTGGAAGAACCTACCCTGTTGAGGTATCTGTGAAGTTATTTTTCATACACTCGATTAAAACAATGGTACTGAGGGCATATGGAATAAGAAACCTCTTTACAAAACTACATCTTTGTCCGTTTTCATGTAAGGATTACTTTTGATATTTTTATTTTAGTTTTTGTTTAGTCTTGCTAATTGGCTACACACACTGGTATGGGATTAAGTTGAAATGAAAGTCTTCTAGAAACCTGCTGTGTATTAAGAATGTAACAAACAGACTCTTAGATTTATCCTTTCTGCTGCATTGAGGCCAGTTTCCTTAAAAGGATCCTATAGTGCCAGGAAAACAAAGTAGTTTTCCTGGCACTACAGGGTTAATAGGTCCACTTACCTAAATCCAGCGCTGATGTCCCTCGGCGCTGGGTAAGGCTCCGCTCGCTCAGTCAGCCAACAGGTGAGATCTAATCCGCATGCGCGGCAATGTGCTGCTCGCACATTAGACATTCCCATAGGAAAGCATTATTCACTGCTTTCCTATTGGGAAAATCTGATGCTGGAGGTCTGTGAGGATGTCCAGTGTCAGATAACGGACTAAAAGTCCGTTTGGATTTCGGAAGTGCCCCCAGTGGCTGTCTGGTAGACAGCCACTGGGGGGAGACTTAGAGCTGCAATGTAAACATTGCAGTTCTCTGCAACTGCAATGTTTAACATTGCAGCACTAAGTGCAAAAGGGTCACAGCATCCAGACCACTTCAGTTAGCTTAAGTGGCCTGGGTGCCTACAGTGTCCCTTAATGCCCCGCTTCCAGTGTGTGTGTGTGTGTGTGTGTGTGTGTGTGTTTCACAGTCATTGATAAGTAGCAAAAGACTCAGGATAATTATACAAACTGAAAGTGAAAATTAGAAGGGAAATATAGTCCCTCGTACTGTTGTGTTGTGTTTTGTTTTGTTTATTTATTTTAAATCTCAGGTATATGCTTTGTGTATGAGTGTTTCACAGAGTTCCACAGCAAAAAGCTCCCAATAATATACAGTGTTTAACCCCTTCACTTCCAGAATCAAGTATAGACATTTTTTCATGTACTTTTGCAGAATGAAACACATAAAACCTCACTCACCTTAATTCATACTCTTGGAAAGTTTGTCAGCATGTAGAGGAATGAATTTCTCTGCCAGAAGCCACTAATGGCGACAAGTGTGCTGAATAATTCTGCTGGCTCCCTCCTTCCAAACAGTAAAAGACATTTTAATGGGTCATATCATTCCTACAGTTAGGTACAGGTGGGGATATATGCTTTAACTTTGTTGACTGTGTGTAGACATTATTTTGAAATTCAGATGTTCTTTTTATATTCTGATACAACTTTTAGTAAGCTGTATTGCAAGTAATGCCTTCAGAGTCCATACAAATACCATTTAAATAGGCTAATTTGTTTTACCTATTAATGTCACACCTACTGTATGTGAGAAAAATATATATTTTTTATTTTATTATATCATTTCAGACCCTGTGTGAAATATATTATAAAGGATACTGCGTATTGTCTAAAGCCTGTAATTTCACATCTATTTTTATAAAGCCTTAATGAATAAGTAAAAAATAAAAATTGCTAAAATTTACATAATTTTTATTTTTGCGTTTTGTCTGAAATGCAATCTATACATAAAATTGCTGTTTTACTATATGTTTATCTGCTAGCTATGCATCCCTTGCTTCAAATAAATATTATGCTAAGTGTTTTGCAGAGATCCACAGCAATAAAACTTAGTTTAGAGTGCATGAATTTATCACGGAGTTCTGGTGTGTGTTGTGTGGTATGCTGAATGAATCTGGCGAGGTGGCTTAGTGTGGGGCTGCTGACGATCCCTGGTGGTCCAGCGTGGGCGTGCTGTAACCAGGAGGAAGTTTCATAAAGTAGTCTGAACCCAACAGAAATGTAAGCTAACTTGCTTGCTACCGGCAGTGCTCCCCCTGTCTCACCTGATTCCCTGAGGGCATGGCCTCAGTGACCTAATGATTAATCTGTGCCTACAGATATGGAGAGATGGGAAAAATCGATTTTACATTTTTAAAAAGTGGATGCAAGCCTTTTGGGTATAAATAAGGAGATATGCATTACACAACCTTCATACTTTACGAATGTATAAATAAAAAGATATACATTAAACAACTTCATAATATACCTATGTATAAATAAGAAGATGTGCATTTTCCCAAAACAAGGATAGAAGGTGCCTGTAGCAAATGTGTTAAAAATGATAAGCTTAGAGTCATGTCTACAAATGCTCACAGTTTAGGGAATAAGATCCATGAACTTGTGGCAATAATGGCAACTGATAATGTAGATATAGTCGCTGTTACTGCGACTTGGTATAATGAGAAAAGTGACTGGGACATAGCAATACCAGGGTACTCTTTTTATATAGAAAAGACAGGGAAGGCAAGAAAGGGGGAGGAGTGGCCCTGTATGTGAAAGATAGCATAAAATCTAGCCTAATAAAAGTTAGTGAGGCGAACATAGAGTCCGTTTGGGTTACGTTAGAATTTGGTAATCACACAGTAACTCGTGTAGGTGTGATTTATAGGCCCCCAGGGCAAATAAAAGAGTTAGATAATCTACTAGTTGAGGAAATAGCTAAAATGACAATGAAGGGGGAAGTTATCATCATGGGTGACTTTAGTCTTCCTGATGTGAATTGGAAAACAAAAATAGCTGCTTGTGCCAGGAGCACACATATTCTAAACTCCTTACTGGGATTGTCTCTAAAACAAGTCGTTGATGAACCAACTCGTAAAGAGGCGATACTACATTTAGTGTTAACAAATGGAGATTTGGTATCCGATATTACTGTAGGTGAATGTTTAGGATCCAGTGATCATCAGTCAGTGTGGTTTAATATAAGAACAGTGATTGAGTCACACCACACAAAAACAAAAGTTTTAGACTTTAAAAAAAAAAACAGACTTTTCTAAAATTAAAATATGTGTAAAGGAGTCATTATCAGACTGGAGCAATTTAAATGGCGTCCAAGAGAAATGGGATTACTTAAAAGTTGCACTGCTGAAGGCAACAAAAAATTGCATTAGGCTTGTCAGTAAAAGCAAAAAATTCAAGAAACCACTGTGGTACTCCGCAGATGTGGAAAGTGAGGAAGACAGAATGATCTATAAGATTAGGCAGAGGCTAAGCAAGTTATAAGAGCTTCCAAATCACACACAGAAGAGAAAATAGCATAGTCAGTGAAAAAAAGATTGGAAGTTAGCGAATGTTGTGCCCATTCACAAGAAAGGTAGTAGGGAGGAGTCGGGCAACTATAGACCAGTAAGCCTTACTTCAGTAGTGGGGAAAGTAATGGAAACCATGTTAAAGGACAGGATTGTTGAACCTCTAAAAACACATGGATTTCTAGATCAGCAACAACTTGGGTTTACTTCAGGGAGATCATGCCAAACTAATCTTATTGATTTTTTTTGATTGGGTAACTATAATTATAGATCAGGGTGGTGCAGTAGACATTGCTTACCTAGATTTCAGTAAGGCTGTTGACACTGTTGCACATAGAAGTCTGATCAATAAACTGCAATCTTTAAGTTTGGATTCCAATATTGTTGAATGGGTAAGGCAGTGGCTGAGTGACAGGCAACAGAGGGTTGTAGTCAATGGAATATATATTCGAAGCTTGGGCTTGTCACCAGAGGGGTACCTCAGGGACATGTACTTGGACCCATTCTCTTTAATATTTTTATTAGTGATATTGCAGAAGGTCTTGATGGTAAGGTATGTCTTTTTTTTTTCTGATGATACTAAGATATGTAATAGGGTTGATGTTCCAGGAGGGATAAGCCAAATGGCAAATGATTTAGGTAAACTAGAAAAATGGTCAGAGTTGTGGCAACTGACATTTAATGTGGATAAGTGCAAGATATTGCATCTTGGACGTAAAAACCCAAGGGCAGAGTACAGACTATTTGATAGAGTCCTAACCTCAACATCTGAGGAAAGAGATTTAGGGGTGATTATTTCTGATGACTTAAAGGTAGGCAGACAATGTAACATAGCAGCAGGAAATGCTAGCAGAATGCTTGGCTGTATAGGGAGAGGTATTAGCAGTAGAAAGAGGGAAGTGCTCATGCCATTGTACAGAACACTGGTGAGACCTCACTTGGAGTATTGTACGCAGTACTGGAGACTGTATCTTATCTTTAGAAGGATATTGATACTTTAGAGAGAGTTCAGAGAAGGGCTACTAAACTGGTTCATCTTTCCTCCAAGCTATAAATATTAAGATCCTTTAACCTTTTCTGGTAAGTTTTACCCTGCAATCCATGAGACATGGGGTATATGATAGAAACATTTAAATACATACAGGGAATCAACACAGTAAAGGAGGAGACCATATTTAAAACAAGAAAAACTACCACAACAAGAGGACCTAGTCTTAAATTAGAGGGGCAAAGGTTTAAAAATAATATCAGGAAGTATTACTTTACTGAGAGGGTAGTGGATGCATGGAATAGCCTTCCAGCTGAAGTGGTAGAGGTTAACACAGTAAAGGAGTTTAAGCATGTGTGGAATAGGCATAAGGCTATCCTAACTATAAGGCATGGGACTAATGAAAGTATTTAGAAAACTGGGCAGACTAGATGGGCCAAATGGTTCTTATCTGCCGTCACATTCTATGTTTCTATGTTACTTCCAGCTCTGACTTGCTTGATTTTTGCCCCAAATTTCTTTAGGTTTTTCACTTGGAGGATATAGTTGAAGAGACTGGTTTTGTTCTGGAGCAAGATTCTGAGTATTGTCAGAGGTTCTTAGAAGATGACGAAGAAATCACTCTCAGTATAACTGGCAAAGGAGGTAGCAGCAAAAAATACCAGGTGACATTCAAACTATTACTGTAGCTGCCCACGCTACCCCACCATTTCTTTTACCCCATAGGCATGGAGGGCCTATTTATAACCTTTAGAATGTTGCATGGAGGCTTATACATGGTTAATACCATAGAAAGGGCAAGCCCAGACCTAATTCTACTCTTTACCTATATAATGCGAAGTATATGGAAAAGATGGCTAGATCGTAACATTGATTGCCCTAAAGTGAAGTGGGGATTATTGTGTTTTTATAATTACCTCTTCTGCTCACACCATTATATTTAGAGCTTCAGTGGCATTTACTGAAGGGATGACAAACTATCTTTGTGAAAAAGTGACAGTTCCTGTTTAAAACATTTCTACTACAGTCTTATCCATCTGCATTAAATGATTTCCCAGACAGTAAAGTCACCATCTGAAAAACAAATATTTTCTTAGCTGTAATTAAACCAAGAATTGTTTATAACTTTACCTGAAATCTCATCTTCTTTTCAGGAGTTCATCCCTGGTCAGTTGAGTACTGATTTGGATCCAAGCCCTCACTACCAGAAGTTCAGCAATAGGACACGCCACGCTGTTCTCTACATGAACCCAAACAAAATCAATCTGGACCTAATCCTCCAACTGCTGATATTCTTAGGTACGTTATAGGTCGTGATTTGTAAAGGCAGCATGAGCATCTCTCTGTACACTATACAGTCACTAGTGGTGCTCTGTCCTGTACATCAAGTAGTATATGAGGTTTTCTTTGCACTATATAATGTAGAAACGTGCTTTATAACCGGGTTTCTCAGTGTTCGTTTCAACGAGTAAGGAGCACTTTAACAAACAGCCACTAGAGCTTGCTGAAGTGTTTAGAGTGCCTGGAGTCCACTGGTTTAATATCTGCAAGTTCAAGAACATTTTTATATAAATTTTGGCTGCATTATTAATGTGGAATTAACACTCCTTCATTATCAGTGTCCAACCTGGGAGAAACTGATTGGTTTACAGCAGTGGGGGCAGGTTAATGCATCTCATCCAGATTGGACAAAATTGACATTTATATTTAGACAACGAGTTAAGTACCCTTGAGGTACGGAATGCATTCAGCGGCTCTACATTTTAGTGTGGTTGTGGACTCTTCTAGCTTGCTGTGACCTTTTTCTCCTCTGTTTTGATTTTGTATTAAACATTGTTATTTTGTACTTTACGCTCTTTACGGTACTTTACGCTTTTTGTTTCTCCACCACTCAGACAAAAGTGCACAGTACAGGAATGTGGAGGGAGCTGTGCTCATCTTTCTGCCAGGACTGGCTGACATCCAGCAGCTGTATGATCTGTTGTCTTCTGATAAGAGGTTTCAGGACAGGAGAAGGTAATCAGTGTTAGCTGACCTGTTGATAATTAACCCCTTTAGCTGCTAGATTATTTCACATCCATGTGCCTAAAGCTTTTATTCATGCTTTTGTGCCCCCCTGCCTTTGAACCCCCTCTTTTCAAAATGTATCTTTTGTCCCTCTGTGTTTTCTAGGGAGTTATTTGGTCTCTAAATGAGCCACTAGTTCAAGTGACTTGTAGATTACAGGGCATGTGACCCCTGATTCCCATATGGATTACCGTTTGTAAATGGGATCACTAGTATCCTAAGTGAACAAAAGACTCTTCATTTTAAAGGGCAGGTTCTGACCACTCTAATGAAGGGTACCTTGTCCCCAATAAAGCAGACTGAAAGAAATGGGTTGTGTTAGATTCCCTCCTCCCCAAAGACAAACATAATTGTCAGAAGTGTCTCTTGGCTCTCCCTCATTTTGTGAGATTACCACAGATTGCATAATGTCCCAAGGCGCCGGGGACATCTTTAATTTGTATAACGAGGAGGAATAATTGGATCGCTCCTTATTATGGTTTGGAAATGCAGGAGACTGCATTATGTTGTGAGAAGTGTATTGGAATGGGGAGAGGAGTGCTAAGAGGCAGCCTTGTAGTGCACAATGCTGCAAAGCACTTCTTTGTTAGTTTCAAAAACTATGCATACTACAGCATGAAAAAATATACAGCATATTTCTCAGCTAACATCTTCAAACATCTATCAGATTGTTGGTGCCCAGAGTATAACTTGATACAAGCAGAGATTCAATTCAGATTCTTGAAATTGTATGACTGTGAGATTTTCTCATTTCAGATACAAAGTGATAGCATTGCATTCAATCCTTTCCAGTCAGGATCAGGCTGAAGCTTTTATACTACCCCCACCAGGAACCAGGAAGGTAGGGTGACTATTTTAGATGCCAAGATGTATTTATTAACATAGTACTGATGTGTGGGGCTGCTAAAAAGACAGGACTTGGTATGTATACAGATATCTAGTTTGGGGACCATTTTAAATGATTTTATCGGTCACAATTGATATATTTTCATTCTGCAATCATCATATACTTAGTAAGCAAGTTGCTCAAGGAAAGTTTTAATTTCTGTTTAAGTGATTGTTGAAGGAGGAAAAAAAGTGTATAAAAAAATATGGACATCCCCGGCAGGACTTTGAGGTGATCCGGATAGAGCCTCTGGGACCGACACAGTCAGTATAATCACAGGCGATGCATGAGAGAGCACGTTTTTTGTTATACTTACAAAAAGTACATGCTTGGGTGCAGCTGGCTTCCCCACTGGAGGGCCAGAGTATATCTCTTGAATTTGCCTGTAGAAGCTGCATCTATCCATCTAAATCTGTATTACTACTCTTACATAGTGCTGCGGTGCACACTCAGGCTCAATGATAGTGTAGCAATTTATATCTTTTACTGTGCATTGTTCTTACCATTCCGTACTGAATATTTTTAAATGCATGGATATTGTTCAAATTTTTGTCTTTTACTATACATTGTTATTACCATTTTGTATTGTCTGTCTTTAAACACGTCTGATCTACAATAAAAAGAAAATAAATTTAAAAAAAATATGGACAGCTTTTTTCTTTTGACGATGATTATAAATTTTTAATCTGCACATCAGGGTATTAAAATAATTTTTATATTAATAAATAATGAATAATTAACAACACGTTTTTGTTTTTTTCTGTTTCTTTACTTGTAACCTATTTACCAGAATGTACCCAGGCTTACTGTTTTGTAAATTTCTACATTATTGTAACTGGTTTTGCAGCAGGTACAGATATCAGAATTAAAAAGGAAGTTAAAGGCACGGGGCTCATGGCACACTCACCAGAGCTAACATTTTCACTCTGCAATGCTGAATGGAAATTTTGGGCCCTGGGATATAATATATAATGTGTGTGTGTGGGTCACAGAGAACTGTAGACTTGAATTTTAGATGAATTGTTAAGATTTACACTGTTATTTTGAGTGCGTAGTATACATTGTCATATAAAGGTATTTCTGATTTTTTATTTTTTATTTTTTCTAAACAGATTGTATTGGCAACAAATATTGCAGAAACAGGAATTACCATCCCCGATGTGGTGTTTGTCATTGATGCTGGACGCACAAAGGAAAATAGGTAATCACATATTTTCTGATAAGAACCAATGCTTCACCATGAGGATAGGCAGCCTCTTGATTCTCTGGACTACACCTCCCATGATGCTTTGCCATTCTGAAGGTTGACTGATCATCCTGAAAGATATAGTTTACCACATGTGAAATGTCAGAGGTTGCCAATTAATAATTATTATTTTTAGACTAACTTTTAAAAATGTCTTCCAAACGTTGTGTAAATATGGGCCATCCCTCCATTGGTCCGCAATATGCGTAATCTAACTAAATTTAGATGAACTGTAGTAATTGCAAAATAGCTCACAAAGTGCTTGAGCAGGGCACATTTTGGTATTCTAAAAATCAGCGAAGGGACACAGATGCTCCATGTTCACAGTAAAGTTAACAAGTTGGTAAGAAGTCCAAAAAAGTTAACTAATTCCTGTTACGCTTCACGAACAGCATTTCCTCAGTGTTTCTCCTCAAAAGGATAAAGGAGACTGCATGCCCATTATTGAAGCAAACATCCTATTATTTATATCGGACTTTAAGATGTACAGTATAGGGAGCCATTTATGTTTTCTTACGAACTGTATAATGATATCTACTTTTATTGTATCTATGTTTATATCACCTTGGCAGGTATCATGAAAGCAGTCAGATGAGCTCCCTGGTTGAGACTTTTATTAGCAAAGCTAGTGCCTTGCAACGCCAAGGAAGAGCTGGTCGTGTTCGGCCTGGATTCTGCTTCAGACTTTATACAGAGGAAAGGTAAATCGCCTTGTTTCTAATTGCAGTGAAAAATCTCCCTTAAACATGCTCTGATTATGAGACCTATTAAATGGCCAAACATAAATCAAGTTTAGCGATCTATATCAGTACATCTAGTTTGGCAGAGGATTCCAATTCTTGACATTCATCAATCACTGGAGAGCCCCCAAGTTTACATGCAAAGTGGTCACTATTCCATAATTTATTCTTCTTGTCTGATTTAAATATCTGTGGATTTTTTATTATTATTTTTTTTCCTACAGATTTGGGAGTTTTTTAGCTTACTCTGTTCCTGAAATTCTGAGAGTACCTTTGGAAGAGCTGTGTCTACACATCATGGTGACACATTTAATTTCTTCAATTTTATGTTTAAATTATTAATCGATGTTCAATGTATTACCTTTTATGTTGCATTCTTAGAAATAATAATTTTGTATTTTGTGCAAAAATATAAATTTAAAACTAAAAGTAGACCTGTTTAATGATATTAAATCATTTGCATATGTTTGTTTTTTTGTTTTTGTTTGTTTTACAGTGAGAGCAATTTATGTTTTCTGTTTGTTCATAGTCAGTACCACAAGTGTAGAGAACTCCAGAATGTGTTGTTGATTTGTAAATAATAAATTTAAATACTTTGTTTCCCGTCTCTAGAAATGTGATCTTGGATCTCCTGAGGACTTTTTGTCAAAGGCATTAGATCCTCCTCAGCTTCAGGTCATCAGTAATGCAATGAACCTTCTGCGGAAGATAGGAGCTTGCGAGTTGACTCTGCCCAAACTGACACCTTTGGGTCAGCATCTTGCTGCATTGCCAGTCAATGTGAAGATTGGCAAAATGCTCATCTTTGGAGCGATATTTGGCTGTCTTGACACTGTAGTAAGTTGATGATCCTACATCTTGTTTAATTGACTTTCCTATATCGATGAATATATTTACCTTTCTATCAACAAAAGATAATAATAATGAACTTGGCCATTGTAAATACCAAGAAATTTTTAAACAGAGAAATCCCAGATTTTCTAAATTAATATTAAAAAACTAATAATATTTTTTGGAAGATAGTGACAGTGAGTACCCAGAAAATAATAATATTTTCCTGCCCTATCTCTCGGGCCAAGCGGCATTTAAGTTACAGTCCTGAGAGCAAAGATGCCTCACTGGGGCATTGGCTGCTGTAAACGCTGATAGAGTGGGAATATGATTTCATATCCTAACTCGTTTCTTAATAAAGCGTCCTGAGAGAGCATCGGGGGATATAAATATTTTTATAGATTGCCACTGTGTCAAACGCTCATAAAAGTCAAACGTTCTAGTGCATCTTTAGAAGAATCTCTGTAGAGGTGTTTTATTTTAATAGTAAATAATGTTGCAGATTAGAAATTCACAAACTCTGGTAGGACTGGATTAATGATGATTTAACTTCACAGATGTCATTCAAACGTTCCGAGATTTTATTCTTGTTAAAAGCAATTGGTACCAGAGATGCAAACGATCACTGAAGCAAATAGCAAACTTAGATGTCATCAGGGCTGTATTTTAATTGCTTCTAAAAAAATAAGCTAATCATCATAAAAAAGTGATGTTACTTTCTTACAATTTACTGATCTCGGTGCATTATGTGGACTATAGAGTGTAGACTTTTTTTTTTTTTTTAAAGCGACACGATATTTACCATGATGTTAGAATTTACACAATAATAATACCCTTTTACACAGTGCTCTTACTCTTTCTCAGAGTGTTTTCACAGTGTATCCAGATAGCGTTTTTATGTAATATTCCATGCAGTGACATTTGATTATCATCTCTCATTTGTTCAGTTTTGTATTGTGCATGTTATAACTGATTAGTGTTGTAAAACTTTTCACTTTGTGTCTACTAATAGGCAATTCTAGCAGCCACAATGACTGAGAAATCCCCATTTATAACACCAATCGGCAGAAAAGATGAGGCGGATCTGGCAAAGTCAGCCTTAGCCATAGCAAACTCTGATCACCTTACCATCTTCAGAGCATATATGGGGTAAGCCAGCCACATAAATGTATAGGAATTACATTGTTACTTTATAAATTAACTGGCAATGCCGGTGATGCCTATTCTTTGTACCGCAAATGTTTTGTGGGTTACATGGCATGTTTAGCCATTATCCTTCTAAGGGACCATTTTAAGCTTGATCTAGGAAAATCAGACACCACAATTCTCACCCTCGCTCAGTTCACAAACTCTGATTAAACTGGCTGGACATGCAGGCCCCTGTCAAAATGGCCAGTGAAATTAATATGGAGAAATGGTCATGGTGTATCAGGCCCTACCAGGAAGGATTGTGGAAGTATACAGACTCACATTATGACTGTGGAATATTAAAGAATTCCAGAGGTTTGTATTCGGACCAAGACTAGAATAGTGGCATTCTCAGGGTCATTTGACCTGGAGCAGACTTCCCAATATTCTGCACTGGTTTAATGAACTTCTCATTTGTACTTTTGTGGCAATTATTTCATAGCCAGCACAGCTCTGCTCAAAACTTGCTTGAAAATCTTTGTGTTCCATACCATAGGTAAAAGAGAATAAACTATCATTTTAAAAACAGAAACCTCTCCTTTTATACTGTTTTTAATAGCTAGGTAGAGAATTCTTGAATTTGTAGTTAATGTATTTTTTTTAAAATTATTACAGAAAAAAGATGGCTATTAAATTAATTTGTGAATTTCAGGATAAGCTGCATTAGAAAGTGCCAGGTCATATTATTATATTACCTGAGGAAATAAAGTATTGGTTTTAACCCAATAAAGAGATTTTAATTTTTAATTTTATCATGGATAGTAAATTGTAGCAACACTGCGTCAAGTGTCTAAACAAAACAGGCAGATGGTATGTCTGAGCTATTCTGTCCCATTTGCACTTTGAGAACCAACTGGTTTAAACCTACTTCCCAATTTCTGGCATGGAAGATACTTAATGAATTCTCTCTCTAATTTATTTCATCAGGTGGAAGTTAAGTCGAGGAGAAGGATACAATTCTGAAATGAGTTACTGTCGGAAAAACTTTTTAAATAGAAAAGCACTTTTAACAATTGAGGTATGATTTATTTCAGGGTGCAAAACACACCACTAAGAGTTAAATGGAGATTTCACGATACAAAATGATCATTTTATATAAATTTATATATAACACATACGTAATAGTATGGCACTCTACCCACATTGATGGGAAATCAAAAAATAATCACAGTGCTGCACAGTGCAGAAAGTATAAATCACAACAAAATCAGAGTACTCACTGGTTTTAATTTTGTGAATTTGAATACATTTTCATTTTGTTGTGAATTATCCAGTGAGTGCTCATTTTGTTGTGATACACACACACGCACTCATACATACATACATACACACACACACACACACACACGCATACATACATACATACACACGAGAGCCACAACATTAAAACCACTGACAGGTGAAGTGAATTACATTTGATTATATGATTACAATGGCACCTCTCATTGGTGTCAGGCACATTGATGCATCTGGTCCAATCACATCTTATAGCTACTGTAGCTCAAATTGCTGGAAAACTTAAAGCTGGCTATAATTAAAAGGTGTATTAACATATAGGGCATAGCAGTTTCCTGCATATGTGGCTCCATGGCCGCAGACAGGACATAGTGAAAGTGATGACCCCTACTCACTGCCAAAAGCACCTTCAACGTTGTTTTAGTAGTAGTAGTAGTAGTAGTAGTGCTAAATCGTGTATGGTGTGGATAGGAGTAAGATCCTAACCTGTTGCACCTGCTGAGAAGTTTTGTTAAAAATGCAGAATACTTTCGTTTACAGGCAATAAAATAACAAATCCAATGATTGCGTTTGTGTCCAACCTCAGCTTCTTTAATAAACCTTTCAATATTGTCTGTTAAAACAAATGTGGCTGTTTTCATTATCACACATGATTCTGTATTTTGTTTTTCAAGGATGTGAAGCAAGAATTAATAAGGCTAGTGAGTGCTGCAGGATTTCAATGTCCATTACCTGTTGGTCCAAAAGAGCATTATGGTCATGGAGACAAAAGAATCTTCTCACCCCATGAGACCTCTCTTCTTAAGGCTGTCCTGGCAGCTGGTCTCTATGATAATGTAGGCAAGATCTTGTTCACGAAGTCTGTTGATATCACTGAGAAGTTGGCCTGTATGGTGGAAACTGCTCAAGGGAAGGCACAAGTCCACCCATCTTCTGTAAACCGAGATCTCCAAGTCTATGGTTGGCTTCTTTATCAGGAGAAGGTAAGGTAATCTTATTGTAGTGGTTATGGTGCAACGATTATGAGATAACCTGTTTTTTGTAAAATTGCTTCAAGTGGCTTGGTAAAAAGTCCAACGTTTGTATTATATGTGTGGCAGCAGACTGTTTTTTTTTTTTTGTTATTTTAAAGACCAATTTATAATCAAACCACTTGAAACATGTTTAACAAAACAGAGGGACTGCGCCCCAACCGCTATTGACTATGCTGTCGTTTTGTTAACTGCTAATGAAAATCGATATGTAATAGGCTCCAAAATGTGTCTATTTAAGGCAAATGTTCCAAAAGGAGATGTAAATGATGCTTGCTTTATGGCTGTATGAATGGTACTGGGAAACATGATCAACCCATTCTTTATGATGTACTTTTTGTACAGGTTAAGTATTCCAAGATTTTCTTGCGGGAAACCACATTGATTTCTCCATTTCCTATTCTCCTGTTTGGAGGCAACATAGAGGTGCAACATCGGGAGCGACTTTTAACTGTGGATGACTGGATTCATTTTCAGGTAAAAAATAACCAAAAACTCACTGCATACGTGATACTGTCACACATACACTAGCAGTATAAGTATATTTTGTAAGAACACCAGAACATGTAAACAACATATGCGTACACTTTGTAATACACCCTCTGATTAAATAACTATAGTACGGTAATCTGACTGTGCTACCACATACAATGTTTAGACTTGCTTTTAGTAGCTGTAAGTAACTGACCATGAGTTAAGTTAGTATATTTATAATTGTGGTGGCAGTAAATGTTGTCACTCTATTAATAAATTAAAAAAATAAAATTACTGTCTTGTATGGACCAGTGCGTGATCCACCTGACGCAAACACAAAAAAAAGAAAACACTCCAGACAAATAAAGCACTTCAGTTTGTTGGAGTCTGTAATATTATAAAAGTGATTATTTCACTAGGAATCAGCACTTTTATAAAACTTTGCCAAAATGCCTCCCCGACTGTCAATGAGACAGCTTTCTTCTGCTGCTGTTTGCTTTGTGGCGCTGGGCCAGGGCATGCCTGCCTTCTCCCTCATTGAGAAGCATAGCAAAGCCGTATGTGCATGTATACTGGTGGCTGCGGCACAGGGTTTTTTTCTGTGAAAAGTCTTTAACAAAAAGGAAGGGCTTGCAAAGGCGGCAGTCAACAGGCTTGCAGCATTTTTTTCCAATATAGAAAAGAAATACACGTATGTATTCATTGGGGATGTATCTACTAAGCTGTAAAAAAGAAAATGTGAATAGATAGATAAAATGATTTCAGTACAGTGTTCTTTAATTCTATAGCTATGATTATGTGCAGATTTTTCTAGGGCTGCCAGTAAAGGTTTATTGACTTGTGAATCAATGAAACATTATTTAATACCAGGGAACAGCATTTTTCAGATGTATTACAAATCTTTTTAATATTTTAATATGTCAGATAGTGTCACTTTAGGCACTCAAACCACTTCAGTTCATAGAAGTGGACTGGGTGCATATCCCCAGGTTCCTTAGCCCTGCAAAGGTAATTATTGCAGTGGGTGTCTACCAAACAGAGTGACTTCTGGGTCGTTAGATGACTTTTGATCGCCTAACTGATGCTGGCCGTCCTAATTCTATGCACGAGGACATCTAGCGTCACCTGAAACTCCGTAGGAAAACATTGTATAATACTTTCCTATGAGGAAATCCTAATACAAGCGCAGCCATTGTCGCCTATGCGCATTAGGTCTCCCCTGACGGCTGACATCAGTGGGAAAGGAGCAAAGGCTGACCCCGAGCTAAGGCCAAGGGACATTGGTGTTGGAACAAAGTAAGTGACAGAAGGGGTTTTTAACTGCTTCTGCACCACAGGAGTTGGGAGGGGCACTATAGTTTCCCTTTAAAGGGTTACTCCAAACAAAAACCAGTGCTTTCATAAAACACTGGTTTTGGTCGCAGTAACCTTTTCTGTTATGGCATGCCCCACCCATCAAACGCCAAATAAATACGTTACAAAAGCCTAAACTTTTTTCCATCTCAGCGGCCAAGTTCTCCTCTCAGCCTGCTCTTCCTCTGCTGATGTCAACCCCCCTTGCCAGACTGAAGGGCGCACGGGAGAGGTCTGAGGGTGCTTCCATTTAACTGTCTGTTGCTCATAATTGAGATTAGACAAGCAGGAACTCGAGGGGCTTGCTAATGATGCCACTATAATGCTTCAGAGGTGATGTTAATGATGTTTCAGATGGTTAATCTCTGTATGTGCAGCATTTCATAGAGAAGCACTGTACAGTCAGATTCAAGGCACCACATGAAATCACTGAAGGGGTCATGGTGTTTGGAGTAGCACTTTAAATATACTTGCACATCAACAGAGAAATGTATATTAAAGGGACACTATAGTGTCAGGAAAACTGCACTATAGTACCCTGAGGGTGCCCCCACCCTCAGGGTCCCCCTCCCGTGGCGCTGAAGGGGTTAAGACCCCTTCAGCTACTCACCCTTTTCCCCCGCTGGGCTCCCTTACCTCTCCTCCCCCGCCGACGTCAGCATCCTTGTCTGACGTCACCAGCGCCGAATGCGCATGCACAGCACGGCCGCGTGCGCATTCAAAGTGTCCGTAGGAAAGCATTTTTCAATGCTTTCCTATGGACGCTCTGCGTGATTGAGGCATAATATGCCTCAATCATTGCCGATGCGCATCTAGTGGCTGTCCGGAAGACAGCCACTAGAGGCCGACTTAACCCCATAGAAACTGCTATGTTTACATCAGGCAGGGTTAATCCTAGAGGGACCTGGCACCCAAACCACTTCATTAAGCTGAAGTGGTCTGGGTGACTATAGTGTCCCTTTAAGCCAGAAAGCATATGTGTAATACCTTAATTCTACCAGTAGAGGGCTGAATAGCTCTATTTATAGAATGTGTTTCCTTTCTCCAACTAAACTTCGTTATCTGGAACAGTTTAGAGAAACTGTAAGAAACAGTTTCACTCGGATTACTTTCTCGGAGAGACAAATATTGCATAAATGCTCTGCAATCAATAAATATATCAGTTTTTCATCCAATTTAAACATACTTTTTTAGCTCATTGTATTTTTTTTGTTTTTGTTTTGCACTTATATTACATCTTCTTCCAACGTATTGCTACAAATAGCCAATTATCCAGTAAGTCGCAGGAGCCACATATCGCCCACGCATTTTATATGTATAGATTTCTGTGTTTTTAAAAAACATACATGTCTTGATTAATGTATTGTGTCTAGGCTCCAGTAAAGATTGCTGTCATTTTTAAAGAATTGCGTGTCTTAATTGAATCTGTTTTAAAGAAGAAACTTGAAAACCCCAAAATGTCCCTTGAAGGTAGGTTTTACTACTTGCAAAATGTTTCTTTATTACCTGTTCCAAGATACTTGCTAGACGGTCAATCTTGTGAAAAATGATTAATCATGAATTCAGCACGATATAATCACCAAGCTTCCATAACCACATCATCATAGCTGTGTGAGGTGCTGGCATGCTGATGCAAATATAACATTCTTTCCTTTGCTGCACTAGATCTCTTTAATTCTTCTTGATAATGGGAGCAAAATAGTTAATTCTCTGAAAAGGGAGCTAGTGGAAGATTAGAACTATAATGTAACGATTTAGGCAAAACTAAAGTTAGGAAATCCTATAAATTGGCTTAAAGGATGCCATAATTAAGTAATAACAATGTTTATTTTTGTATGGTTTTTTAATTGAATGTATTCCTCTATCGTATTAACCCTTTAAGGACACATGATTCCCTTTTATTCCAGAAGTTGTGTCATTTAGGGGTTAAAGTAATGCCCCTCTCTCCCAGTAAAAACAAAAATAGCACTAGCTCCCGAACATTTTCCTCACTGCAGCTCAATCCTCTTCTGGTGAGATGTCCCACACTGATCTGTGTCCAATCAGATGGCTCTCATAGAAATACATTGAGGACACGAAGCACATATGTGGAAATCACTAAAATTTGCAGTAGCATAACTTGCATCTCTGCCACAAAACCACATTGTTAGGATTCATTAAGATGTGCTCACGGCTACTCCTGGTTTATTGAGCTAACGATACTATGTTTTAACTAATTGAAATTAACCTGGTATAATATTTTTGTTATTTCACAGATGATAAAATTTTGAGCATCATCAAAGAACTAATAAGAAATGAGCAGTAAGAATGTTGCAGGACTCCAATCCCAAGGATTGCTCTACTATGAAACCAGAATGAAGGCTGTGTCAAGAGAATTTAAATACTGTGGTATTTCAGCTCTGCAATGTCGATAATCCATATGGTTAACCTTTTTAGTGTTGCATGCAGCATTGAAGAGATTCTTTTTTTTTTTTATTAAAAAAAAAAAAATGCAAGAACTATAATATGTATTCTTGAATTTTCAATAAATTACTGTGCCATATCCATTGTTATGTATGATTTTTAAAAATTACGTTTTATATGAGCAACTTCTGCCCAGGAATCTAGATGAGAAGTCTAGGAGTTACGTTAAACTGGAATTGTTTGAGGAACAAGACAGTGTTCAAGGTGTTATCAATTGTAATCTAGCACGGAGGGTGTACCACCTATCACTTTAAATAATATAATCTTAAACAAGGTGCAAATCCAAAAATGCCTGGAAAACACAAAATCAATACAAAGTAACAGAAAATATATGACCATGTACAATGCATCAAAGCTAATATATTTAACATATAGAGATCACCATCTCTTGCAGAAGCCAAACAGTACAGTATCTGATACCCTTGAGAAAGGCAGCCAGTGGGGTGCCGAAACATTGTAGGGAGGTTTTGACTCTGTGCTGTTTGGCTTCTGCAAGAGATGGTGAGTTCAAGGTATTGGAGAGTTCAAGGTGTTGCCGTGGCCTCCAAATTTCACAGATCTGATTTAGCATCTGTGGAATGTGCTTGAAAAACTAATCCGACCCATGGAGGACCCACCTCGCAACTTGCAGGTATTAAAGGGTCTGCTGTTAAAGGGACACTATAGGCACCCAGACCACTTCAGATCATTGAAGTGGTCCAGGTGCACATTCCCAGGTTCATTAACGCTGCATAGGTAATTCTTGCAAATAAACTGCAATAATTACCTTTGTGGCTTAACTCCACCTCTAGTGCCTGTCTACCATACAGCCACCACAACTGACTCCCGGTTCTTTAGGCGACTATTGGTCGCCTGATGCTGGATATCCTCACGCTATGCATTAGAAAATCCAGCATCACCCAAAACCCCATAGGAAAGCATTGTATAATTCTTTCCTATGGGGGAAGTACTAATGTGAGTGCGGTCTTTGCCAAGCATGCGCATTAGGTCTCCCCTACCGGCTGACGTCGGCATGGGAGGATGGGAAGCAGAGCCCGAACCAGCGCCGAGAGACATTGGCACTGGACCCAGGTAAGTGACAGAAGGGGTTTCTCACCTCTTCTTCTCCTCTAAGAGGGGCTTGACATAGGCGGGCATAGGGAGCTGTAGTGCCAGGAAAACAAGCACAGGACACGTTTTTTTGTTTAATCCATGCCTTGGTGCATCAGAGCTGTTTTGGCAGCACGAGGAAGACCTACACTACATTAGGCTGGTGGTTTTAATGCTGTGGCTGATCAGTGTGTGTATGTATGTATACATGTTTAAATTGCTGCCTGGTAACACATCTAGAGGCAGTCACTCAAACAGATAAGATTTGAGGGTTTTTGGAAATACTTGTGCAAATTTTTTGTATATGCATTTTTTTTGCACAGATTCATTATATGCATTAAAAATGCATTTTTGAACATTGCTTTTCCCTTTATTTGGGTGATCTATACATCCAACAACTCTTCTATGTGCCGATAGCACCCCACCACTCCTGCCTTGTAATTCTACCAAAGCTGCTTCTTCCTCTGATAATTTGAATTTATCTTGCAAAATTATTCTTAATATTTTTCATTTATAACCAAAAGTTGATTCCAGTATATGATTTGCTGATTCCAGCATATGATACACTATAAAGTGCACTTGACATTCCTAATTATGTATAGAGAACCAGCTGTCTAAAGATATGTTCATTAAACAATTGAATTGACATATTTTATTTGTTTTTTATGTGTACAATATACGTATTGCTTAATACTAAGCAGTGACTAGTATTGTAAGAATGCCAAATCCATTTTTATTCTATACTAAAACTGTAGGACAAACATAAATGGAGCACTTCAAGGTACACTCCCTAGTTATGTGGGACATTTAAATTAGTATAAATGCACCTGTTAAGGACAATTACATGTGTACACTATAGGGGAATACCTTGTGCCCTCCACTTCTTTTAACTCCTTTTCCATTAAAACACTGGAAAGCATGACTTGTGGAATAATATGAACTTAATGATGTTCTATGTGGAATCACCTAATTATGATGACCCTTTCATAGGTTACAGTGCAAAGAGCTCCCTGTCTTATTTACCCCTTCAATATAGTTGCAGTGAGTTACAAACATTATTGCAGCCATAAGCCACTCATACAAATCTTAGATTACCTGGACACTTTAAGCACCATAACTTTTACAGCTCATTGTAGTGATTATGGCGCAATATGAGAGTGTGCAATAACATGTTATGTATTTATTTTGTATGAAGGCACTAAAAAGGTGTTTTACACAATAGAGTGCTATAGTCGGGATATAGTTCATTGGAACACACATGCTTTACTGCATGGATGTGTGCACTATCATGAATTATATTTTCACTTCATTCAATAAAGCAAAGAGTCTGTGGGTGCCATACCCACAGTTTTTCTCAAACCATTATTTAACTGTTTAACAAACGCCAGTCCTTAAAGTGATATTACAAATAATTTCTATTAATATATACACTGATCAGCCACAACATTAAAAAGGTCTGCCTAGTATTGTGTAGGTCTTTCTCGTGCTGCCAAAACGGCTCTCTGTTGAGGCATGGACTCCACAAGACATCTGAACGTGTTCTGTGGTATCTGGCACAAACATACGAGCAGCAGATCCTTTAAGTCTTGCAAGTTTTGAGGTGAGGCATAGGATTTGTTGTTCCAGCACATCCCACTGATGTTCAGTTGGATTAAGAGCTGGAGAATTTGTTGGCCAAGGCAACACCTTGAACTCTGTTATGCTCTTCAATCCATTCCTAAAACATTTATGCAGTGTGACCGCGTGCATTATCCTGCTGAAAGAGGTCAGTGCCACCAGGGAGCACCATTGCCATTAAAGGGGTGTATGTGGTCTGCAGCAATCTCTAGGTAGGTGGTATTTGTCAATATTACATACACATGAATGCCAGGACTCAAGATTTCCCAGCAGAAAACTGCCCATAGCATAACATGGGCTACGCTGGCCTGCCTTCTTTCCATAGTGCATCCTGCTGCCATTTCTTCCACAGGTAAACAACGTATACATGCTGGCTATCCACCTGATCAGAAAGAAAAAGTGATTAATCAGACAAGGCAAACTTCTTCCATTGCTCCACGGTCGAGTTCCCAGTTCTAATGCTAACGTCCCCATTGAAGGGGCGTTTGGAGCTAGACAGGGGTCATCATGGGCACTCTGACCGTTCTGCGGCTACGCAGCCCCAGATGCAGCAAACTGCGATGCACTGTGTGTTCTGACATTTTTTTTTTCTATCATAGCCAGCATTATTTTTTTTTGCAATTTGAGCTACAGTAGCCTTCGCTGCCCACTTGCATCAGTGAGCCTTGGATGTCCATCACTACTTGGCCCTTGTCAAAGTCATGTGGGATCTTTTAGTTTGCCCATTTTAACTGCTTCCAACACACAATTTACTGCTCAAAAAAATAAAGGGAACACTTAAACAACACAATGTAACTCCACGTCAATCACACTTCTGTGAAATCAAACTGTCCACTTAGGAAGCAATACTGAGTGACAATCAATTTCACATGCTGTTGTGCAAATGGGATAGACAACAGGTGCAAATTATAGGTAATTAGCAAGACACCCCCAATGAAAGAGTGGTTCTGCAGGTGGTGACCACAGATCACTTCTCAGTTCCTATGCTTCCTGGCTGATGCTTTGGTCACTTTTGAATGCTGGCAGTGCTTTCACTCTAGTGGTAGCATGAGACGGAGTCTACAACCCACACAAGTGGCTCAGGTAGTGCAGCTCATCCAGGATGGCACCTCAATGCGAGCTGTGGCAAGAAGGTTTGCTGTGTCTGTCAGCGTAGTGTCCAGAGCATGGAGGCGCTACCAGGAGACAGGTCAGTACATCAGGAGACGTGGAGAGCAACAACCCAGCAGGAGGACCGCTACCTCTGCCTTTGTGCAAGGAGGAACAGGAGGAGCACTGCCAGAGCCCTGCAAAATGACCTCCAGCAGGCCATAAATCTACATGTGTCTGCTCAAACGGTCAGAAACAGACTCGATGAGGGCCCGACGTCCACAGGTGAGGGTTGTGCTTACAGCCCAACACCGTGAAGGACGTTTGGCATTTGCCAAAGAACACCAAGATTGGCAAATTTGCAACTGGCACCCTGTGCTCTTCACAGATGAAAGCAGGTTCACACTGAGCACATGTGACAGACGTGACAGAGTCTGGAGACACAGTGGAGAACGTTCTGCTGCCTGCAACATCCTCCAGCATGACCGGTTTGGCAGTGGGTCAGTAATAGTGTGGGGTGGCATTTCTTTGGGGGTCCGCACAGCCCTCTATGTGCTTGCCAGAGGTAGCCTGACTGCCATTAGGTACTGAGATGAGATCCTCAGACCCCTTGTGAGACCATATGCTGGTGCGGTTGGCCCTGGGTTCCTCCTAATGCAATACAATGCTAGACCTCATGTGGCTGGAGAGTGTGTGCAGTTCCTGCAAGATGAAGGCATTGATGCTATGGACTGGCCCGCCCATTCCCCAGACCTGAATCCAATTGAGCACATCTGGGACATCATGTCTCGCTCCATCCACCAACGTCACGTTGCACCACAGACTGTCCAGGAGTTGGCAGATGCTTTAGTCCAGGTCTGGGAGGAGATCCCTCAGGAGACCATCCGCCACCTCATCAGGAGAATGCACAGGCATTGTAAGGAGGTCATACAGGCACGTGGAGGCCACACACACTACTGAGCCTCATTTTGACTTGTTTTAAGGACATTACATCAAAGTTGGATCAGCCTGTAGTGTGTTTTTCCACTTTAATTTTGAGTGTGACTCCAAATCCAGACCTCCATGGGTTGAAATTTTGATTTCCATTTTTTAATTTTTGTGTGATTTTGTAGTCAGCACATTTAACTATGTAAAGAACAAAGTATTTCAGTAGAATATTTAATTCATTCAGATCTAGGATGTGTTATTTTTGTGTTTTCCCTTTATTTTTTTGAGCAGTGTATATCCCACCCCTTGACAGGTGCCATTGTAACAATATCAGCAATGTTATTCACTACACCTGTC